TGCAACACGCTGCATTAAAAATAAAATAACCACAAAAATAAAAAGAATACATACATAAGTAAAAATGAAACAAAACATGAAACATTCAGCGATTTAATAATAAATCGCTGAATGTCTCAGTTAGCACCTGAAAAATGAGCTGTGGAAGTAGCTCAAGTTTGACTTATTTTCCACTTGTCGACCCGATTTTATTCCTGAAAATGATGTGAATTTTCAGTATTATCACCTGCTTAAATGTCAAATTTATATTTCAAATGATTTCATAAAAATTTTCTTTTAACCATCACAAAGCAACCAGGAAGTGATAGAAAGTGGGAGATTTTAAAATCTTGATGTCATTATATACACTCGTTGGCAGAAATATATGACCATAAGAATGATCCAAATGATTTTTAGAACAAGATTTTTTTTCAGAGTAGACCGATCGATCTATTTTTACAGAATACGGTACATATCTTCCGCATATTTCCATACGTATGGACAAGGGAAAATGCCGTTGGAAACATGGATCGCTCCGTATAAGAAGTCATTTTAGAGAGCACAGTGAGAAAATTGATACGTATGATAGTTTGACGGGCATTTGTATTATAGCAAGACAACGAGTCAAAACCCTTTTCTGAGCACGCTAAAAATGGTTTTACTGTCGTCGCGTGAACCTCGTAAATCTTAAATTTTTTTATATTCGATTTCGATTGAAAGCAAAATTATTTTCGAATCCGATTAATCTTCAGGTGATCATGCAGATGAGGTCCACACATCAATATAGGTCCCCACAGTGGGGGAAAGGCCCCACAAATTGCAGCAGAAGTCCCCACTTACACTGAATGTGGGGAAATCTTCTTCACGGGGGACTTTAACTTCACTATGGCGATGTAAATCGATGTGGGGACCTTATCTGCACGATTTTTCAATAGTGCGGTGCTGATCTTTCATTCCAGGCGATCCTGCAGATAGGCTCCCCACAAGATGCATTATACAGCCCCACGGGAAAATTGCATTTAAGAAACAGACATACTGCAGTATAGGTCCCACCAAAAAACCGGAAATGGAGTGAAAATATCGATATTTCATAAAAATTAGATAATTCAAAACTACCTTATTAACTCAATAGTAAGATAATTAAATGAAAATGGATCATTTATTTTCCTGAAAACAGATGTTACACCATTTCTTGGAATGTCAAGATAACGCGAACTTACGCTGCCGCTGCATTTACATATATATCTGGAAAAAAAAAGCGATTCACTTTCAAACCGTTAAAATCAGCAAAAAATGAATAGAATGGAAATAAATAGGCGCCACGAACATACGCGTGGCATGTGTGCCAATACGATGATTTAAAAAAAATGGCCGGCCAATTATTAAAAATTACGAATAAAAATGTATTTGTTAATTACGAAATGAAATAATATTGTCAAACCCTCATTGTGACGAAGAGATCCACAAAGGGTACCGAATAATTTTGATCGCGTGGGACCTATACTGCATTATGTGGGTCCCTTAAATGCAATTTTCCCGCGGGTCTGTATAATGCATGGGGAGCCTATCTGCATGTTAGCCAATATTCATTTACCAGAAGGTGTGCTAAGAAATTTCCGATGGTTTGCATGACACATTCAGATGACAATAATAACTTAAAACCAAGTTAATCCGATAAATAACTACTCCTCTCGTTTAGAAGTTGCGAAAACGTTTACAATTTTTTTTTTAAGTTGCGGAGGATTTCCTAATGGGACAATGCAGCTATTGCGGACAAGCGGAGATTGTTTCGACAAAAGTGCTCTATCACCAACCCTCTGTGCCAAATGAATCTTACTTGAGTAGATTTGAACGAAAATGTGCATTGAACTCAGAACCCAACACGGAGAGGGGAAAGGGGGATGGGACCCGCGAAGGGCGAACGCGCCCGGTGTGCGGGGCGAGTTCGCCCCTCGACCCCGGGCGAACTCGCGAAAAATTCCCTGAGTTGTCAGTCACCCGCTGGGCTTCTGGAGAAAGTGCAGTATTTCGTCGTTGAGAAAGTCGATATCGCAGTTGCGAAGTAAAATGACCATTTCGGAAAGCCTCGCAGCAGTGGAAGTGTCCCTAATGGAACATTACCCCTTGTCGAGAAATTTCTAGCACATTCAAGCAGCAATCGCATTACTACAGACACAAGACGCAATCAATACGTCCATGAGACGGAACAATTTAAAGATGTTCACATATGGCCCGTTTTTGTAGAGACTTACTTGTTTCCGATGGATATTTAAAAATAAAATCAGAATAAAAAAAAACAAAAACAAGATAGAGCAAAATAATCATGGAAATTCTAGATTGAACGTCATCCAACGGCAACAGAAAACAGCAAACACGGTGACACTGCTGAAAATATTGAAATTTATTCCAGAACTTAGCTTTTGCGAATTTTTGTCATTCGCACGATTTCGACTTTTATCTAATGGTACAATGCAGATTTGAAAAAAACAACTCAAAAAAACTACGGCCAGGTTTTTCGAAGTCTACAGTACCACAAATTTTATAAAATCGCTGCAAAGATCATGGAAATTTCATCATCTGCGATTTTATTTTTTTTTAATCCATTTGGTTCGATTTACGTTTGCTAGTTTTTCTATTGTGATTAAAGGCGCATATACAAAAAATTCATGATTCTTGCAGCGATTTAATAGAAAACTGTGGTACTGACTTCGAGAAACCTTTTTTGGGTTTTTAACCGGTTTACGATTTTTTCCTAATCTGCGTAGTACGGTATGAGACGTTGTCAAGGCGATTGCGCGAAAATCTACCCGCACAGCCGTGACGCCAACTATAATTTAGCCCAGTGAAATATTCAAAATCACCAACCCACGCACAGACGCCTAGAGGGTACCCATCGCCAATTTACATCCGTAATGGAAAACAAACGAGATATTACTCACTGCATTAGAAGCCGGGTCGAACTGTTTTGAAATCCTTTCGCTAGCAGTTCAACAAAATCTGAAATTATTATATGTATTCAAAAATGAGAGCCAAATACTAATACGAGTGATTCGAATATCTTTTGAATTTCAAAACGTCGGAATCGAATCTCATTTCTTCAACTTGTATTCTAGCCTTCTGAAAGATCCAATTATGTATAAATCGGAAAGTTTTCATCAAACTTGTTCACAATGTAAGCGACATCCAGTGGGTTCAAGAGCATTCAGCAAATTTCGCGCCAAAGCGCCCCAACTTAAACGAGCTGTTGTGAGACAACAACTGACAGACTACCCCTAATTAAATTATGAATTTTTTGTTGGCGGGTTAGAGCCTCCGAGCCCCTGGACGTTGGCTCCCCCACCTGGATAGCTGCCAGCCTCCAATCACGCAGCAGCATTTTTGCGAAATTTCGTCACCCTTGAAACCCTCAAAACCCGGAAACGAAGAGCGCAGTGGACGAAAATTAATACTTTGCCTGCGATTCAAGAAATTAAATACGTTTTCATTACAAACTATATAAACAAATTACAAAAAGCGAAATAAGTCAACAAATTTATAAGAAAATTAAAGAAATACTCAGCAAAACCTATGCATGTCAAAAAAAGTGGCAAAATTTGAAAACGTGGAATATTTGTGATTACTGTATATCGTGTGATCTGTGCATAACGAAATTGACGAAAAATTTTTAATTGTTGTTTAAATTATCGATTCTAGCTGATTTTCTTGGCTCATTATTTCACTTTTTCTTCAAATAACTTACATTTTTCTAATTCTTTCATCTGTATTCTTTTCTGCGGTTTTTTCTCGTCTGCTTGGCGAAATGGCGAGCACGGACAATAAAAATGTCAATGACCAGAATTTCAAACGTGGAAACTTATTGGAAATCGGTAATATGGGCCACGTGATTTAAAACAATTTTCAACTTTGCCGATAATAGCCTCTGGAAGTTGTGCGTGACTCGCCTCATCGTTTGCCGTTCCTTCACCAATCTAGAAAGAGAAATGTTCATGTTCAACTCACAAGAATAACGTAACCGTCAACTTGATCTTGACGACTTCCCTTTTTTTCTGGCAAAACCCCTTGTTTATACTCTGGTTTCCTCAGTCTCTACAATTTTAGAATTATCATACCTACCGGAACTGTCGGCAGAGTTCGATGGATTTTCTTCCGAAAGGAGACTCGTTTCCACCACATACATACATATACTGTAAGTGAGTCATAGGGGCAAAACCAGGTCGACCAGCGACCGGAAGGAGGCCAATATATATTTAATCAACCCTCCGACCGGAAGCAATAATCCAAGGCCTTTATCAATGCCACCAGCTCACCCCCTATATAAGCGATGCTCGTTAGACGAACGAAGAGGTAGGAAGCTGGGAGACACCCTACGATATCCACTATGTTATTTTGCTCATTCTTGCTCATAAATAAACTCTTAGTTGTTTATTGTTTGCTTCTAACACAAGCCATGAACAAGGAATGGAGCCGGGAACCCTGACCACTCGGCCGAGGTCACGCAATTCCCGCACTGGTAGCAGCGAGTGGTTTGTCTCCCTAGTTTCCTTCCCTCCACCGGTACCATAGTTTAGTTTTATTTTTTTTTCGTTTTGTTTTGTTGTCGTCTGCGGATATTATGGGATAAAGTTGTTCTCCTGCGCAGGAACCGCGTCGACGTTTGGGAAGTCGCGCTCGCAGAAATTTTGCTTTGTTCGCCGTTTTTGGAGTACATTTTTGAGTTGACTGGGCCCAGTCTGGTTGGGCGAGCGCGCACTGATGGAATGCCGTCAGTTTTCAAAGAGTCTATTTTTGGCATCATTTTGGAAAAGACTCTACTTGAAGACGTTGTCTTCACCTCATTTCACCACATCCTACGATCTAATATCGAAAAACCATTTCTCTTTAATCAATTCACGCCTCTTCTTTTTTTTAAAAACGCAAGCGCTGGCTATTTTTTTAATTAAAACCCAACCATTGATTAAATATTTTTAATATATAGCCTCGTTCCCGCATCTACCGCTATCAGTGCCTCTTTCATTTTACAGATGGCTCTAGCAAAGAGTCTCTCTCTCAGCGATCTTTCCGAGATTCGCATTTCTTGTGCCAAACCATTTTCGCGTATGCAAGATTCCGACACCGTCAAGGGATCCCAATTGAAGACTCTTCAATCCGCGTGCGTGACTGACTTCGAAGTCACACACGGAGTTATGAGATCTCTTGCCGAAAGAGCTGAAAACCGCATCAAAGGCTTTGCCGAGATTCCGAGAATCAATACGGTAACAGCCTCGATGCGGCCAAGCTCGCAAGTCCCAATTTTTGGTGGTTCACCAAACGATACCTTCTCCGCATTTTTGCGATCCTTCAATGATCATGCTAATACAGCAAAACCTCCTTTGGGAGACCTCGAAAAGAGGAATATTTTCTTGACTTATTTGACAGACGCAGCCAGAGACCGCGCAGAGGAGTTCCTGGAGCAAGAGAGCGAAGCCTCGTTCGCAACCTTGGTTAACCATCTAAAGGTAAAATACGAAGATCCGGTAAGAGCAGAACTTTCGCGCCAGCAACTCCGAACAACGAACCAGCTTCCGGGCGAGTCCGTAGATGAGTTTGCAGCTAAGGTCAGAAAACTCGCAAATTCGTCGTACCTCGGATACTCGCGTGAATACATCAAGGCCAAAACCTTAGAAGCGTTTTTGGACGGGCTCAAATACGACATAAAATTCCACGTTAAGGCCAGTAACCTAAGAACCTTCGAGGACGCCCTCAATTCCGCAGTGAGGTACGAGATTTTGCTTCAAGAAGCAGCAAGGGCTAACACCATCCACCCACAAACCCTCCCCGTAGCACTCCTACAAGGGGTAGACAACCAAAACCGCGAACGAACGGCCCGAACCCTTCCCCCTCAACACCGTTTCAGAAACACCCCACGGCAAGTGAAATGCTATTTCTGCGGACGTCTCGGGCATATGATGGCCAATTGCTTCAAGAAAAACCGTCAATTTGGCCGCATCGACCCAATTGATAATCACCAGATCAGAAACCGGAATCAGCCGATCTTTGGGAACCCAGGAAGACGGACAAACAACTATGAAGGTAACTCATCAGACGTACGTAATTTCCAGCCTGACACGGCCGCTGACGATACAGTAAGAGAATTACGCGCTCAAGTCGAAGCGTTGACCATACGCAACAACCAACTAACGAACAGCATGACGCCCAGAGTTAACACGGTAAGAGTCTCGAAATTACCTTTGTTCATTGCTCTCCTCGCCTGCCTGGCAAGTCCCACCACCGCGTTTAATGCTCTTTTATGTCTACCGAACTCTCCCGAATCGCTGATCAACTTTCCATCATCGTTCGATTGCAACTCAGTCAAACCCTCCCCATTCACCCAGACAAAGAAAGTTTCTCTCAGCGTTTACCGACCAAATTCCATTGCGTATGACTCTACCGCCACCCTCTGCAAAATCATTCAAACCACGTCCACTTTCTCCGTTAACCTTTTTGGATCCCGCTACATCGAAACAAATTCCAAGCAAGCAACCGTTTCGGCAGAAGAATGCAAACTAATGATGAATCATCAACGTTGCTCATTCGGTGACCTTCAGCCAAGAGACGGCATTTTTAAAACCAATAACGCCCACAGAATCGAATGGCCAAACTTTCTAATCGGCGCGCTATCCCCAGCAAAAACTGTTGTAACAAATAATTGCCTCATGCTCACAACCAGAATTGTAATGCGTTTTAATCAAAAATTTCCCGAGTCTCCCGCGGGATCCATGAGGGGTTGCGACTACACAACGGGCTTCTGCAACCAACGCCAGGGAGCGGCATTCATGTGGAAACCAAATCCAGAACAGAGTTGCCGTTTCATCAAACTGCGGACCATGTCCGGTCACCAATCAGATAACATTTGGCTGTCTGAAAACAAAGAATTCGCACTATCTTTTAACTCTTCAAATCCAATAATCGAAGACTGTGGCAAATCTCTCGTAGTCACAGATCAAGGCTTCGCTGTCCCAACCAGACGAATTGCCAAACGGGAAATAGTCCCACCCTCTATCACCAACCTAACAAACTTTGTCTCGTCAAACCAACTTTCGGCCCAGCTCTTGGCAGCAGAGAAGGATATTTTAGAGTCCTCCTCTCTTTGGTTTGCTCACTATTTCTTATCATGGTGCGCGTCCTTCAACGCACTCGCAGCGTCTGCCGTTGCAGCAGCAGCAAGCCACCCCTCACTGTTCGCGCGCCAAATACTCAACCAATCTAACATTCAAGCAACCTTCCTCGGCAAAAACACATTAGCCATTAAAACGTGCTCAGTAATTCCACAATCATCCTTCTCCATCGTCCCTTTTACTAATATTTGTTACTCTCGACCATCAATCAAGATCAACTTGCCCAATAACTCCACGCTCAACACTTTCATAGACCCCATTACCCAAATCATCACCAATGAAGCCAACCAAGTGCCGTGCGCACTGATTTCCAACTTTGAATACATGTTCGAAAACCATCTAGTACGCATCAATCCCTTTTCAGGAACTATAGAAAATACACCAAGACACCTGCTTAAATCGATTTCCCCATTTAGCATTTCCACCTCGGACCTCGTGCCATCTCAACCCACAATTTTCCACAACCTAGTCATCGGGTCTATAACGGAAACAATCTCCCCAGCCCACTATAACGAAATCTGGGACGCATTAGAGGGTTCAGCCGACAAATTAACAAAAATCGTAAGCCGCAACGCTTTCTCAACCAGCGGCAGCACAAAAGCCAGCGAGATTAGCGAAGTCATCAGCGCCTACGAGCAATGGCTTGACCTCGGTCACCGATTGTTCCAGGCCTGGACCGCTATAGTTTGCACATTTGTCACCCTTTACGCAATCTTCCTCGTCGTAGCCATATTCATCAAGCAACAGGCCGAAGCGCTGCCATTCAGCGTTTCCCACCGTTTTGGCAAAAAGACGGCTAATCCACCCTCCGAAGTCATCTTCGACTATTCGGACCTATTGCCGGCAACAACTACAATAGCTACCTTCCACTCCCCGCAAGCGTTTTTCACCGCGCAAATTCCCATTAAAGCGAACAACATTAATCTCCTAGCCCTGGTGGACACCGGCGCCAGCTTTACCATAGCAGGCTCCGAGATATGCGCACTCATCGGCATCCACACGCTCAACAAACCGCTGACTAACAACGCTATAGGCTTGGGAGGCAACGAAGTAAAAATTGCGGGAACCGCGCCAATCAGGTACAAAATCGGATCATTCGAAATTCAACACATCACACACTTCACAATCAATAAATGCACTCCACCGGGTCCGTTCTCCTACGACATTATATTAGGTAACGACTTACTAGCTAAACTCCCAAAGTTCCAACTGGACTATAACAAAAACACTTTCGAGATGGGAAAAGACCAACTTCCACTAGGGAAATCTTACCAAGTGAACCCGGTCTTACCAACTTCAGAATTCCCAATACGGGTAGCAAAACACACAAATCCCACCCCTTTCCGAGGCTTTTGTCACTTGTGTTTCCCCGCAAAATAAAAACGTCTTCGACGCCACTCTCATTTCTCAAGCCAAAAAGATCACAGAACTTGGGCTTCTCATCGCACCAACGGTCATATCAACTAACCACATTGCTCTCCTCGTTACTAACCCATCGAATCAAATGGTCACTCTGTACCCAGAGATGACCATCGCCACCGCGGCGATGGTATTCTCCGAAGGCACACCTGGAAAAGTGCTGACCTGCCACTACTCTTCAGGGGGTTCCCCTGACGTTTTGTCAATAGATAACGAAAATTTCAGAGATCCACAGTTTAAGATTGACCTGATCAGGGCGGAACTCTCAAATGTCGAGAGGGAAAAACTCCAGGAGCTATTGGACACCTACGACGACGTGTTTTCAAAAAACGCTTACGATCTGGGAAGCTCGAAAACGGAGCCGGTCCATATATTCACGAATACGGAAATGCCAATCAAAAGCAGACCTTACCGAGTGCCGGTAAAATATCAAGCCGAGCTGGAAAAGCATATCAACGCCCTATTGGAATCCGGGCGCATCACAGAAAGCAACACGCCTTGGACCTCACCTCTAGTTCTCGTCAAGAAGAAAAACGGTAGCCTCCGAGTCTGTTTAGACTTCAGAAAATTGAACGAAGTAACGATCCCTGATAATTTCCCTTTACCGAGGATCGACGCAATCCTGGAAAAAGTAGGAGGAGCGGCTCTTTTCTCCTCCTTGGATATGGCAAACGGATATTTGCAATTGCGTTTAGACCCGGTAAGCTCCTATAAATGCGGATTCATTACAGAAAACAAGGTTTACGCATACACACATCTTCCATTCGGCCTCAGATCAGCAGCTTCATACTTTCAAAGAGCCCTACGCACGGTACTGGGAGGACTTGAGTCCGAGGTACTGGTTTACATTGATGATATCCTAATCTTCAGCAAAAACTTCGAAGATCACACTCACTCTCTGAGAAAAGTCCTCGACAGATTTAGATCCTTTAATCATAAGGTCTCCCCGCAGAAATGCGAATTTGCCAAAACTTCCATAACCTTCTTAGGACATGAGATTTCAGCGAATAACTACTCCCCAAATAAAGCAAACGTGAAAGCAATAGAAAATTTCCCAATCCCAACGGACGCAAACTCAGTGAGGAGATTCGTTGGTATGTGCGGGTTTTTCAGAAAGTTCATACCTAATTTCGCAAACATTGCTGAACCCCTTACCAAGATGACCCGTAAGGACATTAAGTTCGCATGGGGCGAAGCGGAACAAGACGCTTTCGAAACACTACGATCTTGCCTAATGAACCGCCCCATCTTAGCATACCCCAACTACGACCTCGATTTCCACATCTTCACAGACGCCAGCGCGGTCGCACAGGGCGCCGCTCTCATGCAGATACAAGACGTCGACAGTAAGTCTTATTCAGCGATAGCTTACGCCAGCCGAACCCTTTCGGGGCCGGAAACAAGATGGGCGGCAGTGCAAGTAGAGATGGGGGCGGTAATTTTCGCGCTGCGACAATTCAGACCATACATATGTATGTCGAGAGTTATCCTACATTGCGATCACAAGCCACTAACCTTCTTACTACAAAAAGCAAGACACATGACAATTTAGCACGATGGCTCATTGAACTACAAAGCTACAATGTAAAAATACAACATATCGAAGGTAAGAAAAATAAGGTCGCAGACTGTCTCTCACGAGCTCTCGATGACAATCGACCGGAAAACACAGAGGAGCTCAGGGACATCATCGATTTTCCAGTATGCATGAACATCGAAGCAGAAGACGGTAAGCACGAAATTCCAAGAAACCCGTGTATTTTCAGCCTATTGGCACAAGTCAAAACAAAAGAAAAGATACCCCTCGATCTCGCCGACGAGCAGGACAAGGACGACGACTTACATTTAGCCAAAAAGTTTCTGAAAACCGGCAAACTAGAGCAAGCAACGACCGCCGAAATGGAAGAAGAAATAATCTGGTTATGCACTAACCTATCACTTTCACCTACTAACATACTCTATGCAAATCCCAGCGGAAATTTACCAAAACGGGCAGTCATCCCGAAACACTTAGTAGAGCTAATATTCGAAGCTTTTCACACTAGCAAGCTCTCAGGCGGACATTTCAATTGGCGCAAGACATTGAACAAAATAAAAAGAAAGTATTTTTGGGACGGAATGACAGCCGATGTGCAACGCAGAACCAAAACATGCAGCAGGTGTCAGGCAAGGAATAATCCCAACCCACCATTCATGGAGAAGCTAGTTCCCTTCCGGAACACGCAGGTATTCGAGAGAGTAGGATTGGACCTTACGGGCCCCCTACGCACTACACCACGCGGAAACAAATACATCTTTAACATAATCTGCTGGTTCAGTAAGTACGTAATCTCCGTGCCATTACCGGACTCGAGATCGGACACAGTAGCACAGGCATTACTCACAGAATGTATCCTAAAGCACGGCGCGATGAGCGAAATCGTGACCGATAACGCCACAACTTTTACGTCGCAAGCTTTCCGAACCTTTTGTGAACTAATAGCAATTAAGCACCACAGAGCGATCCCGTACCACTCAAAGGGCAACGGGGCTACAGAAAGAACCTTCCGAACCTTCCACAACATCATTTCAAAATACGTCAACACACAACACACAGATTGGGACCTACTGGTAGCAACGGCATGTTTTTGCTATAACACTACTACGCATGATACTACCAACAAAACCCCTTTCTTCCTAATGCACGGGCGTGATCCTATCTTCAGTATCGACCGCATACTTGATCCAGCTCTTCCAACCACGAATGAAACATCGACGGAATCATTCGCCAACTCTCTGGCGACGATCATACGGGAAGCCTGGACAAACGCGGCAGATCACGCTCTAAAAGCTCAAGAAAAGTTCCAGTCGTCCTACGACGCGTCAGCAAGGCCAAACCCGATCCAAATCGGCGACCGGGTAACGATGAAAGATTTTTCAGCCAAAGCAAACTTGTCAAGGAAACTAGTACTCCCGTGGAAAGGGCAGTTCCGAGTGGTCGAAATCAACCACCCCAAGGCCGTAGTTTGCGACATATCAAGACCGGACAAACCGAACCGCACCGTCCATTTGAACCAGATAAAGAAGGTATACACCATTACAGGACCGGCGGCGACAACCTCATTGGAAGAAAACCCCGAAGCACCAGACATAAGCGATTCCACCGATCAAGCTGACAACGTCGACACCGACGAAAATTTAGCTAGGACGGAGTCCCCAAAACTAATTGATAACTCCGAAACACACGTTCCGGAGAACTCGGCGAACGCTGAATCCCTAAACCGGAGATACAACCTAAGGAAATCATTAAAACCACCATCAAGACTCTCTTTCTAACCTTCCATCCCACGAACCCGACTCGGGAACAGAACCCATACTCGACGAACCAATGGAAACGTCTTGGCCAACAACCCCTTCCTCAGGCATACTACACTCCGACGACAACTCTCCGTTGGAAGCGGGGGTGGTAACCGATGAACCAGAGAACGAAACTTCAGCGTTCGAGGTTAGTTTCACCTTCCAACCGGAATCGTTGCCGTGCCCAACGAGCCCCGCCTTCTGCGGTGTCTCGGAAGGCAACGCGGTAACCCGGCCAGAACATGTGGAGGCTCTCCACACCGAATCATACCCAACGGCATCGAGCCAAACCATTAACAGTGCACAAACTAACAATGAAAACCAACGAGGGGGTTCCCCTCAATTCAATCCGTTAAACCAAAGCGTCGACGCAGAATCACCAGAAGCAGAAAGCCGCAGCCATCCACGCAGTACCAAAACCGCCATAATCAAAGGCACAACAAAAATAATCCATCCGTGGGATGACGGGGCAACCCGTTCAAACGGTAAGTCTCCCAGCATTCAGGCGTCATTCTAGTGGGCAACGCAAACATCATTGGAGAAGCCGGATACTGGAGCGAAATATTCCGCACATGCCGATACGCACAAACGATTCTCACCGAGTCTCAACTACCGGAAACGCATTAATCACGTTGGTTCCCCTTTACTTATTTATGTATATCAAATTCACATCGCACACATTAAACCATTCTTCTCTACATTTACCGCCACATTTACCGTATCACAATTTTCATTACTTTTTAAACCACCCGGCGTTTTAAACAATACCTCGTTTTTAATATTGGTTTTAATCCCCTCAATCAACCTTTTCCCAAAACAAAATTTTTTTTCCATCATCATATCTTCATATTTTCTGCTCTCTCCATATCATTCACGTTATTTAATTGCATTTTGTTACACTTTGCCTTTATATTTCATGTCATTTCATTAATTTCACATCTTATTAATTTTGTTTAATTTACTTGTAAACGTTTCCCTTCCCCTGCCTCCGTTCTCTAAGAGCAAAAATGCCCTCTTCAACGATCAGAGACGATCTTGAAGAAAAGGGGATAGGTGTAAGTGAGTCATAGGGGCAAAACCAGGTCGACCAGCGACCGGAAGGAGGCCAATATATATTTAATCAACCCTCCGACCGGAAGCAATAATCCAAGGCCTTTATCAATGCCACCAGCTCACCCCCTATATAAGCGATGCTCGTTAGACGAACGAAGAGGTAGGAAGCTGGGAGACACCCTACGATATCCACTATGTTATTTTGCTCATTCTTGCTCATAAATAAACTCTTAGTTGTTTATTGTTTGCTTCTAACACAAGCCATGAACAAGGAATGGAGCCGGGAACCCTGACCACTCGGCCGAGGTCACGCAATTCCCGCACTATACAGTACCGTGCAGTAAGATATACAATTTCACTTTTTTGGCTATAACTTTTTGAAATGTTGACCAATTGATCTGAAATTTTTCTACGAGACGGATAATGTGTTCCCAAACATAATTAAATTATTTTGGGATACTGTAGACGCAATTTTGGTGTTTTGGACCTTTTTTGCGTATTTTCAAAAATGCGATTTTATTTTTATTTTTAAGTTTTTCCTATTTTTTTTAGATTTTCAATGTCAACATCAGTTTTTTTATTTTTTTAGCATGGGACGACCAAAAGGATCAAAAAACATTTCAACAGACGTTTTGAAAGCAATCAAGAATGGCCGAGCACAAGGTCTTTCTATCCAATGTCTATCACACCAGTTGAACTCATCGACTTGGACCATTTGTGGATGTTTGAAACCTCGATCGGATTCCAAACCACTTGGAAATCCTTCCAAAACATCCCCGGCAATCAATCGAACAATTGTAGGAAACAGCAAGAGAAACCCGCATCTATCCGCTTCCGAGATTAAGCGACAACTGAGACATTTCTATGATGTCAACGTAGATTTTTCCGAAAAACCATGACTTTTTTTCACCAAAAGTCACATACATATCAGCGTTGATACTGTCAAGCGTCGTCTACGTGGTTCTGGATTATTTGGACGTCGGTCTGTCAAAAAACCTCTCCTTTCGGAGAAGAAACGCCGCGCCCGTTTGAAGTGGGATAAGGAGCTTTTGAATTGGACTTTTCAACAATGGTCAAAAGTCGTATGGAGCGATGAATCAAAGTATATGTTGATCGGAACGGATGGTATTACCTTTGTGAGGTGTTCGGACGGCAAAAGATTCGATCCAAAGCATCAATTATCAACAGTCAAACATGGAAGAGGAAGCGTGATAGTTTGGGGATGTTTTACTGCTTCTGGAGCTGGCCTACTTCGTCGAATCGAAGGAAATATGGATCGATTAATGTATAAAGACATTCTCGAGAATCATATGCTTCCGTTTGCAAAGTCTTTGCTCGGTGTGGATACTTATTTCAACAGGATAATGATCCTAAACATAGTTCTCGCTTCATCAAAGAGTGGTTCCAGCAGCGTCGGGTGGCCGTCATGGACTGGCCAAGCCAGTCACCTGACTTGAACCCCATTGAATATTTGTGGGAAGATCTTGGTAGACGTCTTCGAGGTCAAACTGCACAAAATTGTGCCGAAAAGTTCGAGCAGCTGAGGAGAGCATGGATGGATATACCAGTTTCAACCCTCACGAAGTTGATCGAGGCCATGTCCTGACTGATAATTGTTGGTTTCCGTTTCATTTCAAGTCGTACCGGTATCAAAATTATTCAAGTCGGTTTTTCGCTATATTGAATTTTCTGATTTTTTGTCAATAAATTTTTTTCTAATGTGTTTTACACCTTCTAATTTTGTTATATAATCACTCTATCGATGCTTAAAGTTGTCCAAAAATTTCAGATCGATTGGTCAACTTTTCAGAAAGTTATGATAAAAAAAGTGAAATTGTTTATCTTACTGCACGGTACTGTATATATAATTTATTCTTGTTCAGAATGGCCAGCGTCGCCAGCGGATTTGAACCCACTCGACTATTATGTTAAGGTGTCCTTTAATCGAAGGTCCAGGCACATCCCTATACCAATTTGGAGTCATTGAAGAAATGTTTGGTTGAGGAATGGGCCAAATTATCTCCAGAATACCTCCGTGCCACAGTCGAGGAATTCCTGAAGAGACTCAAGGAAGTAATGAAGAACAAAGGAAATCAAATCGAGTAATGTTGATGTATTTTTGTTTATAATTGATTCAATAAACTAATTGAGAATTTTCATGTTGATTCGATCATTTTCACAAAAATTACATCAATTTGAAAGTGTTTCCATAATTATAAATATTTAATTTTTTTAATCAAGTGAAACTGGACACCAAGAACATTGTGCCGTATTGTGCTTGAAATGAACATTTTTTTCACTCAGACGGGATATTAAATCATCATAACAAAACGAGAACGAATTGGGACTTGAATTGTTGAATACCGGATTGTAAATGAAAATAAATATAAGGAGATTCGGAAAGTTTTGGAAACATGTGCGAATTTTGTTCATCGTTTTTGGGTTCTTCGATTGATTCGCATACAAATACTATCATAATGTTTCAATAAAATTCTTTTGGATAGCTATCTTATTTTAAAGCAACTTCTTAGTTTACATCAACATTTTTTTAGTTTCTACTCTTCGCTGGTCGACCTGGTTTTGCCCCTATGACTCACTTACAGTATATGTATGTATGTGGTGGAAACGAGTCTCCTTTCGGAAGAAAATCCATCGAACTCTGCCGACAGTTCCGGTAGGTATGATAATTCTAAAATTGTAGAGACTGAGGAAACCAGAGTATAAACAAGGGGTTTTGCCAGAAAAAAAGGGAAGTCGTCAAGATCAAGTTGACGGTTACGTTATTCTTGTGAGTTGAACATGAACATTTCTCTTTCTAGATTGGTGAAGGAACGGCAAACGATGAGGCAAGTCACGCACAACTTCCAGAGGCCTTTCTCGGCAAAGTTGAAAATTATTTTAAATCACGTGGCCCATATTACCAATTTCCAATCAGTTTCCACGTTTGAAATTCCTGTCATTGACATTTTTATTATCCGTGCTCGCCATTTCACCAAGCAGACGAGATAAAAAACCACAGAAAAGAATACAGATGAAAGAATTAGAAAAATGTAAGTTATTTCAAGAAAAAGTGAAATAATGAAGCCAAGAAAATTAGCTAGAATCTATAATTTAAACAACAATTAAAAATTGTTCCTAATTTCGTCAATTTCGTTATGCACAGATCATTCGATATACAGTAATCACAAATATTCCACGTTTTCAACTTTTGCCACTTTTTTGACATGCATAGGGTTTGCTGAGTATTTCTTTAATTTTCTTATAAATTTGTTGACTTATTTCGTTTTTAGCAATTTATTTATATAGTTTATAATGAAAACGTATTTAATTTCTTGAATTGCAGGCAAAGTATTAATTTTCGTCCACTGCACTCTTCGTTTCCGGATTTTGAGGGTTTCAAGAGTGAAGAAATTTCGCAAAAATGCTGCTGCGTGATTGGAAGCTGGCAGCTATCCAGACGGGGGAGCCAACGTCCAGGGGCTCGGAGGCTCTAACCCGTCACCAAAAAAGTCATAGTTTAGTTAGGGGTAGTCTGTCAGTTGTTGTCTCACAACAGCTCGTTTGAGTTGGGGCGCTTTGGCGCGAAATTTGCTGAATGCTCTTGAACCCACTGGATATCGCTTACATTGTGAACAAGTTTGATGAAAACTTTCCGATTTATACATAATTGGATCTTTCAGAAGGCTAGAATACAAGTTCATTGAAGAAATGAGGTTCGATTCCGACGTTTTGAAATTCAAAAGATATTCGAATCACTCGCATTAGTATTTGGCTCTCATTTTTGAATACATATAATAATTTCAGATTTTGTTGAACTGCTAGCGAAAGGATTTCAAAACAGTTCGACCCGGCTTCTAATGCAGTGAGTAATATCTCGTTTGTTTTCCATTACGGATGTAAATTGGCGATGTAAATTGGCCCTCTAGGCGTCTGTGCGTGGGTTGGTGATTTTGAATATTTCACTGGGCTAAATTATAGTTGGCGTCACGGCTGTACGGGTAGATTTCCGCGCATGCGCCTTGAAAACGTCTCATACCGTACTACGCAGATTAGGAAAAAACATAAACCGGTTAAAAACCCAAAAAAAGGTTTTTCGAAGTTAGTACCACAGTTTTCTAGTAAATCGCTGCATGAATCATGAAAATTTTGTATGTGCGTCTTTAATCACAATAGAAAAACTAGCAAACGTAATCGAACGAAATATATTTAAAAAAAATAAAATCGCTACGGTTAAAATCAATGATCTTTACAGCGATTTTAAAAATTTGTGGTACTGTAGACTTCGAAAAACCTGGCCGTGGTTTTTTGAGTTTTTTTTTTATTGTACCATTAGATAAAAGACGAAATCGTGCGGATGACAAAAATTCACAAAACATAAGTTCTGGAATGAATTTCAATATTTTCAGTGTATCACCGTGTTTGCTGTTTTCTGTTGCCGTTGGATGTCATTCAAACTAGAATTTCGATGATTATTTTGCTCTATCTTGTTTTTGTTTTTTTTTGTTTTTCTTCTGATATTGTTTTTTTTAATCTTCATCGCGAACAGGTAAGTCTACAAGAACGGGCCATATGTGAACATCTTTAAATTGTTCCGTCTGATGGACGTATTGATCGTGTCTTGTATTTGTAGTAATGCGATTGCTGTTTGTTTGAAATTTCTCGACAAGGGGAAATGTTCCATTAGGGTCCTTCCACTGCTGCGAAGCTTTCCGAAATGGTCATTTTACTACGCAACTGCGTCGTCGACCTTCTCAACGTCGAAATACTGCGCTTTCTCCAGAAGCCGAGCGGATGACTGACAAGGATGTCGCTGTTAGGTTCTGAGTTCAATCCGCCATGCACATTTTCGCTCAAATCTCCTACTCAAATAAGGTTCATCTTTATGCTGTTGTTTAACTTTGACTTCCCGGCTGGGCTGTGCAACGGCACCGAGAGTTGGTGTTAGAGCAATTTGGTCGGAACATTCTCGGTTTGTCCGCAATAGCTGCATTGTCCCATCAGGAAATCTTCCACAACTTGTTTTTAAAGAAATTGCAAACGTTTTCGTAAATTCTAAACGAGAAGAGTAGTTATTTCGACTCAAGACGGTTATTATCTGCTAAATCAAAACCATTCCGCCCCAAATCAGACCAATTTTACAAACAGATACGAAAAATTAGCCATTCGTATATTTTTCAAATATATTGTTTGTTTCTCATCTGAATGTGGCATGTAAACCATCGGCAATTTTTTCCAGAATTTCAATCGGATTCGATTTCAAAATTGAAATACGGAGAAATAAATCAACGATTTCGAAGATTTTTGAATTAAAACCATGTTTTCGAATTTAAAAGCGTTCTCAATCGAATTTATATTATTTTTCAATTTAACCAAGTCAATTTATATTTCATTTTTCTTCGAATCCGATTGATATCCATCTGAGCCGAGTTGTGCAAGTTTTTTTTATACAAAAAGAAAAAATTTCTTTGGTGTTCCATAACCGTGCCAGAGAAGCGACTGTAAACAATTTTTGGTAGTCAATTGATTGAAACTTGCAAACATTGGCATTCTCATTTAGTCATCCGCTGCTAATTAAACATTTAAATGCTTTCGAACACCGGCCATTTATGGCAGAAACTTTTCTGTAAGAGATGGCCGCGAAAAAATCCAGGCCATTTCTGTGTTTCATTTGCTGGCCTACGCGCGCGTATCGATATATATCGTGATCACGATTATTATTTCTGCGAGACTGCGACGTTTTTTGCCCTAAACGAAACTCTCAGGTAAATGAGAGTTTCAATCGAGAAATTAAATATTAATTAACCTGATTCGATTGAAAATTTAAAAATTGAGAATTCTGGTAACTCAAGACAAATCGGATCCGACAAATTACCAATCGTATTCGAAAATAGCCAAAAAACCAATCGGATCCGACAATTTTTCAATCTTATCCGTAGAATTACCAATCGGATAAGGTTGATTCCGGAGTCGAATTTTGTCGGATCCGATTGGTTTTGAGTTACCAGAGAAAGTGTTTTTTTTTTTTTGAAATTCGATTGAGAAAATTCGATTCAGAAATTATTTTTTTTTTAATAAATCTAAGAGTGATTTATTTCTCGGTTAAAATTTTGGAATATACAAATAAAAAAAAGGAAAAATAAAAAATTTAGTGGTTCTGCTAATCGCTTTAGAAAAATAATATTAATCGTTTCTGTTTTAATTGTTTTATAATATTTTAGGAATGGATGAAAATGTTGCCGAAAATGCGACGGATAAGGTTGATGCTACCACTATGAAAAAGGACGACGAAAAATTGGATGATGACCGAGTTCATATTAAAAACATTCCACCGTTTCTTGGATTCAAACAGTTCAAAAAAACGTTGGAAAAGTTAGTTGTAACATATATTTATTTCAAAATTGTGTTTATTAAGAATTTTAAAAGAAATAAAACCAAAAAAGTTGAGACACATGAAGGATTATGCATATGTTACATTTGAAACACCAGATGAAGCACAACAAGCAATAGAGGCTGTTAACGGGTACGAGGTAAATCTAATTTTTAAGTTTCCAGCCGATGATCATCATTATTCTAGATTAAAAAATTTGTATTGTCCGCGGAACTAGCCGCTACTGAAGTTAAAGACTTTCGGGTTCGTACGGATGATAGAAAAGTAAACATTTCGACTATTTTTCTAGATCTATACTTAATTTTCAGTTCGACAATCCAAAAACGACAAAGGAAGTCGTTACCCCGCTATCTGAAGTACCGTATGAAAATCAACTTGAAATTAAAACGCAACAATCAATTAAGTAAGACATTTGTCTTCACTTTTCTTCACAGCTTCTCATATTGTGTTTTCAGAACGGTAGAGAAACTTTATCGTCAATTGCGAGATGTTAAAATCCAAAATATTGGAAAAATTGCTGAATTCAAACAAAAATTACAAAATATCATTCCTGCTCCAAAAATCTGTGGATATCGTAATAAATGCGAATTCACAATTGGAAATAACATGAATGGTGAAATTACCGTGGGATTCGTCGGCGGTCGATTTTCAAAAAATCAGCATTATGTGATTCCGCTTGAAAACGTCGACATAATCAGCAAACAAATGTACGCAATTGTACAAGATGTTCAAGATCTCGTTAAAAATTCTGGTTTGAAGAATTTGTGGGAAACCAGCATTTTATTCAAGTTTCAGACCTTGAACCATTCAACGAGTTCGAACGAAAAGGATTTTGGAGAATGCTCACAATTCGGGAATTTGGAGGAGATGTTATGCTCATTTTCACCGTATTTCCTGCTGAAAACGAAAATGACAAAAACGCTGAAGACGAAATAAAAACGAGAATTGCATCAAGATATTTGAATAACAGCACTTTCATAGAGAAGAAATTCCGAGTTGTTAGCGTTTATTGGCAGCAAATGATTCATTGCAGCGATCCGATTAAATATGAGCTAATTGGAGGTACAATCTTGAAAAAAAAAGAGTACAGATAGTCTTAAATTTTTTGTTTTTATAATATTTATTAAAAACATATTTTTTTATTATGATTATTATTACCTACTTCAGGAGCTCCATATATTTATGAATCATTACTCAATTGTCGATTCCGAGTGTCACCTTCTGCATTTTTCCAAACGAATAGCCGCACAGCATCGGTGCTATATCGTAAAATTGGTATTATTGATAATACGGATCACTTAACCTTTGTTTTTTTTTTATTTTAGGAGAATTTTGTGAATTGGCGGAAAACGTAGATAACCCAACAGAAAACACTGAACATTTGAAAATTCCACCAGTAGCTGAAGGAGAATCTGAAGAAGTCGAACCGAAACGAATTAAGCTTGATGGTGGAGAGAGTGAGGAAAAACCATTCGATTATGGAACTGTATTACTTGATATCTGTTGTGGAACTGGAACTATTGGGCAATGTGTTCTGAAAAGCCTGGGAAATTCTAAGAAGATTTGCTGTGTTGGAATCGAAATGATTTCGGAAGCCGTAGAAGACGCGAAACAAAATTCTAAGCAAAACAAATTGGACGGAATTTGGTATTATTTTCCAGAAAATGTGTTCAATTTGTTTATTTTATTTTAGTAAATATATCGCTGGTAAAGCAGAAGACGTATTCCGTTCAATGAAATATCATTTACCTGTCGGATTTGACCTGAGAAAATCGCGAGTTGTCGGAGTCTTGGACCCGCCAAGAGCTGGTATGCACGAGAAGGTGATTTTGGCGTGCAGAGAAGTATGAAATACATTTATTAATGTTCCACTATATTAAAAATTTCAGATGGAAACCATGAAACGATTAATATTTGTGTCTTGTGATCCAAACGCAGCAATGAAGAATATAGTAGATTTATGCCGGCCAACGTGAGTTCATTTTAAATTTCAATATATTCTTTTCGTTCCGGAGAAGTTATTTTTGCACGCATTTATAATTTTTTCACGGGAGAACAATTAAACTAATATTTTGTAGCCAAGATATTTTATCTCCCCATTTGATTTTCTATATAACTCAGAAATTATCCTTTTTATATATTTCAGATCAAATAAGTTCGTTGGTGTTGCATTCACAGTAACTAAAATCCAACCAGTTGATATGTTCCCAATGACGAATCATTTTGAGTGGATAATTCAACTCGATCGATAAAATATTTATCTTATCAAATTACTGATATGTTGGCCTCACTATCTATTAGTTTTTCTTCGTTGTTAAACCATCTTTTGTTGACCTTATTTGTTATTGTTGTTACTTTCTTAGAAAATATTCAATTTTTTTGATTGGAATTGGTTATATTTTTGAAAGAGTTCTCTAACGATCTCTTGAATTTCTTATACACGCATTTAAACCAGAACTGACCTATTGTATCACTTACATATTTGCAGTGTGTGTTATACGAATCATGAGCTCCACTCAAGGACAGGTGTGTTTTAATTAGTTGATGAGCGTCAAAATTCATATTTAGGTGATCTCTTGCAAAGCCGCTGTTGCCTGGAAGGCGAATGAGCCGTTGTCAATTGAAACTGTGCAAGTTGCCCCACCGAAAGCTCACGAAGTCCGAATTAAGGTAATCGAGTTTTTCGCTCCGATGTCGTCAAGAATTCATTTTTAGATTATTAATACCGCTGTGTGCCACACTGACTCGTTCACACTTAGCGGAGCAGATCCCGAAGGGCTGTTCCCGGTTATTTTGGGTCACGAAGGAGCTGGAATTGTCGAAAGTGTCGGAGAAGGTGTCACTGGGTTTGCACCTGGGGATCACGTCATTCCACTGTTCGTGCCACAATGCAAGGAATGCGACTTCTGCAAGAATCCGAAAACGAACTTGTGTCAAAAAATCCGTGTGACCCAAGGAAATGGATTCTTGCCTGATGGAACATCAAGATTTACTTGCAACGGAAAGCAATTGTATCACTTCATGGGAACATCGACGTTCACTGAATACACAGTAGTTGCGGATATTTCATTGTGCAAGGTGAGGTTTCTACAAACAGATTTTGAACCTGCGCCTAAAATAATAGAAATAATAATAATAAATAATAGTAATAAAGGTTAATGAAAAAGCTCCATTTGACAAAATTGCACTTCTCGGATGTGGAATTTCGACCGGATACGGAGCTCCGAAGAATACATGCAAAGTAGAACCAGGAAGCACTGTAGCCGTTTGGGGACTCGGAGCAGTTGGACTGGCTACTATCATGGGAGCAAAATCTGCTGGAGCAAAACAAATTGTAGCAATTGATTTGAACGAGTCGAAATTTGATTCTGCCAAATATTTCGGGGCTACGGATTGTGTAAATCCCTCTAAACTTGATTTGCCGAGTGGAAAGACATTCCAAGCGTGGCTTGTCGAGAATTTCAATGGCGGATTTGACTATACGTTCGAGTGCGTTGGAAATGTTCATACTATGGTATTTTTACCAAATTAAAATTGCTACTTGGTTATTTCTATTTTTCAGCGACAAGCCCTTGAAGCTGCTCATAAGGGTTGGGGAGAGTCGTGTATCATTGGAGTAGCTGGAGCTGGCCAGGAAATCTCGACAAGACCATTTCAATTGGTCACTGGACGTGTTTGGAAGGGAACTGCTTTTGGCGGTTTGATTTAATATCATTATTTCGTTTTTCTCTTCTTTAAATTAGCAAGGTATTTTTTAGGCTGGAAGAGTGTTGACAATGTTCCGAAGCTTGTCGAAGAATACATGGATAAGAAATTGAAGCTTGATGAATTCATTACTCATCGTTTTGCTATTGATGACATCAACAAAGCTTTCGATATTATGCATAAAGGCGAAGGGTAGTTTCTTTTTTTGTTTAATACTTTCCATATATTCAAATTTTAGATTGCGTTCAATCATTTCGTTCCACTAACTCAATATTCCGAGTTTCCCACTTTTACGGTATTCTGAAAATCCTACTAATTTCTATGACATGCTTGTGATTAATTTAAATAAAGTTTATCGCAAAAATTCTACACATAAACCAATACATCTAATGGAATATGGGCGGTTTCGTTATACGACTGATAGATTATTGAGCACATGCGATTTGGGTATATCTCTGTAATGACGGCTGGATACATTTGCCCGTCCTGCCATGGAGCCAGACATGAATTACCCACTCGCCAATCGGGTGCGAGACCTGAGAAAATCAATTTTTGGAATATTTATAATAAAAATTTTAAACGTTAAAATTCGAACTAACCTTGTGAAATTTGTACATTTTGCTCATTTTTCTGTGATAAATTATTTTGAGAGAAAGAAGATGTCGATGGCCCTATAAAAATAAAATAAATGAAACTAACTAATTTTTTATTTCGAACCTTGATTTTTCTGCTGTGGTTTTGTATGACGATCGCGTGGTGTATTTTCCCTTTTAAAATTCTGATTTGTTTTGAATTTATCATCGCGCTTTGATTCATCTTTATTAAAATTTCGCCTATCTTTCACATCTCCCTTTAATTCATTTTGCCTCGGTGCAAAATTTCGCTCCTGTTTTGGCGCGTCTCTCCTTTGGTCTTCCCGTCTGGCATTCGAATTTGTATCTTGCCTTCTTATATTAGGAACGTCTCTTCGGTGTCCTTTCTCTTCATGCTTATACTGATTTCCCTTATCTCTAACTTCCAAATGTTTGAATCCCTTTTCCAATCCTCGGATGTTCTGATTCCTCCCTCTATTGTTTTCGACTCTCGCGCCTTGGGTTCGTCGTTGTTCGTTATTTTTTACATTGTGTGTTGGCAATCCTTGTGAAGGAATTTTAGTTGACGGCGCGACCATTTCGCCAAGAAAGTCAGCAAGTTTCGGCGTTGCGGATTGTTTGTTGACATATTCCTTAAAATAACCCTCAGAATTACAACAAAATTCGGGACAAGTTATGTGAAAAAACAGATCTTACAGCAATCTCCTCGCCAACACTATCTCGCCCTCGTCTTCGCTTCGGTTTTTCCTCCTTCGGTTGCTTTGGTATTTTAGGTAGTTTCGCTGCTACTGGTTTCGCTTCAGGAAGAGCAACATTCGGTCTACTGAACACTTTTTTCTGCTGCTTAACTTCTTCAGAAAGCAAGTCTTTTAAAGTTTGTTCTCTGTTCTTTGCAAATTCGTCTTGCTCGTCTTCTTTCTAACAAAAACGTATTTGAAGTTCCATAACATTCAATAATGGATAAGAAATTGGCTGATGATTTTCTTACTTTATTTGTTTGAATGACATCATTTGCTTTAAAATTTGCGGATAAGTTTTTCTTCTGCTGAGCAGCTCCTTTTTGCCCAAAAGAAATCCATTTTGGAGCTCCTGTATTCTTACTAATCGAAAATCCCGCAGCTCTACTGGAATTCTAAATCATACATAAATAAAAATAAAATATTTTTGTGAACTCAAAACATACTCTTTCAACATTCCATTTTTCTATTAATTTTGCAACTTTTCCACCAAATACTTTTGTATTTGCTGGCGTTAAAATGAGAAAAATTCCTTCCACTGGGATTTCACTAATCAACAGCACTTTTGTACCAGGCGGTGTGTCAGCGCTGCAAGTTTTTTTTTGTATTCAAAAATAAAAACGTGAAAATAAACCTGATTCCAGAAATTTTTTCAAGTGAAATCGCCGAAATTGTTGTATGACCATCAGTAAGGAAAATGCGCAAAATCGTTGAAGAATCAGGTGAAGATCCAAAATCTTCCCGGATTTTTGGAATACACACATTTCTAAAAAAATTAGAACCATAATTGAAAATCGGAAAATCACCTGATTTTCGAAATCTGAAGAACAGAGGGTCCACTATAGATGCGGCTTTCTTTATTATGCAAATTGACAATGCATTGATCCCCAAAATCGCGAATGTCTTCCTATAATAACTCAATCTATATTATTCCGAAAAAAACATTCTGAAATCGTGATTATAATTTTAATCACCCACATTCAGAAGCGTATTTTCCAGTACAGAAGCATTTTCCGGAAAAATTGCATCAAATAATTCTGCGACATTGTTATCGTTTAAAGACCAGCCCTTTTGCCTCAATTGCTCCATTACGTCTGAGAAAAAAAAAAGATAAAATGGTGATTAAAAAAAAAAGAAAAAAACAATATACTAACGGCCAAAAACCTTGGATAAATTATTAAGATTAATTAAAGAAATTTTAATGGCACAAAGCGTTTATTTACCCGAAAATATTAAATATAAGATCACAAAATATGAAGATACGAATATGAAATATACAGAAATCAAAAAATATGTCGTCGTTAAATCACGGAAAGCTGATTTGTTTTGTGAAAAACCAGGTTGGTGCTCGAATCGCCTTTAAAAAAATTGGTGGTCCAATTTGTGGATTCTTTGGACATTGGTAATATGTACATTTGGGGTAGTCGCCAGGTAGGAATACATCGAGAAAATAAGAATTATCCTCAAGAGCAATAACTTCGTGAATGTTGCCTGAAAATTTTCAAATAATAAAAACATGAAGTTATAATTATTTGTAAAATTTTACATAACATTGTAGTTTTATTTTAAATTTCTTATCATTCTCCAAGTGCTTTGCTTATTTCGTACCTCTCTGCGCATCCAAAAATGTCGAATGAACCTGGTCTCGACTGGAAATTATTTTTTCTCCATCAAATCGAACAATCGCATTTCGACCCCACGGATTTCCTTCATCTCGAATTGTTTGCAATATCGAGTAAGTGCGCAGCTGAAAAATCGAAAATGAAAACGAGCATCGTAAAAAAGATTAATGGAACACTATTCGACGTTACGAATGACCTTGATTGCTTTATTCTTTCAATCTTCACGTTTGGCTCATTTCATAGCAATGACATATACATTTTATGATATTCGAAAGAAAAAACGGAAAATGTAAAAAAAAAATTACCAAAATTGAACCAGTGATAACTTTCATGACGCCGCTCATGTTTGGATGGTCGTGAAGTGGAACTTTATTGCCCTTTTTCCTGAATAATAAACGTAAAAACATTTTTAATGAAATTTTCAACATCAATCCAAAAATGTTTCCATGAATGAAGTCGTCGCGATAAATGTCCGTATATTGAACTGCGGGCTGCTTCTCGTATGGAGCGGTGAACACCATTTTAGGAGGAGGGAGAATATGTCCTGTAATTATACATATTTCTATAATTTTCAATATTCATCGGGAGAATTTTTATTAATTTGCATATAATTAAATATTAAAACTCACGAAAATTGAACGAATCCATACAATTGATTTCAGAAGCAATTTGATCTAATGTGATTTTGCCTTTGTGTGCATCGGAGCCGAACTTTGCCAATTGCTGTCCGATTGCGTGTATTCTCCATTGAAAATCGAGCATATTGAATTCTGAAAACCATTATTGATGACACAGGATTACTATAATAAGTAGGAAGAAATTAGAAGAAAACGAATAAAATAAAATAACAAACTGTACTTTTTACCAGAAATGATTTGAAGTTTGTCATTCTGAAAAAAATCATTAAAAATGAAAATATCACAAAATATTATAATCAATGGTTCGCAACATAAGACAAATTTTTAATAAAAATTGATAGAAGTATTGTTTATTATGCAATATATGGAAAAATGAGATAATTATGAGGATAAAATAACGAATGGGGCTACCCGAAAATATAATTATTCCAATTATCACATTACTTATCACATTTGTAGCAATCTCTAATCAAAATTAAAACAAAACCTCTTCTATAGTCGATTTGGGATCAGGAAATGAAATACTCCAGACTTTTGAAAAACATTCTTCATTTGCGCACGATTCAATTACGTCATAAAATCTCGAAGTCATTTTCAAATTGCACTCGGGATCATCTTCAGCCATCACCGGGAAATGTATTGAACCAATTTTCAAATTCTTAGGAGTAAAAATATCTGCAGAATATTCATTGCATTTTGACGAGCTGCTGGAACTGAAAACATTTTTTATTGAAATAGACTGCTACATTTTAAAGACATTTGACTTTCAAAACCTATTCATACGATTTTCTATTTGAGCAAATTTTATAAAGAAAATATTTCAGCGTTCTCCACATCCATTTTTATCCTAAGAAGTGAAAACATACTGTTCATTTAAATTCAATTTGTCAAATTGTCCTCCAAAAGCAGAATCATACGACTTGACATCGTTGGTAGCTATCACCACATCTTCGCTATTCCTCCATCTAACTACGACATCTGGACTGGTTTTAACTTTGTCCATTTTCTTGGGTGGCGGAGTCCTGTTCATAGCCGAAGGGACCCATAGAAGACGCAATTGAACCGTGCTATTCTGTATAAATATTTCTGGTGTTTTGAGAGTGTAACTAGTCTCAACCTTTGTAATTATTCCAATAAATTCTCTACAAACTTCTTCTTTCAAGTCGAATTGGCTTCCATATGTGATATTAGTGAGGACATACCCATCAACATCTTCGTGCGGAAAAATATCGAAATGTGGAACTCTTTGAACCAAATATTCGTATTTTCCCATAGTAGTCTGAGAAATGAGTATTTATCAAACTCTTCTAATTGTTTTGCATTGAACTTAAAACACTTACTTCGGTAGACAAAACAATCTGAAACGGGGATTTCGAATGCGCTTTGAATACATCGATTCTTGCCAAGCTTTTCAAAACGGCATCGGTTTTCGAAATAATATTTATTGATTTCGCAAAATTGAACAGATGCGAAGCTGAAAAATGTTATAAATTTTATAAAAAAAAACTCAAATGAAACTGTGCACCATCTCCATCGATATCTCGCTTATACAAACTGACGAAAGCCGAATGATAAGAAGGATGAGTCACATCGATCCTGTCAACTCCGACCGCTTGAAGTTCGGCAGAAGCGATTGCATCGATATTGATAATACTGTCAAATTTACGAGCAAAGTATGTTGGTTTATTTCGGGCTTTCTGAATATTTAAAACGATACGACATTTTTTGTCAGAAAATATTTGCCCACTTCCATATCAAACTTTGAAACAGTATCATTGCGAAAAACGAGTGGTGAGCAGCCACACCAATCAACGACCTTCTTCAATCCTTCACACCGACATCCCTGTTTTCTGTACCAATTAGTCAATCGCAGGTTACTGGACAACACATTTCCGCAAAATTTGCTGTTGTGTGAAAGCTGAATACTTTTTTGAAGACTGAAGAATAAATTGAAGCAAGTACTGTGTGGTAAAAGCTTTCCAGTGGCAATAAAATACTCGAGAACATTTTACGAAGTTTCGACGGCATTTCTTCACTGCTAACCTGTGAGAAGAATTGCTATATAATTGAAAAAATAGTATAAGTTACAGAATATTCTGCTAAGTCTCGATGTATTCCAACCCAATCGGATCCCCCATCAATGCGCAAATTTGAAGGAAAATCTCTGAAATTCAATAATGAGTAAGTCGAAATGGTGCTCGTTTTACCGTCTTCCGATTCTCCACATTCTTTCTTCACATTCTAGGAACACATATTCGAATCCTTGCTTTTGGATGAATCTTCCTGTATTATATCCATGAGCGGCTAAGAAAGAATAACCGATATTACTGAAAAAGGAACATTAAAACTATTTTAAAATGCTAATATCTCACGCATTTATCAAATTTTCAAAGTCTTTGAAAGGCAAAACCGGAAAATCACTTTCGGAGAAGTTTACAATGTAATCCCAATCATTGATATTCTCATTTTGCAATGATTCTCGAATAACTTCCAGAAACATTTCCAACAAAGAAGCTCCGCCCCATATGGTGCTGAATCGTTTCTGTGAGATCACAACGTTTTCTAATTTTTTCGCAACTTTCGTCATTTCTGAAAAACTGTTTGATTTTATCAATATGAGAATGCGTTATTACCAGAGTGCATGAATTTTTGTCGTTTGTCAACGTGAATGTAATAGTAATGATTTTTGGAATAGATCGACCTAATAAATCGTTTGACCTAAAAGTCATTAGTCATTCATTAACTATCTTCTCGATTTCTCACCTGTCGTTCATTACGACCATTCAATTGAAGGAGAAACAAGATTTTTGCTTTTTTCACTTTATTGCTTTCGTCGATTTCAAATTTTGGCTTTGAAAGCGATACTTCTTCTGAATATTGATAATTGTGTGTTATTTCTCATAACTGTTTTTAAAAATTATATTTTCGAATATTAAATTAATCAAAATATGCTATTTTCAAGCACGTTTACGTTTTAAGCCGGTTCGAAAAATTTCAATCGCGTTGAATCCTCCGCAAAACTCATCACTCCCAGAACATTTATATGTTGTACAGAGAGCATCGTCAATATTTGTTGCATTTCGAATTTGGTTGCCACAGAAACATTCCTGGCCGAATTCCAAGCCTTAAATTCTAGTTTACACTTTTTTATTTTTTTTTTTTGGAGCAAACCATAATAAATGAATCCAGCTTTGTAACAATTTTTATGACAAACTAGTTTGGAATTGGTTTCCGGCAATTTATAGCTGAAATCGTTCAACGTGCGGCTGTTTATGTCGTCTTTGAAACATCCTACACGGAAATGTTTAAGCTTTGGGTCTACAATTTGAAACATTCTGTATAATATGTCATACTTTTTAAATACCATTATTAGGACATTCGCTTTCAGGAAATGCGTCATGAAAATGGCCTCGTTGTATTTCGCAAGCTACGTTTTCAATTTTTATTCGACAATGCTCAGTTTTTGCTCGCTTTATTGCGCTTAAGGCCAATTCGTCGGTTATATTGCATTTGGCCGGAGACCTCTCATTGATGACTTTAGTTTGCGTCACAACTGTCTCCTGAAAACAGGCTTATTCATTCAAGTGGATAATAATTAGAAACCTGTGAATGTTTCTGCGATGTCGATGCTGTATTGTATAATAAATAAATGTTCAGAAAGAAGAATAAACATATAATTAGAATATAGTGATGAAATCGTTTAGTTATATACATACACGCCATGGTCAATTCCTGAAAAAAAAAACAATAATTTAAAAATATATTGTGAATCTGCTAATATTTCTTACATGCATAGCAACAAGAAAATAAATACGATTTGAAAATATTTAACTGAATTGAAAGGTTGCTCACTATAAACAAAATTGTCAAAACCAACATCTGGAGAGCATATGATTTCTGTGAGATCTTCACGGTTTTAATTCGTGGTTCAATTTCTGTCTTCGCTAAACGAAGAAGAAACTGAGAATAAATGATTTTGACAAGATTAGTGAAAATTAATCATTTTCCACGCGGAGTACAAATTAATAAAATGTGGCCTAGAAAAAAGTAAGCCATCGCAACGGAGCACAATTACTCAATTTTGTGTTAATTTTTCCCTTTTTTTCTCATTTTCTTATGAATTTTACTTTGTTTTGAATTAGTAATTTTAATGATTAACATAAATAACTTCTTATTGTTTTCTAACAAATTCAGAGCATTCAACTGACTACACTATTTACCCATTATAATTTAAAAGTATTTTATAATTGTATATATTTGAGGGAATTTTAGAATTATTCAAACATATCATAAACAGTAACAATTTTAAGAAAGTTGTTTGATGGAATACACCGTATTAGTCACTGTGTTGATTCAATGTTTTCCTTTTTAAGAAAAACCCCTTTGTGCAAAATGGTCAGCGAAAAAATATTTTTGCAGTAAATATCGGGAACTTTTTTCTGTTCACCTCTATTTTGTTTACACCTAATAGTTAATTTTCTTCTTTAGCGGATACGTTGTCCGCAGAGTAATCCCTTGTGTACAAAAAGGAAAATTAAATTAAGAATACAACGGATGCTCCGTTGGATATTCCTATTCATTTATAAAATAGTTGCTCACTGCGTGACATTTAACACATACCACTAAAGCTAGATGTCAAGTTGTGCTTGCAAATATCTTTCGAGCATGCCTTGCAAATTTCTATATTTTCGCAAACGAAATTCATTTAAAATTAATGTTCGTAAAAATATTACGTTCGATTCTTCTATTCCAGTAATAGATTTATGATAAATTTAGCATACGGTAACTCAAATGTTTCAAAAAAAAAACAACAAAGTTGTTAAAAGATTTTTAAACTGAAGCTAATTTCATTGAAAAATCATAATTATTTCCGAAAAGTAAACACAAACGCAATTTTTTACTCGGTTTTTTGAATGTATCTTTAGCAGATGTTTGAATGTTGTACCTGTCAACAGGCCATGATAGGTCATCAGCTAATTCCGAGCTGCCCTTGAGGATGCAAATTGTAATTCGTGCGGTCCGCCTGTTCAGTATTGTAATTCAAAAGTGTGCGCGTATGTGTATTGAGGCGCGTCCTGATATCCTCTTCCTTCTTGTGTCGTCCTTCCTTCTGTTAGGGGCCGTCATTGTCGTCCACACACATATATACATATATACGGCCGAAAAATGGCATTTGCATACGAGAGATCGACCATTCTGTGCGCCCTATCATAATCAAACGCTATTTCGCATTGACGAGTGACGAGGCAAACGGCCACCAAGCAGTGGACACACGTACTACTACTACAACCCGGAGAGCGGAGAGCGCATTCGACCGATCGATACATTAGTCGTCCATTCACCAATACCCGCTTCTCTGCGGCCTCTTCTCATCTGTGGTGGTCCCAAAATCGAGAAGCTCCCCTTCGTCGCTCTTCTTGAGTTTTCGCCTCATCCCTTTCCTTTCTTCCTTGCTTCTTCATCTTAAGTGTGTGCGGTGCATGAAATTATTAAATATTCTTGATTCTGCTCCATTATTCATTGTTAGGCGTTGTCGAAAGAAAACGACGACAAAAATGTATCGCGAGATTCTCACGAAGCCACCCAAGACGAATTGTTTGATCATTAAAAATAATGATGTTTTTTCTTCTCGATTTGGACTTTTCTAAATATGCCTCATTTTTCTAAATTTTAATGTTTCTATTTTTCCCACAAAATTATGAGATTGTTTAATGTATGGAACAAAGAGCTCAGTTTTCGTCGTAACATTTCAATGTCTTTCTTTTCTTCCTTAAAATTTCGAATTCTCAATGGCACATTTTACTCGCCTTTTTGAAATGTTGCATGCATTTTCAAAAAATGTGTGACGTTTTGACGAAAAAAAAAAAAAAAAGAGATGGGACAACATCTCTTTTTTTTCATATTCCTCCCCACCTTGAAAATTTGCAAGGCTCGGAAAAGCTCTACACGATGTTCCGGTCTCATGCTTTTATCTTGCGAGCCAAAAAATATAAATTATACGCGAATTCATGCCAATGCATTCACCAAAGTAAAAAGAAGTTCTACTTTTATTCAGTCCTCTTTCGTTTATTTTATCATTTTTTGGAATTCTCGATTTTTTTCTTGTAAAAATCTTGTTAAAAAGGTAAAAACAAAACGACGTCTTCTTCTTTTTAGCACCTTCAAGGGTGTCTTAAAACAATAACAAAAAATTCCGCCACCAGTACCTCTTCGTCCACCTTTTCCACCTCATCTTCCCACCAATATATGTATATTGACTGGTTTTTTGTGCTTGAAATAGACGACTCACCCGTTTTGACAAGTGCGCGGGGAATATACACATACGATGCATTATTTTCAAATTAAAAACTCGGTGACGAGTGCGATATGTGTCCATTTCCACTCAAATTTGTCTCTCTCGTTTATTCTTTTTCGAAAAAAGTGCTTCAAATATTTTATTGGCACGTCTGTTTCCAATTTGAAGCTTGGAGGTATCGGATTGCATTCCGGCTAGAAAATACTTGAAAATCAGCTGGACGACATCCCTTTCCTAATGGGTGTCGAAAGTGGTTTTCGGCACACTCAATCGAAATTGCATTCCGTTCTCTTGTTGATTCTGTTTCCATTTTCTTGTGCTCGAACTTTTCCGATGCATTCGTGAGCCGCCGCAGATTTCTTTCGAAATTCCGATAAATTTCCGTTGCATCTTCTTCTGCCCTCCGCCGAACATTACGACTTTTCGCATTCTCCTATCAATGTCTATTTTTTATTCCTTGATTTTCTCACATCAATCCACCGATCAATCATTCGTGTGGCGATTATCCGTTCTTTTTATGCGGGAATTCGCATAATTTCTTCACTGTCAGATTGCGTTCATTTCCCTATCATTTTCTCAAGATTTTAAATGATAGAGTTTGAATTGCAACCTCACACGAGACTTATTATCATACTTGAAATCAAAATGCGAATATGACAACGTGCAATTATTGGCATTTATGATCAATGCAACATATAATTAGGTATCATTCAATCTTGTTAGACACCAATTTTTACTTTTAGAGTTACAAAAAGTAATTCTTCCTAAATAATTTGCCAAAATATTTGTTTTCAATTGAGAATATCACCCGACAACACAGTTATCTACCAATTTATCACTTTAAATAACCGTACAACTTATTTGTCAGAACTGACTCTCAATATTTGCTATTAATAAACAGTTATTATATTTCCATTTCAAATTGCGCAAGGTGTCTATTATTTTCTCTATTATGGAATCGTTGAGTCATGTGCCCTATTTGATAACAAAATCGGAAATATTGAAATCAATTTATTTTTGATAGTCAAGTATTTGAATCTTGATGTTGGTTTAATTTATTTTGAGACTTCAAAGATTTTTTTCAATGGTCGTTAAATTATATAGTTTCTTAGAAAGTCCGTTCAAAAAAGTGTACGTTTTCCTACTTAAAATAGAATTTCTTTCATGATATTTGGTTTGTCATTTTAGCTGTTTCGTTTGACTTCAATTCCGTTCTTTCCTATCTCAAGTTTCCGGTGCGAGAAGCCTTAAATTTGTGCACTTTTCCAATTTCCAGTTGCTCTTTTTTTCATTCCTCGCCATTTTCAAATTTGTCGTTTCTCCTAATCCGAAGCACATTGTACCGGTTATCAGTGGACACGGAAAAATTTGCCGATGATGTGTCGTGTGTTTTCCCGGCGAATGCTCGCGCACAGTATCTGTTTGTTGTGTGTAGCAAAAACTGCACATGTTTCGGCATTTCGGCGGGCCGCCGCTCGCCCTCCATCTTGTCCCGTTCTCTCTACGGCCACCACCACTGCAAATCGTTCCTTCAGTCTTCTTTTCACCTTCGTGGTCAAATATTGGGCACCCTTCCCACAATCTACCACGCACATACACACACACAAACAGTCTGCACACTTTCCAATACGCACATTTTAAAGCTGTTTTTTTTTTTTAATTTTTTTTCGTATTCTTAATTATTTTGTTTCCTTCCAGAGGTGCCCCGAAATCAAAACAATTGTATTGTGTGCATTTTAAATGCCTACAGACAAATGGGGAAAATCGAGAAGTAATTTCTGAGCCATAAAATTTCTTTTCGCAATAAAAATGAGGTATGTCTTTCAAGATTTCTTTCTGAAATACATTTTTTGCAAAAATTGTTTCGAATGACACCTGTTCGACGATTTTTACAACGCCGATATAAATTTGTTATCGCATTTGTTAATTGATTTCGAGCTGATATCTCTGATTCAAAAAAGACAGCCGATAGAAGATTCTGTTCGAGAAAATATCTTGTTTGAATTTTAAGAAAAAAACCGACATGGAATTTTCCGAGAAATTAGTTTTTATAAATACAAGTAGAACATTTTCAATTTGTTATGCGGTGTTTATTTGCAAATGAAAAACATAAGATATGATGACCTTTCGAAAGGGGCTTTGATACTGATAGCATTATTTTGTTTGCTTTCACTTTGGTCGTAATTGAGGAGTTGAATAAACATAAAAGATGCCGGCTTTTAATGAATGAGTTTTACATTAATGGTGCAGGTCACTCGCGCTTACCAAACAAAAGTATCGTTTGAAACATAAGAATAAAGTGATTTATGGTCGTTAGGTGTGGGAGAGTAATAAAATCAAATTCAAATTTTCGCTTTTGTTAAACTTTCAAAAATCGTAGAAGACTGAAAAATAAGTATCTGCATATATATAGACCACTTCATGTGAAAAAAAAAACCAAAATATGCGGTCGCATGCTTTAAGACCATAGCGAAGACCATATTCATTTGCCGTTTTTTTTTTCAGTGCTGAAATATGTGTAGCTGCCGCGTTGGCAGAAGTCATGGTATACAATGAGGCGTCTAAAAAATGGCAGCCACCACTTGGAACTGATGGACAAATCTCAAAGGTTTTAATTTCACGTGTGATTCATTTCATAGAAATTGTGTCGTTCAAGGTGGAAATCATGCAAAACAGCCAACGACCATCTTTTCGAATAGTATCGGCGCGCGAGACCGATGGAAAATGGCTTTTAAATTGCAATATACATCACAAACTGAAGTATCATAGCGCGACGGCGACATTCCATCAATGGCGTGATGAGCATCGGCAGGTTTATGGACTCAATTTCCAGTCGGAATCCGATGCGCGAACGTTTGTTTCCACGATTGGACAGGCGATAGATTATCTGACGCATCAAGGCCTCAATCATCCTAACGATTATCAGCAGCCACAACGTGAGTGTTTTGGGATTATCCGATTCAAATCGTCTTAAAATGATTTTGTATTTGTTGTCAATGCATATATCAGAAAGAAAATTTTGAAATGTTTTGCTGTAGTCGTCAAGAATTCATGAAAAATATTGACTCGAAATCTATAGCATCTGTTCCAGGTTTGATATTGTTAAACCGATATAGTGCCTGAATAACTTTCTTATAAGAAAGTAATCAATCTAATTAATAAAGTCGACCTTCTTTTTTCATTTTGTTTCAAACTGAAAATTTGCGGTAAAAAATTGGAGATCATAAAATCAATGTTTCATTCCTTTTCTACGTTAAATATTTTATAAATTCATTTCAGCCGCCGACAACGTTTATCAGGATCCTCACCAACACATTATGCATATTCAATCTGCACCTGCCTTCGATCACAATGCACACCACCATGATGAAAATCAGAATGCAAATTTTAGGTTTTACTAATTTTTTATTGTTTTGAAGTCCAACATTGTCGTTTTTAGGAAAATTTCACAACACGCCAATTCTATAGCATCATCATACCTTACGCAACAACAAAGGAGAGCATCGCAGAGTTCTAATACGAGCAGTGGAAATGCTATGTATCAACATCATCATCATCAGGTATGAAATGACTTTCGATTCAATATATTTAAATATAATGAAATATTTTTGAGGAACAGACGGATTCAAGACAAGGCTGGAATAATGGACCAATCCAATCCAATAACATTCCTCCTGCGCCTTGCGCACCGCCACCAATGGCGCCACCTTCTAATTCCGTTCCACCTGCTCCACCTCCGCCACCCGGTGGAATTCCTCCTGTTAATTCCGGTGCACCTCCGCCCCCACCACCTCCGCCGCCAAATTTGGGACTTGCCGCAATGAATAAAGGAACAAGGTATTTGCTCCCTTCTACATATTTTTTGTTATAATTCGCTATATTAAGTCTTGCCGATCAGTTGAAGGCACGAGGTCAACAGCTGAAACCGAACGGCGGATCTTCGAAACCCGCGCAAGAGCCGGAGAAACCAGCTGCACCAGCTGGAGGTTTGTTTTAGTTTTTCGTATCATGAAGAGTTTCATTTTAATTTTTAGCTGGCAATTTGATGTCAGAACTTGCTGCGCATATCAACAAACGTAAAATGACGCAGGCCAAGGCGGATGCTGTCGATTCCAAGTCGAATACGAGCAACGGTAAGTGTCCTGACGCACATTCGCCTTCTTCTTACCATCAAATTTTTGCTGAAGGATCATCGGATAGCGGATGTGGAACAGCAACATCAACAAACGGATTCTCCAATGGAGGATCGCTTGGATCGGCGACCGCCAAGAAATGGTCTGTGTCTGAAGCTAAACCCACCGAGAGTCCAAAAACTCATAGAAAGTAAGAAATTATTCAAATGTGAAGTTCTCATTTTGGATTTAGGTTACCTTCCGCTTCGTCACTATTTTCACAAGATGATGGTCCAAAAACACCACTCGTTAATGGATCAGGATCCACAATAACCAACGAACTTTTGGACAGGTAGTGATTTTTATTGGAACATTTCATAAAAAATATGTATTGTCGGACAACTGAAGGTAGAGAGGGAATATAGACTTAAAAATGTAAAAAATTACACTTTTTTCAATGCAGCCATTTAAGAATATTTAATTTAATTTTTGCATTTTTTTTTTGTAAGAAAAGGTATTGTCGAAGTCGCGCGACTACATGAAATTGACTAGATGCCAAAAATAACTTACACTGCCAGTATTATTAAAATTTCGATCAGTCGTTGGATGCCGACAATATTGTCAAACAAGATGTATAAATAATGCCAGACGATTTTAATGCGTATTTCTTATGATCAAAATATGTACAATCTCCGTTATCAAATTAATGTTTTTGGTAAGGTCGAGTATGAAATGCATTGCCGATTACAGTAGATATCAATGGTGTGTGTAAAAATATTCACCAAAATGTCAGTTTTTACAATTGTTTTTTTTGTTGGAGTAGTTTTAGAAACAGTTTTGAAAAATGTTTACGAAAAGGTGAATTTGACTAGTGGATTTTTTTTTTCGTCAAAAACATCAAGATATGTGTGCTTGTCACATGAGAAAAACAAATAAGTCGTCAGAAAATAGCGAGTTTCGCAATAAGCCTTTTTTATGGAAACAAAAAATATTAATGAATGATATATTGTAGGTTCAGGGCTGAACTTATGGTTGAAGTGCGTTTGGAAATCAATAAAGCCAAACAAGAAATAATCGAGGCGCTTCGTACCGAGATCGCGAAAAAATAATGCATTTTCCAACATGTTTTTGTTACTTTCTACATGTTTATACACTTTAATATTCAGTTTTACCATTATTCTAATGTATTCCATTTGCATAAATCTTGGTGTCGATATGACGGTGCTCATGTGTGCTGTTTTAAGTTGTAATCTCGTCGTTTCAGTTGTCCAATTTTTTCTTTGTCTCATCGTTTCTACCCACATGATTGAACACGATGATCTTATGTTACACAATGGAAAACGACAAAGACTTGAAAAAAAAGAGCAATCACTTCTTGTGTTATATTCATTTGTTTCGTTTCACTGTTTTCTTTTATCACAGAGTTACTGAACTGGCAACTCCCTTTACTATATATGTTATAATCCATAACGAGGTCGTTCCAATTGCTCCCATTTTAAAACCCCATCTTTGTTTGGTTTCCGACAAGCTGAATTACAATATTAAATGACTCACTTAAAATCATTTCCTCGTTTTTCCTTTAGATCAAAGTTACCCGATCTTTCTTTGTGAACTCTCTCTCTCCCTCTCTCTCTTTTCATGACATTTATCTCGTATATTGTATTATATGTGCTAACTGTACAAGACATAAATTAACGGCACGCGGGATTTGCGCGCGAACATTTTGCGCGTCGTCTTCATGTGTCACTTCATTGACTTTTTCATTCTTGTTATTATGTCGTGTGAACAGAAAAACTTTCAGAATGCAAAATATATTAATATTCGCATTGCTATGTTTGGCTAGCTCTGCTGTAGCGAACTTCGATTACTTGATGTTCACGACGATTAATCCAGTCGCAGTTTGTAGAGCTGATGATGACACTGGTGAGATAACTCTAATTCTAACACATTTGCTTCAGATTTTTCTTGGGTTATAATCCCCATATTTTCCCACTCATTTTTGTAGTGTTTTACGTCGCCACGACTAGTTTTTAACCTTCGCCATGAACACATTTCTGTTGGTTAATATTGTGGAGATTAAACTAAATGGGGGTGTGAAATGAGAGGAATGTGCAATTAATGCCCCACCACAACAGTAGACACGGGGGTGGGCTAATCACTGACCTTCGGACCTCTCTCGGGTTCTCTAGAGATCAGCTGCTCTGGTAAATGAAAAACAATCGGTAAACAATTTTGTTTTTATTCAAAATATACACCAATCTGTTTCGAAACACAAACGGATTTCAATCGAATACGATCTCAAAATTGACAATGAGAAATAAATCAATCGATTTCGAAGAGTTTTAAAATGAAATCATGTTTTAAAATCCAATTTCAATTTTTTTTCAATCGAATCAGGCTAATTTATATATTTTTTTCTTCTGACATTGCCAAAATGTCAAATGGAGCTAACCTCTTTGGAAAATAGGCTCCATTTTGCGAAATGGGATCTTTGCTTGAAAAAATGTCACTCTTCTTCATTTTTCCAAAAAAAAAAACATGTCGACGAGTCAACAAAAAAATATATTATACGTTTTCAGTACCCAATTCTTGTGAAATTCCTTCTGGAACTCCAGAATGGACCATTCATGGACTGTGGCCCAACTATGATAATGGATCGTATCCTCAATTTTGTCAAGGAATTCCAAAACATTTCAATGAAAGTCTTATCAAACCAATTGAAGATGAAATGAAGTGAGTGATTGATCGGTTTGGTTTCGCCAATTTGGTGGTTTTCAGGAAATTTTGGCCAAATTTATACCCGAAAAAGACAGTTAAATCATTTTGGAAACACGAATACGACAAGCATGGCACATGTGCACAAAGTGACGAAAAATTCAGCACCGAATTCAAATATTTCAAAATGTGAGAAATTGATTTTTAACAAATCAAACCAACGAATGAATATACTCAGGATTTTGGACATTTATAAAAAATTGAACATCTCAAAAGCAATGTCGTTGATTGGAAAATCGGAGAAATCTATAAATCGCAAAGTGTTCGAAAGGACCATCGGAACTGCTATTGGCGGGAAACACTTTGAATTCAATTGTCTCAAAGATAAAAAGGTGAATCTAGTTAGCAATTTTAAACGAAAAAAAAAACAACGACTTCTAGACATCGCAATGGCTTCTTGGAGATATTCGGATCTGTTTAGACAAGGATCTGACTATTCGCGATTGTCCCGATCATCATTCTAATCTTGTTGCCAACCGATTCCGAACGCGTAAGAATCACCATAAGAAAACGTCTCTCAATTATCAGCCATTGCCAACCTTCCAGGTAAATAATTAATAAAATATTTATTGAATGCAACCCATAAATTAATTTTTCAGAAATGCCCGCAGGAGTTCATTTATCTTCCATCGGACGCACAATATAAACGTATTATGAACCTGCGCAAATTGATGGAAATTTTGAGAAACAACGACTAATCGTATTGCCATTCTATTTCATATTGCGCGATTCTCTAAAATGGCTCCATATTCGTTGATATTCAAGATATCTGCTCCGAGCTTCTTCGCTCCATCGCCCGTCTTGTGCATTGATTTCTATAAATTTTCATATTTAAATTAAATTGCTCCAATACATTTAATAAAGCAACAAAAACCATTCTGATAATTTTTGAAAGCTTCTAATAATTTTTGCATTTCAATGCAAGTTGAACTTCGTTTTGGTTTTCCGTCTTCCTGAAAAATTAAAAAAAATGATTGGTGAGTTCGAATGAGATCAATTTGATACCTCATCTGTTATTAATTTCTTCACTTCGCTTTCTGGTTCGTCAGCATAATCAATCAAATCTTCTGTGGTTTCTTCGACAATTGGCTCACATGCTGTCGCGATCATGTGCGATTGCACGGATTGCGACGAGGGTATCTTGAGAATCACGTGACGAGATGAGGTATTATCTGAAAGTGTGTTATCAACTATTAGAAAAAAATCTAAATTTTTTAATTTTCGTGTCATTTCAATATTTTCACTTATTTCGTCCTTCTGATCGGTAAATTAGTAAGTTTGTTTCCCATTTTGCTACTCCAATTGTGTTATTCAAAACAAATTCAACATAATTCTATATCACATTGATGTCACTTGACAAAATGAAAAAAAAAAACAAAAAAATAAAACCACCATAGCTTGCAGAACATCCAAGTTTTAGGAAAAATCGAACTCTCTCCGCAAATTTCGAAACAACCCAAATTAATAAAATAATTCTTGCAAGGGATCCTCACATATTTAAATCAAACCATTTTCATCAAATTATTTCAACATTTGGGTAAATGTTTGTGCATTATCATAACTATTTCAAGGTGCAAGTGCAACAATTATGTATAGAAATGAAACCCATCATTCATTCAAATCAATGTAATAATCAATGCAATACAAATGCAAGGGAATAAATTAAATAAAACGAAATGCGATAATATAATTGAATGACATGCTCATGCGAGGATGTGACTTTCATCAAGACATGTTAAATCACAGCAAAATTCACTCATTAGTCCGTCGTTAAATTGCACTTGTGAAAATGAGATAAGAGCGGTTATCCCCGTCGATTATTGTATGGGTAAAACAATGCATTTAAAACTCTGAATAATAATTACGGTTTGATTGAAGAGTGACCAGATCGTCGTCGTCGACATAATGCATCGAGCCGGACTCTATTGCTCGCCAGTAATTCGAATTCATCCAAGCACGATCATTCTGGAATTATTGGTTTTTTTTTAAAACGTTGTCAAAAATCAAAAATATGATTGTTTTTCCATAATCAAATGTATTTTCTTACCCGCAATGTCGACAATTCTCCTGCTTCGACTTTGATAGCATCATCCACAAATTTTCCAAGATCCAAATTATCGAGCTCATCGATTGGAACATTGAATTGATCGCCGAGGTTTTTTACAAGGGCTCTCATTGATATTCTAAATAATCGTTCCATTTCGAAACAATTCAAACCGGTTTACTTTTGTCCTCCAAACCACACTTGAACATTTGCAACATTGTCGATTTTTCTGCCGAAATAATGTAATTTCTTGAGTGTATCTGCCGCGATTTCAATGGCGATTGTGGTTAGTGCGAGTCCGATCGCGCAATAGATCAATGTGATCGCCTGAAAATTAAACACAAGATTAATATTTATAAAACAGGATGTAAATTCAACCAAATATGTATCGGATTGTGGAACTAAATCACCTAATCCTATCGTTGTCAATGTGACAAAATTGAAATAAATTGCCTGAAATAAAATGTGAAATGTAGAACACAGTGATAGTTTCGGATTACCTCGAAAAAATCCATTTCAGGTTCATATGCAGCAATCACAATTGAGCCCACTACAATGTAAACGACGAAGGCGATAAAAAGCACGAAAGTCTCGGTTTCTGAAAATTACAAATATCGGATGATAAAAATTTGAAAAGCAAAAAAAGTGAGCCAAAATGAAAATTGATGATTATCGAATAAATTTCATATCATTCCTTGTATTTTTGTTTCAAGAAATTCAGAAAAAATATTCAAGAGTTTTCGTGCAGAAGCTTGAAAAACGTGCTAACTTACGACTCATTTCAGAATCTGGATCTTCTTCGGAACCTGTACAGCATAAATGAAACCAACCGTATTTCATTTCTCATTTTTAATATTCTAAAATTGCAAAACAAAAATTTACCTTCACTTTTTTCAATTTCGTCCTCATTTTCTCCGCTTGATGATGCATCATCTTCAATTATTTTCGCCTTAAAAATTTATTTTTTTTTCAAATTTTGTTCACCTTCCTTTTATTCCAACCTTTTTCTTTGATTTCTCCATTAATCGTTGGGTTTCTTTTATTTCGTTTTCTTTATTATTATTATTGTTGTTATTATTGCTGAGTTTTCGTCGAATTCGTCTCGCACATATCAGAAATGGCCTCGTCCATGATTTGAGAAGAGTCGCCAGAAACTTTCCAATATTTGCGATTGCCATCATTGTAAAAGGAACTCCGATGAGACCGTAAAATATTACGAATAATCGTCCTTCAAATGTCTTCGGAGCAACATTTCCATAACCTGAAATCCGAAAACGATTTTGTTTCGTGTCGACACACATATTCATTGTGCAACTTCGAGTTGTGCAGCTAACAAATATAAAAAGATGGTCAAAGGTTACATTTAATGCATTTTTCCTATTGGCAAAATGTTTATTTGTTTATTTGTATAATTTTTCTAAATTTAAAAACACCTGCAGACAGATATGTAAATATCAGTCCATAAAAAATCAAATTAACTAACCAATAGTTGTAATGACTGTAAAACAGAAAAGCACTGAATCCATTAGTGTCCAATACTCGTACCCGTCGATTATTTCGTGTTTCGTATGACTTGTCAGTTGATTTTCATCTGAAAAAAAAACCAATTTAAATGGTCCCTATTAAGACGCCCATTTTGGCTTGGTTTTATAGCTATTTAAAGGAATCCTCTAGAGAAAATGATTTTTTTAAATTATAATCCGTTACCTTCGATTCGTTCGGAGGCAACATTTCCAATTTTCCTCAAATCTGCCGCGTAGCACGCATCGAGTAAACTCATTTTACTCTGAAAATATTCAAATTCACGTTTTCTCGAATAATCCAACCAACAAAGAAAATGCGCTGAAAGTTTCAGATTCTCAGATTTATGAGACCCTTGGGGAGAGGGGGGGGGATGGAATGGGCCGCGAGTCGGGCACGCATTATGAGAGCTTTGGTTTTCTTTTCGCCGCAAAAATCAGATTTGACCAAAAGCGTGATAACAAGAGAGATTATTTGCTTGAGTCCCAAGAGTCGTCGAAGAAAAGAACAAACCTGCAGTCTTGAGCAGTTGCCAGATGATGTCATCTCGCGAAGTGCTTTCAACACGCATGCTCGAGTACGATCCACTGAAACATGTCATTTTCTTTAGAACGAAATAAACCGAGAACTCTATTTTCGTACTTACAATTGCTTTAATTTTTCTTAAAACCATATCTCATTCAAGTGTATTGAAATTGTCCAAACTCACATTGAATTATTGGTTCCTCATAGTATTGATCCCTTCGTTTTCGTTCCATTTCCGCGTCGATGTTATTCTGAAAATTGGGCATTCTTTTAATCAAATTTGCACTAATTTTAATCAGTTTATTCGAGTGAAACCAAGAAAGGCACATTTATCGCAAAAAGACACAAGAAAGAGACCTTTGCCGGAACTGCTTCGATTTTTCGAATCGCTACTGCACCGCCAATCACGTACACAGCGACGGCAACCACCATAGCAAGGTGCAATGCATAGGGAGCAAACTGAAAATGCCAATTTTTATTACCCGCTTTTCAAATTCCGAACTTGTTTTTCTTTTCACAGTCGCATTAACACCCCACTAGTGGCAATTAAATAGCACTGTCGTTCTAATTGAAACCCATTATGCAAATCGAATTCATGGATTTGCTTTTAGCTCGCCGGGGGCTTTTATTCGTTGCGAATTTGCACCTAATCTTATTTCTTGCAATCAATCACAAAAATTTGAGGACGAACGAGACGAAAGTTTGACATCATTTAGTAGTAGTCGGAACCCACAAAAGGTTGACAATTAAATTGATTTCGTTCGGTGTCAATCTCGAGTCGCCTAGTATTTGTCATGCATCGGAACGACGCCCCGAAAACGTCCCAATGGGACCTTGGTAGTGGACCCCCCTATTATTTTGAGTATTACTAGCCCGCGGATAAGCCACTCAAAATGAACTCCCAAGCGAGGAAGGAAGTCAAAACAACACTATTTATTCTCAGAATCATTCAAAATTGAGTTTTTCTCGCTTGTAAAGAGCATTCGACAAATTCAATTTCAAATGCGATCGTTGAATGGAAGTTTAGAAGATATGTTTAACTATTTCAGAAGTAAAAATTGTGTTGAAGCATCATCTTCTGAGTCTACATCGCTTGGATACATTTAGCATATTATCGGCTCATTTCCACTGCTATTTTTGTGTAATTTTTTGATTGGAAACTATTTAATTATTTAGTAAATTCGCAAATTCAGAATAGAACTACACAGGTTTTGCGAATTTCCAATCAGTCACTTCAAACTGACAAGAAAAAAAAAGAGGTTATAAAGATAAAATGATTGAAGACTCTCGCCAGCTTTTTTGGGTCTCAAAGCGAAACTGCTCACATCACCATTTATTCATATCAAAAGATGTGTAGCTTGATGCCGACTTTCCGACACTTTTGTGTAGTGCGTGCATCGATGTTTGACCGTTTTCCACTCACTTTTTGTCTCGACGCCCTCTTCGATAAACTCCGGCAGAAACTCGAAAAATATGTTCGTTCGCAACTATTTCGCGACAATGACAAACGAGAATTCGCCTCAAGTTTCACTTCTTTTTTTTCAGCGACACTCGGAAATCAGAAGTCGAATAAATGCGATTCGAAACAACGGCAATCGAATCTAATTCCGAGTGGCCTTTTCTTCAAAAAGACACGACCTCTTGCTTGGGCATTAGCTATATATAAACGGCAAAACGGGTCCCCGAGCGCGAATTCGAAACTTTTTTGATTTGTGACCGAGATTTAGTGAGAAGATTTTTTGAAAAAAAATGCTCTTTTTCTCGAAGATCGTGGGAATTTTCCAATTTTTAATGTTTGGAAGGAGGCTTTCACAAATAGAAAATCTCAAAATTGTGTGGAAAATTCATTTGATTCGATTCGATTCCATTTTATCGAAAAATTGAAAATTTTTAAAAGCCTTAACTTTTTGAAATTTTGAAAGAAATCTGAATAATTGAACTATATTTTTAATCAAGTTTTTTTCTTTCTTCCTGCACTGAAAATTTTCTACTTTTTCTTTTTTAATTTCTCGCATTGACCCTTTTGAGTCACAATCAAATATTTTTATTTTAATTCAAAAACTTATTATGGCTGATGATTTTTGAAATGTCCATAGAAAATTCAATTATCATGTTTCTTCATCGTTTAAAAATATTGTCGACCCAAAAATTTTCCTAATTATAATTGGGTTTTTCAAATTAGTTTCCCAGAAAAAGTGCAAGCAAACCTTTGCGAGGTCAATTTTCTTCTTCGGCGTTTTTGAGGAGCGTGAATGGAACACCATGCTTATAAAATGTTGCGAATATAAGAAAGATAAAACAAAGAACAGACGACGAATATAGAAAAATGCCGAATTTGGGAAGCGTCTGATGTCCGATAGAAAGCCACCCAACGAAATGGGCGGAGCCAACGAGAAGAGCACGATGCCAAGTTTTCATGAAAACACCCAACGAACGAATAACCAACGATCTTATCGCATCCGGATTTTTTGAATTATTACATTTTGAGGCCTTCGCTGAGAATTGCATAAATCGCACGGGATCTCGACCAAATTGCAATGCAATGTCCGCAATTACACTGCACGCATTCTTGCACAGATTTATTCAGCGCAAATATTGCTCGGATGAAAAAAATTAATTAACGCCAGGAAATTAACAACATTTAGGAATTGAACGGACTCGTTATTTGTTTTTTACCAGAGCTCTTCTACAATTTATTGATTAAAAGTGCAAATTTTGCGTTTATTCTCTTAATTGCCAAAATGTTATTGTTAAAATCAAATGACTAATTAAAAAAAATCTATTTCAAAGCGAACTATTTGAAAAAATGTTTGGATGCGTTTTTGATACAAACTGTTATTATTTATACGTTTAATATTTATCAATCGTCTTACTCAAGTTTTAATTTGTCACGCCGCTCTTCAATAATATCATTCGGGACTGTTTGCGGCCATCAAAAGTATATTTCAAATATTTCAACTCAAATGTAGGTACGAGTTCTAAAATTATGAGAATTTTCCTTAAAAACTGAAATTAGGAACTTTAACTCAAATTATTAAAAATTAACTCACAGCCTTCGATCTTTTTAAGATTAGGGAACCGTTTGACTAATTTCTATATAAAGATGGTGAGGATTTGTTTTGCAGTCGGACCATCGAACACATTCAATTCTAGCAAACAAAGCAACACTCGTCATTCATTACTACCAACATATCGAATTTCTAGAACACTTATCTTGATTATTCTAGTTAGCACCTGCTCATTCATGTTTGAGACTGCAATGAGCGCAACACAAAAAAAATTCAGAGGGGAACCCGGTTTTCAAATTTAAGAAGTGTTTTTAAGAGTCAATTCATTGTATTTTCAAACTTGAAGTTTATGCATTTATAAAATACTTTCCCATATTCTCATATTTCATATATTTCCTAGTTTCGTTTGTGTCTCAAATGAATAAAAAACTCATAAAAACTTGACGGCGTTTTCTAATATTCATGGTGTCGTAATGAACGAATTTTTAAAAAGTTTTGTGTAGTCCAACAATGAGAAACTCATCGACTTTAATCTGTCACAATATATCATTTTTTGTTGTTTTTTACGTCACAAATAGGGATCAAAAGAAGACGAATGAATACCCGGAAAAGCGGCGAAAAAATATCGAAGAAACGAAATGAAACGAACCTCTGCAATCTTTTTGCGAACTATTCCCATTTTGCATACTCTCACCTCATGTGAGCCGGCGGGTGCAAATCTGAAACAAAAAAACATGAAAATTACAAATAATAATAATAATAATATTAAAAAAAAACATTTCATATACCTCTCACTCAGGAAAATCAAAAAAAAAATATTTTGAGAATCAAATATTCAATAATAAACTCTAAAATATTTTGAGAAATTCTAAAGTTTATTGATACTTTCTAAAACTTATTGAAAATCACTAAACTTAAAAATACTTTTTTTTAATCTTATAAAATTTTCTAAAATTTGTTGAGCAAATTCTAGTGTCTATAATATTTTAGATTTTTCTCAATCAACTTTAGAAATTATTAGAAGATTTTAGAATTTATTGAGATAATTTAGAATTTGCTCAATAAGTTTTAGTTCGAAATTAAATTTTTAAGCATAATTGGAATACCAGAATAGGGAAAAATATCTAATTTGGCACGATAATTGAATGGGAAATTTAATATGAAAAAATTGATTTTAAATGATTTAGACATTTTAATTTAGTCGAGTGAACGACAATTATTTCAGTGAAAAACAGTTGAGAAATCGATTATTATCAAAATAAAAGAATTTTTCGAAAAAACGTTATTGTTGAAAAAAAGTGGCGAAGCTTAACCAAAAATGGGTTGTGGGGTATGAATGAAGCAAGAGATCTCCCAAAAAGGACATGAATGATAAAACACATAAGGAATAAAATATTGTGTTGCGACAACAGACTATACATCATGTATTTTTCAATACCACGTTCTACATGTTCTCAACACTATTTTTAGCTTTTTCTTAAAAAATCTATGGATAATAAGCAGAAAAGTTCAAGAATTGAATCAATTGTTTGAAAGCTTTTGACTAGATTTGAAGAAAAAATGAGATTCGCATATTTTCTAAGCGATGTCGCAAAATATGAACACTTCTATATTGGCCGTTTATGGCAATACAGTTATGCAAAATAATACTTATTTCGAGTTCCTTCCGTAAATATTCTATATCGGCATAAACAATCTTAAATTTTTTTAGATCGAGAATTTAAGAACCTGACCTGACGGATCAGCTGGTCAATTTACAAGTAACTTGAAAAAAATAATTGAATCGAGAGGAAGTGAAGCAATAAGCGATTCGATTCGAAAACATAAATCATGATGTTGCGGACATTTTCGAAATTGAAACAATTGTTGTTTCATCTTCTCAAAACAATTGGCTCCGAATCAATTGATTTATTATCTTAAAACAACCAACCTCACTGTCGATTGCTGCATTCCTCAATTCTTTCAAACACGAAAATAATAATTATGAAAAAGAATCAGAAGCGCATCGAAATTGAATATGAGACACACACGAATGGGCACGGTTGACGCAGCAGTTTTCGAGGTGTGAGAATTTGAAATTCGAACCCTTTTTTGGAAGCACCGAGCCGCCAATGTTGGTACACTAAAATATACATACATACATCGAAATATATATTTGGCAAATCAATGATCAAAAAATTCAGACAAATAATGACGAACATATGGCGGAGAATTTTTAGTTGATGGGGACCCGACGGCACGGAATTTACGAGAATTCGGTGAGATTTAAAAAATTGGTACTAATTTCGATTCATGTTCTTTTTCTTCTCGAAGAACAAATTATGAAATCACGAAATAAAAATGGCATTTGCTCTTGAAAAATTCTTGGAATTTTCATTTAAAAGGCTTTAAATGAGATTTCGAAGATTCTACATCATATGTATATTCAAGGATATAGAATGTTATCTATTTAATTTAAGAGTTTTTTTTTAATTTGAAAAAAATTAATAAATAATGTTGAATAAAAAATACGACAATTATCAATCAAAATGCCAGGAACATTGATGTTTTAAGAAAACCAATGATAGGAACAAGTAGGCTCATAAATATCTGTCTTTTCTGAAATAGCCCATCAAAAAATCATTGCTGCTCTTAAAAACAGTTGTATTTTGAGAAAACCATCAAAAATTATATTAAAGGTCCGAGTGAAAACAAACGATTTTTCAGAAAGTTTTTAGGTAGTCGCCAGATTCGACATTTTCAAACCTATTATTTTCTGTACTTTTGCAAAACTCATAAAAACTCCATTAAAGAATCGATATAGCAACGTTTTTTTTTCGAACAATTTTGATCGTCTCAATGCACACAAACTACTACCTTCACATGAAATCGACGAATATTACCCTATCCAAAAATTTTGTTCGGACCAAATATGGAAGAAAAAATTTATTAATAAAACATGAAGGAAAGTGAAAAAATTTGATACGCAGGTAGACGTGGAAATGAAAAAAAAAAGCAAAACGATACGCCTGAGAAAATTTGTCGTCAAATTACAAGATCGGATATGATATTATCCGATTTTGAAGCCATATCGAGCCCAATAAATTATCTGTAATTATATGATTGAAATATCATTATTTGAAAAACGATTATTGAAAACTAACATTGAAAACGCTGAAAGCGGCTGGAAACAAGAAACATGCAATTTTGTCGATTTTTTCGATGAGTTTCAAATTATCAGGCGACTGCAAAAATACGAAAACGAAAATGTTCAATGTTGCCAATTCGACCCACATTTTTCTGTGATTTATAACCGACAATTGCGAGTTCAATTAGCGAAAGGAACACAAATGTCATCGAGCACAACATCCATATATCTGCAAAAAAAATGATGGGATCGTATGATGGATGAGTCTGATCGCCATCCATCTTGCTTGATTTGAATACCAAATATGCCCACAAAATTAGATGCTACCTATAGCTTTGATGTAAGAGACTCTTGGCAAATTTTTCATTATTGATCCGAAATGAAATATCATTGAAAGTAACGCATTCACACCAATAACCGTACGCGGAGTTATCGCGTGAGGACCCAACGAGAAAGCCAACCAGCTGAAAATGCAATTAAATGTGGGCGATAAAATAAAAAGAAGAAACCTTATGAAAATTGAGAAGAAAGTTGGCAAATATGCTTGTAAAAAGTACCACATATATCTTCTTTCGAATACAAATGTAACAATTAATTCATCCCAAGATCCGGCTGGATAACTTCTTCTGATAACGGCCGGTGTGATTTCGCGAAGAAAGAAATCCGCAATCTGAATCTAAACAATTCATATTTCAAGAGAAACGAGATACTTGTCTTTGAATTTTGCTAAACGATCTGATTGAAAATTTTGTAAACCTCTTGTAACGTGAATACTGGTTTTCTGTAAGTCTTCCAATGTAGTCGAACTTCTTCATTGTTGTAAGAAAAACTGAAAACGTTATTGTCGATTTATGTAGAATATCGCGATGATGTACCTTTGGTAGTTGAGACGACAAGACTGGGTATCCATTGGAAAATCCTCCAAATCCATGTTGCAGGGTCCTTTGATTTTAACTCTCTACATATTTTATTCAATTCATTTTTATTGTAAGTGAATTTCTCATACATAATTCGCCCACACAGTTCCATTGCTAAACAACGTCAAAAACACATTCAGAAATGGAGATTCGTGAATTTCAGCTATCTTCGAATTAACGAAGCAAGTGTTCGGTGTCCAAATTCTACGATTCAAAAAACATGAGAAAAAAATTCAATAATCCTACTTTTTCCAAATATTCTGATCTAATGTCACGTTGTCCTTACAAGCCGGAAATTTTTCGAAGCTGTAGTCAAACAAGAAGAGGTATGACAATATTCTTACATTCGAAACTCACCGTAGATTTGGATCGTTCCACATTTCATTGATGTACATTTCGAGTTCGAAATCATTCGTCATTTCCGAAATGGAATTTATCTCTTGAATCCAGAATTCAACACTTACGCTTACTCCGCTTTTTTCTAAATTTCATTATATTCACGAGTAATCTCAACAATTATTATATGTACAATAATAGGCTATGAAGCGATTGTATATCAAATATGTATATACATACATATTAGATTATTTTAATCGCGTTTTCTCAAACTTGCCTGGCAGCTTATGTTTGCTATAATTATTTTGATTGATGAGAATTTCCATAAGCTGTGCTTCATTCAAACATTCTTCGACCAACTCGCTGATTTCAAATCGCTTCAAATGTCTTGCATATTTTTGTGCATTTAAAGGGTATAGAGCAAATATAAAGAGTAGAAGCATTCGGAAGTCGAGTGAGAAATACGAATGAATTCAATTCAGGCCACAATTATCGAGTCAATTATTTTTTATTTCAATAAAAACGCAAATAATTTATAGTTGGCTATTTTCAAATTGTGCTAAGAATTCGTCAATCTTCTTTGTTATATTTTCATTGATCTAAAAAATTGGAAAATAATTGCGAAAAATCTCGAAATCTCACATCGAAATAATGAGTTCCTCCTTCGATTGTCACTAATTCCTTTTTGGAAGAATTCAGACGGTCGAGAAGTTTCACAGAATTCTCATACGGGACTAACTGTAAACCGAAACAGGTTTCGATCATTTCTTGCTACTTACAGTGTCTTCTGTTCCATGAACAATCGTTACTGGACAATTAATATCAATATCACCCGGGGTCTTGGTAATACATGTCTGAATTATTTTCGACACTGAAGGTAATAGCGATTAGATGACTCACATCAACATATTCTTGAAGTCCTTTCACATCAATCAAAGCAGCATGACCATTTCGCGATGGCGGATAAATCAGCTGCCCTTTTTCCAAAAGCATCTGCAATTCTGTTTTTTCCAAATTTGAATACAACTTCTATTATGATTTCGGTGAAAATTAGAATTTCTTTATTTTGCCCCAAAAGGAATTGCTTACATTAAGAGCTCCCGGAGCTATAGTATTAACAAAGTTCAAATCCAAATTTGTTCCAGGACAGAATAGAAATAATCCGAGAACATTCGAGGGTTTGCGCTGTGCAGCGTTAAGAGCCGCGTGACCCGCAGCACTCGTTGCCATTATTATCCATTTTTGGCCATCTAGAATTCAAATCAAAAGAAGCTTTATCATATTCGAAATGTACACATGCTTAATTCTTACCAATTCGATTCTCAATGTCTCGTCGCCATTCATTAATGTTAAAAACTTTGTTCGTGGATCCTGGATTACTGTACAACAGTCTAAAGAATATTTGATAAAATTGTTTCAGCTGAATGAAATTTATCACCTTTCAAAGAAAATATTTTTCCTATTTTCAAATAATTTCATTAATTGTAACCCATGTCTATTATTAATAGATGATCCAAGACCGTGACAATACAAAATATTGAGCGTTCGCATGGTTGCTATTGAATATGTAGTTGAAACTGAATAATAAATAAGTGAAAACGAACAAGAGATGAACGCAAATGAGAAGATGGCTACAATCAAGCGGTCATATTTTGTCTGTTTTCATGTCTGCTGTCTACTCATTTTGCATCAGTGAGAAATATTTTGGGCGGCGATTTGAATTAAAAAAAAAATAAATATTGAATTTGATCGAAATTATTATTTGTTATTACATCCGAATCGAAATTTAAACGATGTTTTTTGTATTTTGAATATAATCCCATTCTCAGTTCTTTGAACGCAAATCACTGATCTCTAAAAATCAGAAGATTGATATTCGCTAATTATTCGCGTATATCCGCCCTAATAAGAGGGAGGTGTCGACCGGTCGGTATCTATGTATTAATTAGATATCGAAGGCAATTTCATGCTAACCTGTTTGTCGGTACTTTAAGAAAACGAGTACTCGCTTCCTTCTGAAACTACAGTCGACATTGCTTTTTGATGAGACTATTTTTATTATTACAAAGAGCATTTGAAAAAGCGAGGAGGAACATTTTACACCGTGGTTCCCTTGAAAACATTTTTTGAACTATATATGTATGTATGTATATATAATAGGAAGAAGGGAAGAATAAAGACGATTGGGATTAGCCACACCGGACCATCAAATTTGGTAATTACAAAGTAAAAGTGATTTGAAACAAAAAAAACGAAGCAAAAACGAACATAGGAGGACAAATTTGAGAGATCTTTTTAACAGTATACAACTCGCAGCGAAATAAGAAAACGAAGACGAATAAAAGAGGATGAGGACGAATAATTCCTGATGTATTCAAGGTCTACGAGCTAATCCTAAAATTAAGGGCCTTGAATCTAATTGTTGGGAGTAGACGACACCGACGACGACGAGGTGTTCGAAGTTGTCGTCGACGCCGGGGATGATTGTTGAGCAGCTGCTGCGGCGGCTTGAGCCGCCTGGCTTCCAGCAGCAAGTGCAGCAGCGGCAGCGGCCGCGGCTGCTGCAACGGTGGCCGAATTGGCGCCGGTGGGTGGCGCAAGACCGAGAGCATCACGTATCTGCTTGAACTCTTCGTACTCGGTCCCGAGAATCTGGGCGATCTCGCCTTGCATGAAGGCCCATGGCATCGCCGCACTGGCGAGTGGGCACTTCTCACCCGAAGGACAATAAAGATCTGGATTCTTGCATTGCTCCTAAAAATCGGCAGGATGAAAACGTATTTAAGCTATGCGCAACAACCTTAATCGATTTCCTAGAGCATGGAAAACAGAATTTGTGCTTCTTAACACTTGGGCACTGAACAAAGTGGGTGTCTTCAAGACGTTCGCGGCACAATGTGCATTGGAGAACCGCCGGCTGCTGGGTCGGAACGGCTCTCATCTTCTCAACCAACGGCAAATCGGGACTTTGAGTCGAAGTTGGAGAGAAGCTCGTAGTTTGAGCTTCGCCTGAAAAATTGAAGTCAACTAGATTCTGGATTATTAAGCTAAATCAATGTTTCCATCAGTTTACATTTTCACTTTTTTTTGCGAGCCCCATTCTCATATGAAAGTTCGATTGCGCCTTTTATTCCGGATATGAGTTAAGATTGTTCAATTCGTTGTTCTATTTTGACAATTCTTATCATATTTGACCGTTGAAATGCCCCCAATGTACTTGTTCTTTGCAATCACATCTCATTTCATCTTCCTCTTCTGAATCGCTGGTCGTGGGATGACCAGATCGAAAAAAAGCGAGTAGTGCGCCGCACATGGTGGCACCTGGTACACGATGATGGTAGGAAAAAAACCGGTTGCGACCACAGCGGCGGAGGCGGCGGCGGCGGCGGAATGAATCGGTTGAATTTCTCGGCGAGGTCTGACCCCGTCAAACCACTATCTCGAGGTCATCCGAATGCGTGCGGGTTGAATTGCGCCACCGGCCGAGATCTACTGGTTTTTGCATGCGCGCGGGCGGGTGCGGAAGAGATGGACTGAGAGAACAAGCGAAAACGAGAGTGCGCGCGATCTATTTCAATTATCACCTCGATGAACTTTTGCGAATATCTCTGGTTTGACATCTTCGTCGAGTTCGCGTTTGCGCGGGTTTGACGATGGTGCGATGGCAGTTGCAGTGGTGGTAGCGGCGAAATTCGCCGGCAGCAGATTCTGAATGCCGATCTGGAACGGCTGATGGAGTATACTGTGTGGATTGATCGTGCGCAGTTGCTGCTGGATAAGCTCCTCAACGGCACGCGAATTCGCCGGGAATGGATGTAGCCGTTGTTGTTGGGCGATCGCCTGAATATTTCCAATAATATAACTAATGATTGAATGCAATAGGAATTTTGTAAATTTCGAATTTGAATGCAGAATTCAGTGCAACAAAAGAAATATTGTTCAAATGGCTAATGATGCAAATTTCAAGTCACCAAATGACAACCGATTAAATAATTTGAAATTCTCACCTCTAATGCAATTCCATTTAATTGAAACTGTGAGGTGGGAACTGTAGGAATCGGCCTTCTTGGGCTTGTTCTTTCCGAATCTTTGGGCATTTGGGTTTTGGCATTTGCTGGATCAGCAACGGGGAACCCGTGAAAACGCTTCATTTGTCTCGCTGCCTCCAATACATTTTCAATTCTTAAAACCTCTTAACTATACGTGTACAAATATGACGATAAGGAACCTATCAGCTCCTTCGTAATTGACGCATCCTCGACAGACGGGTTCGTTGTAATCATTGCACATCGCCCACGGCCAGCGCGGTAAATCACACAGGAAGCAATGCTGTCGATGAGCTGATTGCGATTTGGAGCCGCTCGAGGTTCCGTTAGCGCCGCCACTGTTCATCGAAGCGAGCATTTCTGAAATATATTTATCTTTAGAAAATTAAAAAAACAAATTTTTGTTGAAAAAACACAGTTATTCAAGAAAAAATGGGCGGAGGATAGAAGGTCATCAAAATTCTGATCAGAAAAACGGGAAATGAATGCATGAGGGCAACAAGTGCATTAAATTTGCATACCATCTACATCTGTTGAATGCCAAAATGGGGCACCCCGAGGCAAGTGAAGCGTGTTCAAACTGATAACTATTGGACTGGGTACGAAGAGCAATCAGACGTTATCAGTTCTGTCGTGTCATACGATGCGAAAGACACTATTAAGCAAATATTTATTTCGGCTTCGAAACAAAGTTCAAAATAATGAAATCGATAACGTTTTGTGACTCCACATGGCTAATTATTTGCATACACTTTTGCCCAAACATTAGCTCGTTTTTCATCGTTTTTATTCATCAAACTTCGCATTTTTTTTGAAATTCCAAGTTTCTCTTTGAGATAAGCAACTATTTATCAATTAAAACAACAAACTCGCTGAGAATGTGCGATAAGGCGGGGTTGTAACGGAGAAATTCGCGATAAAAAAATGGATTGTGAAAAAATGGCATCCGGGAAAGCGTTATATGATTCGAAAGGGGTTTATTAAAACACACATCAATGCTCCAAACCATCACTTTTATTGGATGGAGGTGTACAAAGTTGAATGATGGAGCGATCGTTTGGCTCAAGGCCAATTGAATGAATTGGTCAAATCGGAGACGCAGATGGTTTGTCCTCATCGCTCGCGCGGCCAACAAATTATGAATACACCATTTAGACTTTGCATAAGAAACGACCATCATTTGTATTCGATTCGAAAGAATCATTTAATATGATTTTTGAGAATATTTATTTATAACGGTTGACAATATAAATTAACAAGAATCGTACGCAATGATGCTCAAAATTATATGTAGTATCGTGCTTTTCACAAAAAAAAGTGGGCACTTCCCTACGGATGATTTGCATAAGAGTGATCTATTCAAAAGAAGCCAAGTTATGATAAGAGCACGGAATATGATTGAAAGTCACGCTATGGTAGCAAAAAGCAGGACGGTTTGTCTATACGCGACCTTCTCAACAAACACGGAAGAATAATAAAGGGAGGGAGGGGCGGGGGCAGAATATTCGAAAGGGGTTCGGTCAATATTTGAACTATTTCAAACATTTTCCATTCGAGCACAATCGATAGAATCCGATTGGTCGAAAAGAGCAACAATCTCTGGAGATTTGATTTGCCAAAAACTGGGAGAAAAAGTAAAAGTTTGGAAAAAAAAAGCGAAAAATGTAAAGTAAAATATTTGCGCAACGGCGATTCTCCTCCTTTCCTCCCACGTTTGTGCGCAACGCCGCCCTATTCTTGGCTCACGCGTACCGGAATGAACTCGAAAGTTAGAAAATAGAAAGTTTGTTTGTGTTTGGTGCCAATTTTTGTTTGTCAATCGTTTTGAGACTATATTGTAGATATCAGTGCACAACTCAAACCAAATTCGAAACTGGTAATCTGTTTAGGTCGAACCTTCAAAAGTTCAGTTTGACTGGCAAAACGTCTTATCAGAAATTATGCTATCATACGTTTTTTTTTGAGAATTTAGCGCCTTGTCAAATGCCATTGAAATGCGTGAAGTGATAGATATAAAAGTGAAATTGGAAAAGAATTGACTGTGATTCGAAAGTAAGCCTTTTCAATAAGGTTTCTATTACATACAGGGTGTCATTTAAGTTCCCGCACAACTTTGAAGACGTATATTTCTGAAACTAAAAGTCCAAATCAAACGAGACTCAAAATATTTTTTATCTATAGTATAACAAATATTTATTTATTAACTCTTTTTGATTCGGCCTCCTTTCGCAGCTATGACTTCACGGAAACGCTTCGGGTAGGATGCGACTGTGGTACGCAGGTATTCGATGGAAAGATTGTCCCATTCCGCCAGTAATGTCTTCTTCAGAGCCTCTACACTTGAATGGGGTTTTGCGTTGACCTTCTCCTGCAAGACCCCATCACGGGAAAGTCAAGCGGGTTCAGGTCTGGGGAGCAATCAGGCCATTCGGATGACTTGATGAAGTCGGGAAAATGGGTCTGGCACCACTCCTGAGTAGTTTTGGCAGTGTGGGCGGCTGCTCCGTCATGTTGAAAGACCCATTTCTGCCCACCGAAATGCGTTTGGGTCCAGGGCATCACATGCTTCTCCAAAATGTCCCGAACGTAGACTTCTTTGTTCACTTTCACCCCCTGATCCGCGAAAACCAGGGGGCACTTCCCGGTTGAGCAGATGGCACCGAAAACCATCACACTGGCAGGATGTGAGGCTGGATGATATGTTCTTCTTTTCTCAGAAGCTTGCTGGGATGTCTGGGCAAGTACTCAATGGTTTTGTGAGTTGAATGCCGCCTCCACACTGAACAGCTTCTCGTCGGAGAAGACAGTGACGAGGTGTTGTCCAGACCGCGTGCGAGCAAGAAGTCGTTTTGCTTTTTCGAAGCGTCTCTGCTTGCTGACGGCCGATAGAATTGCCGCTTTTTGGACACGATATGGGGTCAGTCCAAGCTTCGTTTTGACAATTTGTTCCATAGCGAAGATGCTCATTCCCATGTCTAACGCCATCTTTCTCATGCTCCTGTGGGGGTTTCGCCTGATCCTCGATTTGACGGCGTTGATCTTCTGAGGAGTGGTTACTGAGACGAGTCTTCCTTGTCTGGGACGGTGACTGGTCGTATTTAGCTCCTTGAAACGTTTGATGGTGTCGCAAACCGTTCTACGAGGCACACCGACCCGTTGAATGATGTCTCTCGAGCTCACATTTTGCTTATGAAGTTCGATAATGGAAGCGCAATGGATGTTAGCCTTCGCCATTTCTCGGAAACACATCCGAATGAGGTGAAACTTGGAAAGTAAGTAAAATATACCTTATTTAACAAAAATAAATTGTATTGGTGCACGAAAAGTGCGACAGCCAAGCTCTTCATGGCGTCAAACTTTTGTGCGGGAACTTAAATGACACCCTGTATCTTGATCAAAATAATATCTATTGTTGATTCTTTATGTTTTGCTCTATTATTTTGAGATATAACAAAAAAAGTGAAAAAAAAAACCTGAAAACAATTGAAGACCGCAATTTGTTAAATTTCGATTTTTTTTGCAAACAATCAGTTTTCTCCAACTTATCTAATTCTCAGCTTCATCGTTTGCAACGCTCATTTTATCAATTTTTGCATTATTCAACGATAACTCAAACTGTTTCGTCCACCCCCATTATCATTGGCGTCTCATTACCGGAAAAGAATGATGGAACGAAGCACGTCGAAGAATCACCTGAGACCTTATAAGATGCGATAACGGTATCGAACGTTTTTTGACCTGATATCGCGTCCACAAAATAAAGCTGGATACACTAATAAAAAAAGATATGAAAATCGGGAAAAAATTTTGAAAACTCGCGTCTGTGTGTATATTTGTTTCACAAATAGCAACTCGCGGGCTGTGTTCGCAAACAATTGAAATGGTAAAATCGGTATACACAAAATGGCAAAGAAGGGCTCGGAGGAGCAAATATGAAAACTGGTATGCTCGTCCGAAAATTGCCATTGTTTATTTTTAGATAATTCGAGGGGAATTTTTAGCGAACAATTTTATTGACTTTTAACATTGAATGGCGACAAAACTTGAATTTTAAAACTCATTCGAAATGAAAATTTTTTGAACTTCTTTTTAAAATATTCGAGATTGAATCCCTTGAAATAATAGTTAATTTCTAGAAGATCCTTAAAATAATATTAATAATACAAATTTTTTGTAGTCAAATATGAATTTTTGAATAACTATTTTAGAATTGTTATATTTTCATAAAAGCTCAAACAATTTGCCGTACAATACGAAATTCATGTTATTTTGGACTTTTTGAAACCGAAAAAGGGCAATCTTACCGATAATTTAAAACGATGTCGCGCATTGCAACAAGTTCAAAAAGGTACGAAACAAATACACACACACATACACATACACGCTCACAATTGTAATCGAATCGAAATACTGTTGAGGAGAAATGGGCGGAGTTTGTGGCGGGTTGCGCAACGTAACCTTGTCGGGAAAAAAGAACGCAAAAACCGGTTCACCGGAAAATTTTGCGTCGAAGGCGCCGTAGGCGATCGAGAAGAGAAGAGGATATATGTGTATTCGAATAGCCATTTCGGTTGACCTCGGCGAACCGACATCTCCGTGAATTTTTCGATTCGAGGCGAACGCTCTCTAGGCTTTTTTTGGTAGCGATTCGGTATATTACGGTAGCAGCGATGAAGGACACTCGAACCAATTCTTATGAATGATAGAATTCGTTTTTAGTTGGCTCGGGGAGACGGCGACAAAGAGGATTTCTAAAATGAGCACACAATGTATTGATATGGAAACACAGAAAATGTTGACACAACAGGTGAATTTCTCGTTTTTGTCCAACATTCACGTCATTTTTCTAGAAACTTTATTTAATTTGAAATTACTAAATTTTCTAGGAATGCAATTTCAGCAATGTCCTACAAAAAAGTTCATCCTGAATTCTCTCAAGTCCTACACAAGATAATTCCGATTTATGTATGTATGTCGAAGAAGGTGGATAAACACGAATTGAAGCATTAAACTATATGTAAGAAAAGCAGCTTGAGACATTTCTAAACACGCATATATGCGGTCGTTGAAAGCACTATTCCATAGTCAGCTTCTCCTCATTTTCACTTGTTTCTTCGTCGCCTGGATTCTCGCTACGTGCGACGATGGGTGCGTGTTGGCATCGGTCGGATACCAGTCCGGTGGCGGTGGCAAACGAGTTGGCACGTTTCCAGATGACGGCCGGTCGCCAACGCAGTCTAGGACAGGAATATTTCGACAAGTCGACGACTCTCTGAAGATGATTATGAGAAGAAGAAGAAGAAGAAGAAGACCACCATCTCATTCCTGTCGTCCACCTGCGACGAACGCTTCCAGTTTTACACCAGTGGATATGTGTATGTATGTCCCATCATGGTTTGGTTATGATTATTGCGTAAAATGAAAGTGATTTGAGGCATTCAGGTTCCTCAAGGTGTCCATTCGGCATTTTGAATCGAATGGCAAAATGCGATGCCGAAATATAACACCCAACTAATGTCCTTGGTGTCGCCTGGTGTGACCTCGAAATGTTCAATTCTATGATTTTCGTGCACCAACTAGAGGACATTGAGAACATGTTCTCAAAACTCTGAGTTCAGATGTTATTTTGGAATACGTCGTCGAACAGACTCGAGATGATCCGAACTAGATGCGAATTCTAGAAACTGTACTCAGCAAAGATTTGGAATTTGGAAAAAATTGAAGAAAAACTGTTTCGAACACTTAAAACACAATAATTGATTAACTGGATGCAATGAATTACAAATGAAAAAAATAACTGTACACGGAATAAGTGGAAACAGAAAATTGTTTTGAAAAATTAATCTAATACATATAGTAAAGATTGAATATATAGAAAAGTGCCATAGTATATAAAAACAGAGATCGGCTCTGAATATGTATTTAATATATTTGTAAATTTAACGTAAAAATCCTACTGGCATTCGAATCATTTTTTAAATTGTTTGCTGTTAACGAGAGAGAACCTGAAACTACTCTAAAACTAGAAATGAATTGTTCCCGACAAAAACTGGTTTGGAGAATCCATTGAAAAATACATATTTTTACTCGTCGGATTGGGTGCATCGTCTTTCAAATTGTGAAAAAATGATGCGCAATGTGATAAGTTTGTGGAATTTTCAGATAATGAGTTATTCCGTTATTATTAATGCTAACAAAATAATGTTATTCGAAGAAACGAGAAGCTCCCTATTAAAAAAAAACAATAGTAAGGCAACAAAAACGGGAAATAGGGCAACTGCAACCAGGATTGCGTCGGAAAATCTCCCGTCTACGCCAGTATATTCAGTCTTTGTTTTCTATTATCAATCATCCTGATCCGAACTGTTTGAAAACTTGCTGACCCCTTTTCATTCGAAACTTCATTCCCGAATAAAAATGTCAAGATCTTTTGAATCGTTTCCCAGTACTTTGTTCCTCTTCCCAATATTCTTCGAATTGATAGTATCACAATATATGGTTTCATTTGAAGATTGGATGAAAGAGAAGACAAAAAAAAAAACAGTTGGCAGCAAGGTAAACTGGTTATGAAAACGGCGCTAATTCCTCTTTCTGATGCACTCTTTCGTCTATGCGCGTATCAAACGTGGCAAACGTGTGATTCGAGAATACCACAACGCAACATTAAAATCGAAACACATATAGAGTTAGTGAAACGGGTGTCAAACAAAAAGACAACAGTCGCGACGACGACGTCAGTTGGCAGAAGGCAGACGAACCACTTCTCATCACCGGTTCGCCGATTCCGACTTTGGCTGACACGGAGAAGAGAAACACCAAATATGGAAAAAAAAAACAAATAAGTGATGGTGAGATTGAGAACAGGTTATATCTCTAGAAGGAATTTTTGTGTACTACTTTTCTTTTACCTAATGACCTCGAGGTTGTGACTGAAAGTTGCGAGAACAATAGCCGTCGGTTGAAGCTTGAACTGGATTCGAGAAACTGGAAAGTCAGTGACCCCCGCGGCCTTAATTTATGATAGGTTTTGAAACAATTGCAAACCATTTAGTTCGAGTTTCGAAGAATCGACCGCTTCTTCTGAATAGAGTTACGCACAACTTCAAGAGATTTGCATTTATATTGCTATAATATGGAAATGAAGCTCTTGAATTGTTGATCTTTTGAATTTAATTGCTCATTTGCATCGAAAACCACTCATTGTTCATTAGAATTCTGAAAGCGAATTGGCAGTAAAAAGTAACCAAAATTATTGTAAATAACTTATTGAGAATGAGAGCTGAAAATATTCGTTAAAATTTCAAATTGTTTCCAGAAAATGGCGAGAAATTAGATATCAAAAGAAACGATTTTCGAGAAATGTGGAAATTGCGGAAAATGGTCAAGAATGAAAAGGAATTAGGAAAAGATTGTCGATTCGCAGTAAAATTAGAATCATTTTTCCAAATTAAGGAGAGATGTGAAAAGTCTAAAAAAAAAGATCATTGAAACTACATAAGAAAAAATTAAAACCAAAAAGAAAATTCTATGCTACTTGGTTTTGGAGAAAAAAAAAATAACGTGGGCATTTTCGGCAAATAAAATGCACAAGTCCGCAACAATTCCAATTTCATTGGCTTTCAATAATCCTTGTTTTTTCATCGGTATTCTTTATTTAAATCTATAAAACCTTAAATAATCAAAAATTGGGAAATCGAATTACGTGAAAACAGTCGTCGAATAAAATGCACTAAGTGTAAACACGTGATCGTTTCACTTTTTTGCAATAAAATACGTATTAAGTGGAAAAAATTTTTTTCTTTTATTGAATTCAAATTTTCTCAATTTTTTTAAAAATTGTTTTTATTTCTAAATTTTCTTTTCATTGATCTTTAGGATGAAGTTAAATGCAATATAAACGGAAAATGGAGTTGTGGATTTTTGCGTTTTATTTTACCTCATTACCAGATTAAATATTAATAATTTTAACATTTTTTCCGTTTCTTATTTATTTTAGTATGACATGTTTCTTCTTTTTAAGATTCTCAATACAAATTTTTTACAAATATTTCCCTCCTAATATAAAATAAATTGTACCAACCAACCGATTCCAATTTTCTTTCAATTCAAATTTTCTCCCAATTCGAAATTGAAGGTTTTGTACTCCTATTGTCAATTTTTGTTTCTTTTATTGTCCATTTTTTGATTCTTGAATACGCAAATAGACCAGCCATGAAACAAATTGGTGTGATAAATATGTATAACATTTTAAAATGCGAAAAAATAATTCGATGATTTGGTAATCCGACTAAAAACTGGTCGAGCACAGATTATCGGGTCAAACCTTGATGATTTGCATTTGAATACTGCGAAAATAAAACTCAGGAAAGAAAATTTTGTTAAACAATAATTCTGGTTGGGATTGAGTCGACTAGACCGGTCCCAATTTTGTTGATTGTGTTTTGAAAGTAATTGCGTTTTCAAAACATGAGCCGGTTTTTAGAGGAAAAATACATATGAAACATTCCAGACAAGTGCGATCTTCCTCATTCGCAAAGTCTCGTCTATTCAGAAAACTCGAGATCTGCATATCAGTTGAAAGCAATCAGCCGCATTCTTGAAATCGAATGATCTGAAAGTAAATGCTACCTCGATACTGATTAATAATGTCATCAACAAACAGATTTCTGAACTGGTTTATCGGTTAACAGAAATCAAATGTTTACGATAAATTTAGAAGCAAAAAACCGATTTTATTGTTGATGAATTCATTGAGAAGAAGAGAAGAAATTTTGTGGCGTCCTGAATTTGGCAACATATCACACGGTCATGATGCAAACCATCTTTTTTTTCTTGAAACCAAACCAGTACCGGTTTTATGTATTGGAATCGAAAATACACGCAAAACAAAATAAAAAGATTCGGAATTAAAAAAAATATTTTGAAATCGATGTGCGGAGCCATCCAAAACTTGCAGAAACCCCGATTTTTTTCAGATTTAACAATAGAGTTTCATGAATGTAAGTTCTGAGTATGTAATATAATAGGCGTACGAGAAACCATATTTTTTCAAGGACCAGAATAAAACGAGAATAAAAAATATGACCATTGAGGACGCTTAGTCGAATGTCTTACGAATATTCACTAGAAAAATGCCGTCAAACTTCGACGTACATAAATAAATTCGCTCTGAGACAGTTCCTTTCCGATGCATTCAAGGTCATCAGACTCGACAAGGTGCAAAAACTTTTGTTCAACGTTCGAGTTGGGCGATCACCGACGAAGTTTAAAACTGCACCAAAATATTTGGTGATAAGGCGAATCCGTTGGACACTAAATACTTTAAAAACGCCAATTTATCATTCAAACAAGAATTGTCATTGTGGCTCATGGCTCAAAATTGGCCATGTTGGCCCTGGAAGTTCGCTTTTGCTCAAAAACATCAATTGCATCGAATATATTGAGATACATAGAAAAACACTGTCTAATCATAATAGTAAAGGCTAGTATCGCAAAGAAGCAAATTTCAATTTTTCGTCTTGTCTCTTTTTTCGATGAAATTCAAAGCTGATCAATTTTTTGACGCTTCATCAATTGTCTGATTAAACACTGTCCGCTGATAAGCATCTTTAACAAGATAAGACTCATTTGCTGCCATTGACGATGAAGGTGTCCACTTTATTATTGATCGCTAGTCTAGCAGTTACTCAGGCAGCATGGCTGCATTTGCCAAGAGCTGCAATTCGCCTCAGCAAAAAGTTTGTTGGAATGGAAGAACTGCCAATTCCAGAGCTTTTGAGACAAAATAATATTGAGGTAAATTTCAAATTTATTTGGCGGCTTTAATAATTTTTTTTAGAAAGAGTCAGCTGAGGAAATCGACGATAAATACGTGAATTTGAGAAATAAAAAGTTTGAAATTGCCGACGATAAAATCGACATGAGAGTAATATTTAACAAAAGAAGAAAAAAAAGTTTAAAAAAAAAACTCGATTCCTCCAGAATATGAGATTGCCTGATCCATACGAGAACAGCAAACCGGCTGAAATGGAGCAAATCAGTTACCCAAACATGCTTGAGAACGAGTTTGTTCAATCACGAATCTACACTTTTGAGAAAATTGAAGAAGACGACACCGTTGTGGTAAGTTAAGAAGCAATTCTCTAGAAATTTTTAAGGAATTCGGCACATTTTGAATTCCAAAACATATCAATTTAAGGAAATCGTCGATTCTCGTCACGAGAGAACAATCGATCTTGAGCCTGTTCGAAACGCGAAGCTTGAAAATGGTTATTTCGATGTAAAACGAAACTTGATAATCTGTTTTGTTACAATCGTATTTTAGTCATCTGAAGAGTCGTCGGAATCAGAATCAGAATCATCTGAGAATGAATCTGAAGAAGAATGGGATGACGCACGTCCATTTCTCAAATGCGGTTGTTTGAAGAAAAGCGGAAAAAAATTCGAATCCAAATCCTCACCACGAGAATGGGAAATGGAATCATTTAGCACTGCTGATCTGCCGGCCAGTTGGGATTGGAGAAACGTGAATGGAGTTAACTACTGTAGTCCAACAAGAAACCAACACATCCCGGTGTACTGCGGATCTTGTTGGGTGTTCGGAACGACAGGAGCTCTCAATGACAGATTCAATATTGCCAGAAAAGGACGATGGCCGATGACGCAACTCTCGCCTCAGGAGATTATTGATTGCAATGGAAAAGGAAATTGTCAAGGAGGAGAAGTCGGAAATGTTCTCGAACATGCCAAAATAAACGGTCTTGTCGAGGAAGGCTGCAACGTCTACCGTGCGACAAACGGCGAATGCAATCCATTCAGAAGATGCGGATCATGCTGGCCGAACGAATGCTTCTCACTCACTAACTATACTAGATATTACGTCAAAGATTATGGACAAGTCAAAGGCCGGGAAAATATTATGGCAGAAATTAAAAAAGGAGGACCATTGGCCTGCTCAATTGGAGCCACCAAAAAATTTGAATACGAATATGTGAAAGGAGTGTACTACGAGAAAAGCGAACTTGAACCAAATCATATAATTTCTTTGACTGGATGGGGAGTTGACGAAAACGGCACTGAATACTGGATCGCGAGAAACAGCTGGGGAGAAGCTTGGGCAAGTTCACGTAATCATTCAAATATTCAACTTGTATTTATAGGGAGAAATGGGTTGGTTCCGTGTGGTTACATCTAAATTCCAAAATGGCGAAGGCGACAAATACAATATGGGAATTGAAAAAGATTGCTACTTTGCTGATGTCGATGTCTCAAATCTCAATTAATTCTACTGATGAATGAAATAAATTTTTATTGTTTGTGAAATAAGCACGTAGAATAAGCCCCCCCCCATATGTACATTGAATGTGGCGACAAATTCTTGGCTCTCGGCGAAATCGCTAGTGCCAATTCGCGGCAATTTAACAAGGTTACACAGAGATAAAACACCAATTTTGAGAAGCGCGGAAAACTATTAGTTGCTGTCAGAAGCTTCAAAATGTGCATCACCGAATGAAAGGGCTGCGCAAGCTTCTGAAGGCGAAGCAACATCCACGAAATAAGAAGAAGACACCGAATCAGAACATAAAATTGCTTCGTGACTATGAGACAATCCAATGAGAATAAAAGCGATTCCTTTTGCTCTCAATAATTCAATAACATCACCATTGGGATTTCCAGAAATCTGAATATAATTCTTTCATAAATTTTGAAGAAATTTTGAAAATGTTTATCACATCTAAATCATTATCAGAGGCCAAAACTCTCATGATCATATTAATCATGTCCGGATGCGGGGAGTCTCGGATCGGTTCTGGCGTTGGACCGTTTCTTTTGAGAATTGGCATTCACTCTGGAACTATAATAGCCGGTGTTGTTGGTACAAAAATGCCGAGATATTGTTTATTCGGCGAAACAGTAACCCTTGCTTCACAAATGGAGTCGATGGGACTTCCCGGAAAAATTCAATGCAGTAAATGGACATATTCGAAAGCAACATCGACTGGCAGATTCACATTTGCACCACGAGGAAGAATCACTGTCAAAGGACGAGGAGAGACTGAAACTTATTTCCTTCTTCGAAGCTTGAAAAAGAGTATTTGGGAAATTGTAGACCATCAAAGAGGTATTTAATGTGAAAGAATGTTTTTTTTTAATTTAAAATTGAAGATGTGAACGTTCACAGTATAGAAGGCTACGATGAGTTGGAGCATTATACAGAGGATGTAAATGCTTCTCAAAAGACAACGTCGAAAGGAGAAATAAGCAATATGTCCAACACTTGCATTGTCTGTTGAATCCCATCATATTTTGCTTTTATTCTTTAACTTTAAATATTTGGAGAACATACTTTTATTTGGAAACATTTGGAAAATAAATATCGAAATAATAAGGAAGTATTCAAATCTTTGAATGCTTTAAATACAGTGCGTTGCAGAATTATAAGGCTTCCCCCGAATTTGAGCGCCGCGCAATGATTTCGATATTTTGAGATCAACCAGTGTGAAAATCGTGTTCAGTTCTGGCGTTGGATTTTCTCTCATCTATTTGACCCATATCAATTGGAACATCACCATCAATTGAGCTTGCACTTTCACTGATGTTCAACTCATCGGACTCTTGGACCTTAATTGAAATGCTGCTCTACATCCCCCTTTAAAATAAAATTGGATAATTTTTTAAATAACTATGAGGCGACTTAATACATTTTTCGACGAACACACTTCCTTTAATTGCAAGCTTCGTACCATTCTCGTGGCATAAATTGCACCCGCTGATCAACTTAAGAAACCTAAAAAGCCTTATCCACACAGTATACCTTACCCATTTGTTATAGATTTTTTTTTAGTATACCTTACCCATTAGTTATAGAGAGATGAAATGTGCCTGGAAGGGTGACAAGTTGGGATGTGGAAGATCATCGAGAGGCAAATCGGATCCTCTAAAGTGTCCCCGGAGGATGCCAAATGAGCACATACTCTTGAGGATAGCGATAATGTGCAATGGAAGACAATCAGCTGTTGGTATTTGAACAAAGTATTTTAGGCATCTAATTTTTTGATAATTTAGATATTTGAGAGATCGTACGAAATGAACCCCTACTCGGAAGTAACTAGAAAAATCTAATTATCGGTGAAACTACATATTTTGAAGAAACTTAATTGAAATACTGCTCTACATCCCCTTTGAAATAAAATTGGATTATTTTTGAAATAAAAATATAATACTAACTCTGTAGCAGAAACGGGATAGCAACTTAATGTCAGCTATTTAAATCCCACGGTTACGGTACCAATCACGGTGCATACACACACACTAGGGTTGACGCGTATTTACCTTAAATTGTCAAGTTGACTGTCTTACAACTGAGGCCCAAAAATCCAGTTGCTTTTGCTTCTTGCATTTATATTTATTTTTTATTCTATTTTTTCGCTCCTCTGCAAATTGTTGTCTAATATACACATATTTTGAGATAAATACTCATTGTACGAAACCGACTTTTACAACTCTTACATATTTGGCACATGTAGGAAATTTTTCATGCTGAACACGATTTTCACACTGGTTGGTCTCAAAATATCGAAATAATTGCGCGGCGCTCAAATTCGGGAGAAGCCTTATAATTCTGCAACGCACTGTATTTAAAACATTCAAAGATTTGAATACTTCCTTATTATTTCGATATTTATTTTCCAAATATTTCCAAATAAAAATATGTTCTCCAAATATTTAATGTTAAAAAATAAAAGCAAAATATGATGGGATTCAACAGACAATGCAAGTGTTGGACATATTGCTTATTTCTCCTTTCGACGTTGTCTTTTGAGAAGCATTTACATCCTCTGTATAATGCTACAACTCATCGTAGCCTTCTATACTGTGAACGTTCACATCTGCAATTTGAAATTAAAAAAAAACATTCTTTCACATTAAATACCTCTTTGATGGTCTACAATTTCCCAAATACTCTTTTTCAAGCTTCGAAGAAGGAAATAAGTTTCAGTCTCTCCTCGTCCTTTGACAGTGATTCTTCCTCGTGGTGCAAATGTGAATCTGCCAGTCGATGTTGCTTTCGAATATGTCCATTTACAGCATTGAATTTTTCCGGGAAGTCCCATCGACTCCATTTGTGAAGCAAGGGTTACTGTTTCGCCGAATAAACAATATCTCGGCATTTTTGTACCAACAACACCGGCTATGATAGTTCCAGAGTGAATGCCAATTCTCAAAAGAAACGGTCTCTCGTGAATTGGATCCATTACAGAGTGGCCTTCCCACATCAAACCTAAACTGTCGTTGTTTTTTTCTCATGTTTTTTTTTAAATTATTTTTTAATAAACCTAGCGCTACGTGACACATGTTTTCCGAGTGTTCCGGAGTGTATTCCGGAATTCCGCTAACTGCCATATAGCTATCTGCTACAGTTTCGACTTTATACACCTGCAAATTTTTTAGTTCTATGTTCGAGTTAATATTTTTTTCGTAGCGATATTTTACCGATCGCAGCACAATTATTCGGTCCATTTTGTAGAAAAGTTCATTGAGAAGTCTTACAATATCCTTTGGCGCACATTTGGGAATGATCTGTTGAAATGCTGGAATGTCGCAAAACATGACTGTTGCTTCGTATTCGCATGGTTCGATATGTTCTCCACTAAGAAGTTGATTAGCAATAGCCGGTGGAAGCATATCCTTGAGAATTGCATCTGTTTTTGTCTTTTCCATTTCCAAATCCTTAGTCATTGTTTCAAGCTGCTCATTGTTAGCCTCGAGTTGCAAACTAAAACCGAATTGCGAATGAACGTATTCGATGAAGTTCTTACTGAACTTCGACATCTGTTAAACGTTGTTGATTCAATAATATGAGGTCTCGTGTCGAATCATGAAGCGGCATCGCAGTTAGACGCATGCCGAACTGCATGAGCTCATTTATTGATGTGACATAAGGAGAGCACAGGTAGATTATGTGCTTTTTCGTCGAAAGAAGCATCATTTGTCCTTTCAATTTGAGATGCAGGCCTTGCATTTCAGCAGGATCAAAGTCTTCCGCTCTAAATTACATATAAACGTTGCAACCTAGATTGTCGTAATTATTCATACCCTTGGTCATCACCATCAACAACAGCATGTCTATTCCTTTTCATTGGAAGTGATTTGACTTGCAGAACGAACACAGCATTGATGAAATTGCAAATGCTCTCGAAATCCAATGGCATTTGTGGTCGATTGATTTCAAAGAGTCTAAGCACAGGAGTTCCTGGTTGTAGCATTTCTTCCGAAATATGATTACTGAAATTTCAATTCTTAAAATGCATTCGTTGAAAAATAATTTACTATAATTCGCTGCCGCACTGCACCAATTTGCACTCATCATCCATTATAAAATGATAAGGAAGCGCTTTAGCAAAATCACCAAATGACATTTTCAAGTCACCATCATAAAATTCGGATGTAACAGCACTAATCAGTGATCCGTTGGATCCTCTGGAGTCTCGACGATTCTCATCGAGATTCTGTAATAACTTTTTTAAGGTCATCTCAACAAATAATAAAGACCTTAATCAAGAAAATGACATGCTCTTCAATCCGTTCTCCACTGTGCATGTGCACACTTCTTTGTGTTCTTCCTTGCACGATCAAACTGATATCGAGATTGTAGACGCGTCTTGCAACTTCTTTCACGACGCCTGATGGAAATATTACTATTTGTATTCGGTATAACATATATATTACCTTTAACTATATGATAGAGTCCTGGCCGACCAGTGAAGTAATGAAGAATAAGACTGCCATCAGAAGTCTCCTCGCAGCGAAATGACGGACCACGAAGGTTTGCCTTGTAAACAACATGATCGATGAAATAATGGAGCGCATCGAGGTTGTCGAGAAATCCTTTCAGATTTGGACTTAGACTTCGAATCAATTCATCCCATCCGATTTCCATTGTGTATGTTATTAAAAATTGCCCATAAAGCTCCCAAACTTGCTCTTTTGTAATTTCTGAAGAATGAAAATATCTCGAATTATATTTTCAATAAAAATATTTAGTTGAAATGTTTAATTTCAAACTCTTACTCATTGTAACAGCAACGCTATCAACTAATCCATAAGTATCGCTATCTGAGTAATAATGATTCACGATATTCTCTTTTCCGCTTTCGAATCCGGCTCATTCTCTCAAACCGATCGACTATTAATTGGTGGATGTTTTTTGGGAACTTACAAGACTTGCAGCCATATTTCTTCGCTTGTTTTTCGAATGACGAGCTGTCTAATGCTTTCATGAATGAATCCAAACTAAAAAAAAATGTCTAAATAATATTCCGGAAAATTGAGAAACTTGCCATGCTAGGAAGCTGTCTTTGAAGCAGAAAATGAGTGATCATCAGGTGTGCGTGTTGCTTAAGCATATAAATAAATGATTAATGATTATACATTCTGATGGCTCATAGCTTATTCCGACTAGAGAAAATGTTTTTCCACATTCAAAAATTGATGCATGTAAACGAAGCGATCCTTACATATAATATAGTTATGTATGTATATTATTTTCATATGAAGTGACCCGATGACAAATACATGATATTTTATATATCAAGACATATTTGATTGACCAGAAATATTATTGCAACAAATTGCAGCAATTCATAAATTACAATATCGTTTTAATTCCATGTAGTTTTTTTTTACAAAAAAAAATGTACAAAATCACATTTTCCATTGTGTAGCCAGCAATCACTAGCCCGCGTGCCGTCTTCTAGTGTTCTGCGCATGCTTTATCTTAAAAGAAAGTAATGCTACATATTTTTTTAACAGAATTCAGAAAATTGTTCGTTTAAAATGTTTCATTCGATATTATGAATTAAGGCTGAAACAATGAAACTTCGTTCATAATTTTTTTAGTGTTCGCTCCTGCTTCCTCCTCCTTCTTTTTTTTCGCACCGTCGCGCTTCCAGCTCCTGTATCCCAAGCCTCTTTTTTCGGCAAAATTCGTTGTCGTTTTTGTTGTTTTTTGCTCATATTTTCAAATATTCTTTCGTAAGATGGATGATCTTTTTGAAGCATGAATATACCATGATGTTTCTATAGATGTTGATGAGTTAATATTAAACTATTCACATCAACACCAACATATTTTGCTCGGCGAAATCTGTAGTACGTGAGGATAGCAAACAACGGGATCATGAGTGGAGAAATGAGTTGAGTGCTCCATCCACCAACATCAAACAACGCCGGATACTTTTTTGGATCGTTCATGAATGGATAATCTCGAAATATTGATAAAATAGCAACGAATGTGCCAATTGTTGGTGAAATCAAACGCCAATTCCAATCGAAATATACTGAAGATGGGCCGAAAATGCGTGTGAATTTGTTTCGGGGGCTTCCAATCATTTCGGATATATCATCGCGAAAATTATTGATTCCTAAAATGGACATAAAAATTTGGGTAGAATTGGGCAAGATATGAGATCGAAATTTCAAAATGTTGAAAATCGCACAATCAATTTCGGAAATAATATACCATAGAAGTAGGCGACAACCAGAATTTCAACGACGGTGGTTATCAAGCCATTGAATCCAGCATAATTGTCAAACATCTCAAACCAATAAAAACCTGCCTTAAACAACTTATGACTTTATCATATCATCATTCAAATATTCTCACGTCAGTACAAAAAACTAATCCGATGGCATATAGAAAAGCACAGGTAACTAACACAATCGCATATTTGTACTTTCGTAATGTTCGACTCTGATCTGCGATGCACGAACAGAGCACTTCAACGAGAACTGAATTGACATATCAGTGTATTTTTAAATTCGTTTTTAAAACGTACCCATTTCAGAGCTTATGCCTAAAAAGAAGAGCATTACCAAGAATAATCCGTTCCAGACGGCAGATGCCGGTAGTCTTGCCATAGCTTCTGGATAAACGACAAAAGCCAAAGACATTCCACTTTCAACGACTTCTGGCACAGTTACTCCCCGTTGTTGCGCCAAAAATCCCAAAATCGAGAATACAGCAGCTCCTCCCACAATACTCATCATTGTGTCGCCGGTGATGATAATAAGAGTGTCCTGAAAATTGATTAGAAAACAAAATTGTGTACTTTTGCTACCCTAAAACAATTGTTCTTTTTCTTGTTATACGAGGCCATGCTCATCAATCCGCTACTTCCGATCGCCAATGAGAAGCAGAGTTGTTTCAAAGCCTCACACCATGTCGTTGTCAAAAACACTTTTGAGAAGTCCGGATTCAGAAAATAATAATAAAGGCCTGTACTGGCGCCTTCTAATGTTATTCCGCGAAAGAAAAGAACGACTATTAGAATATAGGGAAGAAGTACACCAACCTAAAATTTTAAAATTCAATTTTAAAAAATTAATTTGAAACTATACGTATGATAGTTTTCCAATGATGTTCATCCCTTTAACGATGCCCAGAGCGGTTAAAATCCAACAAAACGTCATAGCAGCGAAGACGGGATAATTGATCTCATTGATGTCCAATAATCCAGAAGAAGATCGAATTACGTTATACCTACAACAATTGGAAATTTTCCATTCGCTTCTTATGCTAGCTCGCTATGTTCACCTTAAGTATTGCTCACTGGCAGATGTTAAGGTCCGATTTGAAAATTCATTTTTATTACGGCATCCACCGTTGATGAAAATCATTTCGGTGCTGTTTGCGATATTCGAACAAATGTTTTGTTTGATCATGTCGATACAAGTATCTAAGAAATGGCAATTATGTCGTTTAGAATAAGCTTCGAAATTAGGTGAGCACAATGAGAGCAATAATTCTAGAAATAGTTACCAGCAACGTTCCACGGATTTCCGCATTTCGTCATTGATGACGTTTTCCCAGTGAATACGTCAAACAAATAAATTGTAATCCAAGCGATGAGGACAATATAATAGACAGCAATAGTGAAAGATACAGTTGTCCCCATCCAACCAACTCCTTCGAGAACTGGCATGATCCGTCGAAATGCAATCGGTGGAGTCGTTTGCGAACTCTGGCCGAGAGCCAATTCCATATAAATCGCGGGAAAGCCGAATATGAAAGCACAGACGATGTAGGGAATAAGGAATGCTGCTGAAAAAGGCGAACAAGAAAATAGCTTTTAAACGAAAAGAAAAACACTCACATGCGCCATTTTCGAACGCCTTCATTGGAAATCTCCAAATATTTCCCAAGCCGACAGCGAGCCCTAAACTGGTGATCACGAAATCGGCAGGAGTTTCGAAACATTCCCGATCAGGTTCTTCTTTGCTGTTGTATGATTTTTCTAAAAGATGATGAATTCCTAAATTCAAATTTATTTTCTTACCTTTGCTATTTTTCGATAATTTCCCTTTTGACGACTTGGAATAACTTTCGTTGGACAATTTCTCATTAGAGCCTTTTAATGAATTCGATTTACTTGGTTTTGATTTGTTCTTCTTTTTCTTAATATTTTTGCGCGAACGCTTCGATTGCGATTTTGTTTTCTTCGATTCTTTCGATTCCTGATCATCCGATGAATGATGGGTTGTGTTGTCGTTTTCCAATGACTCAGCTTCCTTCGACTTTTTATTTTTGAATTTCTTTTTCTCCTTCGAACTTTTTCGATTTCGCGATGCTTTTTCATGCGATCCCTTCGAAACTTCTTCTCCGGATCGTTTTTTCTCGTTCCAAGTTGGCTCCCGAGACCTTTTATTCGGTTTTGATTCCTGTTCTCTCGATCCTTTAGCCTTTGATATGTGTTCTCTTGATCCTTTTGCCGGTTTCGAAGCATGCTCGAATGTCTTGTGCTCCACAAATCCTGCATCGTCTTTAGTCGTTTGCTCAATCCAATGTCTCAGTTTCGATAATTGTTCTCCATCAGCCATTCTTTTTGTTTTACTTCATGAAATCAAAAATAATTCTAGAAATAATCCCAAATTGGGAAATCCCGCATGACCTGCAATCACGGCAAAATTGAATATATAATTTCAAAAATTATTTTTGCACAAATCGATTTTCGAATAAGAAATTGAGCAGTGTGGGCCTGCGATACACGCACGCAAAAATGTTTTTTGTTAGTTTTCATAAATTCTCTTTAAAAAATGTATTTCTTCAAAATTCCAAAAATTTTACGGTTAAATACCACCGTTTCTATTTTTTCAAATTTATTTTATACATGCCAAATCTAGATTATAACGAAACTTTGAAATTAAATTTCACATTAAAAATAAAATAAACTTAATTTTTTTAATTTACAATTAAAAAAACATGACGATCACGCATTTTGAATCGCATCACGCTGCTATGGAAGAGCCATTTTTCAAAGAGTGTCATCAATCAAAACGGACGCTGTTTGATATTTTGTGTCGTTCAAAGGAATCATCATATATTGAACAATGGAAAATAATGATCCAAATGCAGCTCCGGCAGAAGGAGCTGCACCAGCGGAAGGAGGTGCACCAGCAGAAGGAGCTGCACCAGCAGAAGGAGCACCACCGGCCGAAGGAGCTGCACCAGTAGAAGGTGCTGAAGGAGCAGCTGTTCCCGCAAAAATCGATACAGGTTTTCATCATAGTAATTGAAATGTTTAAATCAAATAGGATCCGAAGACAAGAAGGAAGGCGAAGGAGGGCAAAGGGATGAAGGTTTCGGAAATGCGGTAGATTTTAGGATTTTATACCATATAAATGGTTGATTCAGGTCGAATTCTTGTTGACTTGCTTGGGATTAGCGGTAGGACTTGGCAATATTTGGAGATTTCCGACGCGAGCATTTAACAATGGAGGATGTAGAAATATCCGCAAAGAGATTCTTTTTATGACATCAATAATTTCAGCGGCCTTTCTGATTCCATACATTACTTGCGCTTTAACATTTGGACTTCCGGCAGTGTATCTTGAGTTCGTTGCCGGCCAATACAATCGGGTGTCGCCTCCGATCATTTTTCGGAGAATTCGGCCAGTTCTCGAAGGCATCGGATGGATGGGAGCGGCCGTCGCAGCGACAGTCGCCGTCTACTACATTGTCATCATTTCGTGGATTTCCATCTACATCGTGAACATTTTCCGAGGCCACATTGATCTTTGGACGAAATGTGACAACCCTTGGAATCATGCTGACACTTGTGTCGAAATGCTGAAGCAAAAGTTGTGCGATTCAGTTGATAAGCTTAATGGAACGGGTAGAGTAGCCGAAAAATACGTATATATCAATGGGTCTTGTGTTGACGCAACGACGATCGAATCAACATTGATTAGTGCCACGGAACAATATTTCATGTAGGAATTTGAGCTTTGGTTTTTTTTAATTGAATGTTCAGATATAACATTCTGGGCCCATCTGATGCACTGTTTGACATCAACACTATCAACGTGCCGGTACTCATATCCATGACATTTTGTTGGATTTTAAACACTCTTCTGATTATCAAAGGAATGAACATCATGGGAAAAGTTTCCTATGTATGTCATCATGCTTTCTTCATTGAAATATCGAATGAATTACAGTTTTCCGTTCTCTTGCCATATTTCATTGTGACCATTCTGTTTTTCCGCGGAATAACACTGGAAGGTGCCGGAACAGGACTATTTTATTATCTCGGAAATCCCGACTTTTCAAAAATCTTTTCGGCAAAAACGTGGTCGGAAGCTCTCAAACAATTGTGTTTTTCGTTATCAGTGGGACACGGCGGATTGATGAGTATGGCTTCATATAATGCTAAGAAAAATAACTGTTTTCGGGTATCCAACAAATGCTTCAATTCTCATTCATTCATTATGATTACAGGATTCTCTTATCCTTATTGCTGGTGACACAATGATGAGTCTCATGGGAGGTGCTGCTGTATTCTCAACAATGGGATTCTTAGCCACTCAACGGGGAGTGACTGTACCAGAAGTTGTTGATAGTGGGCTTTCCTTGGCTTTTGTCGTCTATCCAGAAGCCGTGTCCCAAATGCCAATGCCCATTATTTGGAGTTTCTTGTTCTTCCTTATGCTCTTCCTTTTGGGTATTAGTACAGAAATTGGTACCAAATGTTAATATTAAATGAAAAATCTCATTTCTCTGTTACAGCACTTGTCGAAGTATTCTGTTCATGCTTCTGCGATCAGAGCAAGTTAATGCGCAACAAAAAATGGATTGTTGTGATTGTTTGGAGTATTTTCCTATATCTCATTGGTATAATATTCTCTACAGATGTATATTAATTATTTGTCGAACTTGTTCTCTAATCATTTCTAGGCCGGTTTATATTGGTTCGAAATGTTCGACGACTATTCGGGATTCAGTTCGCTGTGCACAGCGTTTTTGGAAGTGGTCGTGATTGTCTATGTGTACGGAGTGCAGAATTTCTCAAATGACATCAAAGAAATCATCGGAGAGCCAAAATCACGTATCACAGCTCTAATTGGTCCATCTTCGCCGTACTTTGTGTGGAATTGGCGAATCATTACTCCCTTGATTGGAATTGTTCTCATCGCTCTTTCTTTTGTCAGGGATTATCCTTACAATGGAGATGGATGGAAATATCCACCGTTTTTCGATGTATCTTCAATAACAACGAAAAACATGTATTAAAATTTTATTCAATTTTAGATTGGAGGATGGGGGATTCAAGTTTTCGTCCCTCTTCTTCTTCCCTTATTTGCACTTCGAACATTTTTGCACTTCAAAAAGCGGGGATATGCAAGCTTGAAATTGAATAAAATTAAAACTCACTCATTGTTTAGGATCTCCGAGGATTGTGGATGCTTCAAAAACAACATCCCTCATATCCAAGAATTTGTGAAGGAATGAACGAAGCTGAAAAGGAGTTGCAGGTACATTTTGTGAATGAACAAATATATTGTATCACTAAGCTTGCCTTGTAGAAAATCTTGCCCGACAAAGAACCCTGGGATGCGGATTACGATGGAAATGAAACAGTGGTTTCGATGGAAGGGCAAAAACCGTCTAATGAAAAAATTCCAAGTCTTATTACTTAAAAGGAGACAATAAAGATGATATTTATCGTATAGTTCGTCAAAATTTCAATTTTGAAAAACTATTGTAATAATATATTATTAGTATACTATGTAATTGACAACTAATTGGCTTTTTTTTAATTTTTTGTTTTTTTGTAAGAAAATGTAATTATTGGAAATATTGAAAAGAAAGCAAAGCAATTGCACAGACCTGATTTGCATGTTTTTGACTTTTGTGACTTTAATTTTTTCAACGATAATTCGAAATATAAATACCAAATTTTCACGGGGTTTATCCCAAATTATTCAATGGACATTGATTTTTGTTTCGCCGATTTTTTTTGACATCAAATTGCCGAAAATATAAATTTCGGCAATCCGGCAATTCGGCAATTTGAAAAGTCGGCAATTTCGGCAACTTTGGCAATCGGCAATTCTATTGCCGCACAGTCCTGCTTTACAAGCTCTAATTCAGTTACCTCTCGTGTTAGGGTTTTTTTCCGCCATCTTCCTTTGGGTGTTATTTTAGAAATCAATAAGTTTTGTTGGAATTACTTTCGTTTCCCATTTTTTGGCTATCAATAGAAATCTTCTCTTCAAAACTTAAAAAAAAGGTTGACAAGTCACTTTTTATGAGTAAAAACCCTGTGAGTCAAGTCAATGAACCTGATACAATGAATAAGAAAAAAAATTGACTTTACAATTTAAAATAAAAAAGGCGGGATCGGAGACTCCATTTTCAATTTACTTAATTTAAAGTAATTACAGGATGTTGGTGGACTTTGGATGCATCAAAAGCGACATAATTCTTATCAACGAATGAATGGAAAAAATAGCGGAGAAGAAACAGATAAAAGTAATAATGTGCAATAAACCAAATTCAATTTTCTGAATTTTAAAAGGTTTATTCCGCGAGATTATGAGATGTGGAATGAACCGGATGAAAGCGAAAATATTGGCAATGGAAAAGAACATAGTTAGCACATTTTCCTAATTATCAAGTTCACGATAATAACAGTGAATTTCTAAAAATTATTCGACTCGTCGCATTTGCTTGAAAGCGAGGGTTCGATCTACATCGACGGTAATATACTCAATATCGGAAGGGGTTGGTGACCGCGTCGAGTTTGCAGTGAACATCAGACCGTCGGTTAAAGGCTCGAAATAGTCTAAGTTCTTGCGTTTCGAGATATCCGATGATCCAACTGTTCCTCTCGTAAATGATGTGAATCGAATTGTGCTAGTTCCGATATCTGTAGTATCTCCATCGCGTCTAAATAAGAAATAAATTAATTTTGTTTTTCAATCACAATAATAACCTTCGATTTGTTACATTATCATTAGACCTTAAGTTTTTGGGCTTGTTTGTTCGATCTACCGGTGGTGGTGATTTCGGATTGAAAGCATCGCTGTCTAAAGAGACAACTGAAGGTGCATAGGTTTGGGTTGGATTCCTGGATTTGAATGATTAAAGGAGCCAATTGATTTTAGTTTTTACAATTTTATAGTGTCGCTACTGCTGTCATCCTCAATCGTGGTGGGCAGAGGAGACGTCGATGTGCTTGCTGCCAGACTATTAAGTCTTGTGATTTGTTTATTCTGCAAATGTTTGCTTCAATATGAGATGTTTGAAACGAATTAAGAAAAACCTTTGCAAATGTTCTCTCCGTCGACATTCCTCTTTTATTTTTCACTCGTGGAGGAGGCATTGGTGGCCCACTAATAGTGCTGTTCGCATCATCTTCGTTCGTTTTTCTTCCAGAATACATTGACGACGTCTCCGAACACGACTCAACAACCTCACGTCCATCTTGAAGCAAATATTTTCGAATGCGAGAAATTACAAATATCGTACCTGACAGAGCTGACACATTCAGATTCGAGTAATTCATGTCCTTGGGAAGAGTGTTATTGGCTCGTGCCGCTGAGAAAGTGCGCAGATTGTGATAAGCGCGAGCTTTTTCAGGCGAGATCAGACCCTTCAATGATTCATTTCACACATTTCTTATTTTCTAAAAACCTTTCTCTGTTGACTTCCATTATCCTCTTGATTGAATATGTTCAAACTTGCTTCCATTGGAGAAGTTGGATTAGATTGACTGCTTTGCTTCTTCTTTGAATACTTTCTTCCTCCGTTGCTAAATTTGCTCTCAGATTCCGACTTTTGCAAGTTGCGATAGTTATTGTCACCAGATTTCGAATCATAAAAATCATTCTAAACAAAAAATATTTTCATTTTTTAAATGCTAGCATACCTGGTTTCCTTCGGTATCAGAACCTTCTAAGGAATCAGAGGAAACTGATAGTCCAGTAACGGATGAAGTCGAAGCCGATTGAGCAGAAATGATATATGGTCTTCGAATAGTTGTATCTCTTTGCAGCTTACAACAACTGCAAAATCTGCGCACCCAATCATTCATGTCCTGAAATTGGGAAATTGCGAGCCATCTCAATGAATATGCCATACATCTTTATTATTTGCAACAAGGTAGAGGTCCTTTCGATTCCCATTAACTTTGAAAGTCAATGCAAATATCCAGCTGAGACGTTCGGATGAAGAAGAACAAGCTAGAGATGGATCGTTGAGTATTAAATTTGACTCGAGCTGAAAATAATGAAATTAAATAAATGCCAAATTTTGCAATGAGATCAAAACAGTAATAATGCTGATTTCGTTAGTCACGAATTGCTTTGAATTTGATAAAACGCTAAAACATTGATTGCTCACCCTGAACACATTTTCCAATTCAAATGTGTTTTTGAGTTCAGTCTTCTTGAATGTGGTGTACTCGTCCAATGCGTACAGGTTTCTATCGCTATCTCGACAGTAGAGGACAAAATATCGTTCGATCCATTTTGTCTGAATATTTTGAACTAAATTAATACAATAGCAAAAAAAAACGAGCAGCCTGCACAGATTTATAGCGAGTTTATTTCTGATGAATCAAAACTAGTCCGATTCGAATAATAAACACTTCACAAACGAATACAAAAATTAACAATCGGATACGAGAAATTTCGAATCGAATCTGACAGTTTTACAATTTTATCCGCAGAATTACCCCGTCGGATCAATTTGATTCTGGACCCGAATTTTATCGGACCCCATTGATTTTGAGTTGCCAGAGTTGACTGTACCCGAATTCCCACTGATAATATTGTGAATATTTTAATCATGTGCTCATTTTTTGGTTATATTTGACATTAAAAAATAATAATTGTTATCGTATAGAATTTATTTATGTTCTTTCGCAATTTTTACAAAATTTGAAGTCCCTTTTTGAATTTGAAAAGTTAAGCTGCAATGAATACAACAAGGAAAATATTGAAAGAAAACGATTTTGTTTTTAATTCCCTTTTTAATTATGAAATAGAACAGAAATCGCATTAACAAAAAATCGATATAAATATTTGAATGGAAAATTATGAAAGAAATGTTTTTTTTTCGTGACAAACTGTGAATTACCTTAAATATTTTGTACTTCATACATCGCTTCAAACGGCCTTCGTAAAGAATATTTCCGCCAGAGTAGCTCATAAGAAAACAAGTGTGCGGCTTTTTCGATTGAATACGACACGGTCGAACTCGAAAAATTGGTTTTAAAACTGAAACAAAAAAAATAGTTTTTAGTTTCGAGTTGCAGAGATAATAGACTAGAGAGCGAGAGAGCGGCACACGAAACTGTCGAGAATCATACAATAATGTTGTTTGGGTGATGATGAAGAAAGAAATGAGAATTCCAATGCGATGATAGCGGGCCACGGCGTTGCTGATGAGAAGCGTCCGAGAGACGTCGAAGGTCGCTGAGACGCAGAGGCAAACGCCTTGGGCGCCTTGTCTCCACCTCCTTTTACACTCAATCGTTTTTTTAATGCGCGTCTGTTTTTTTTTTATGTCAACTACCTAATTAAACGAATCTTTCCTAGACCGATAATTCATTCGCGCTGCGTTTCGACAAAAAGGACAATGATAATAAAATACGATTTTATTGGCATTCCGGGAATTCGGCAACGACTTCTTACAAATTCTTATGAAGTTCAATGTAGACAAATACCTTGAAATGATAAGATGTTATTATCGGACAATTTTCGGAAATTATCAATAGCGATATTGAGCGAATACGGCAAGTAGCGAGATTTGAGCATTATTCTCTAATTTCAGTATTTCGAGTAGTGGTTAGTGATTTTGAATATATTTAAAAAATGAAATAATTTTTTTCTACTCTTATTGCGACGTTCTTTGTATACAATACAATTTATGGCTAATTAGTGTTTGAGGCTTTGCAAGCAATTATTTTGAGAAAATTCGTTTTGCAGTGATCCTATGAATTTAAAAAAAAAATTTAAAAATAAAATCTATAACGAGAAATTTATGTTGCTATATTTTGAAATATGAAATTTTGGTTCAATTTTACAATTTAAATTTTCATTAATTTTCAATTAACATGTTATTTCCATGATTTCTTTTAATAATTTTCGAATGTTCCCGGAACTGAATAAATAGAAGAATGACACCACATTAGCTGATCAAAAATCGAAGCCGATCACTATTAATTTTCGTGCGAATTACTACTGATTGTTGGAAGATCTCACAGCGATGGCTGATCAGTAAATAAAATGGAAATAAAATTGAAAAAAAATAGACTCAATTAGTGCGATTAAAAAAAACGGAAGATGAACGCACTCTCTGAATACTAAAAAGTCTGTAAAAATTGATAGACAGCATTCGCAAAACAACAAAATTCGAATGTTTATTTGCTTTCTGACACAACATTAATAGTGACGCATTTCGTCGGAATTCCGTGTCGCTTTACGCGTTCCCATGCTCTTAATTGATTGAGGTTTATTATATAATTATATTCGAATTTAGATTTAAATTACCTAAAAGCAGACATTTCACTATCTAACCATTCAGATCCGACTAATGTGTATATGACGAATATGGACTTTTTCGAAACATCCGGAAGAAGCATTTTTAATGGAACCTGAATTAATTCAAAACGGTAGTCTATTTTTAATTACGGTTATTTGATTTCCGGGGAGTAAAATATCAGCACCATCTTCTATTTTCACATGTTTATTTGATGTTGTTTTAACCTAAAATAATTGGTTTTTTTGTGCACAAAAAAACAATTGGGAAACTTTGAAAAGAATTCCGAAATTCGAATGATTCATAAGTGTCAATTGTTTACATTTTGAAAACTGAAAAATTTCAAATGATTGAAACATACATACATTGCATGGAGCAGAACATCAAATGACTTGGGTTTGACTTCAAAATCGTTAAAACTTTTTGGAATCGGTGGAAATTCAAGTTTATCTGTCATCGACTGAAAATAAAAATGAACAATTCAGGAAAACGCGTGGATAACCAAATTAAATTTATTATAAAAAGAAAAAAATGAAATCTATTTCCTATTTATTTACAGCGGTTTCTCGGCGTAGAACATGTTCCAGTTGTGATTGTCATCAGCAATGTAACCGAGCTTGTCAGACCATCCCTGGACGAGCGAGTCGTACTCCTTTTGCGAGAATTTCTAGATTCGCGTTTCAATGAATATCATATTTGAATTAATAATACCGATAGGAATTCCTCAACATTATTTTCAACTCTAGATCTTTCCTCCCCGAGGATTTCCTTGAATCTCGGAGTCATGTTTTCAGTTGAAATGTTAACAAATCCAGTTTTTTTTCCAATTTCTTCGATTTGCTTCAAATTTTTCAGGAAATAATGACGCTGCGCAACGTATTTTTTGAATTTCTCCGACATTTCTCCGTATCCACATCCATACATGGTGATGAGAACCTTGCCTCCCGGTTTGAGGCATTGCTGAAAATTAAAATAGAGATCGATACGATGGCAAAGGTTTTTACATAGATTTTCTGGAACAAACTATGCGTGTCTGGAATGTGTTGAATACAATCACGCGAAAAAACATAATCAAATGTGTTTGGTGCGAAGTTGTAGACAAGGGCGTCGGTGATCGAATAACGGACGCGAGCATCTTTTTCATTTTGGATTCTCTCCAAAGCAACGGCCAGCATGTTTGAAGAGAGATCGATTCCCTTGACGAGCACGCCAAATTCCTGAAATGTGGTTCATTTTGTAATAATTGAACTGCTTGAAAAGTGGTACATCGGCGACTTGACGAGCTCCTCCACCAATACCGACACCAATGTCGAGCATAGTTTCTCCAGCTCGCATATTTCCAAAGTGGCGAATAATTCTCATGTTCTCATCGTATCCTCCTGGTGAGATGAAGTTGTTTCCGAAAATCCACTCATACGCATAAATTCCAGTATTGGTGTATTGTGTTTTGTCGAGAAAATCGCGGAAAGTAATGGTCACGTCGGTTGAATAGGCGAACTCTTTCTTGTTGAACACCCAGAAGAAGTCGAGATAGTTTTGTTCAACCTGAAATTACTCATTGAGCTAGCAAAATTCTCGAAATATTCGAACATAGATCGAATTCTCAATTTGGTCGACAGCATACAACCCGAGTCCGCAGTTAGTTCCCTCGTCAAGAGTACGGTAGACGTCGAAGAAGTCAGTAAGACGAGCAACTTGTTTTTTGTCCTCATGGTTTTCTAAATTCATACAAAAAAATGATTTATCGTCGGTTTATTTTTTTCATTCACTCAAAATTATTATATTTTGTACTTACTCAAATCCTCACGAATAACGACAACTCCACCAAAGCGCACCGCGCGAATCACATTTTGCAGAAATGTTTCCAACTTATCGGAATTGTTGATCTCCTAAAAAATCTACGAACTTTTTTGGGTTTCTTTGATTTCAATCTCGAATTGCGCAATGACCTTACTAGTAAAAAGAAATGAACAAAAGCAAACTCTCGGAAGATTGTTATCTGTTTTTGTATTGCTACCGTCTTATCAAGCCCGTTTAATTTTTGGGCCTACGACCAAAACAAATCTCGTCATATGTTTGAAAAAAACATTGATGATTTGTATTTCTATGAATGACTGTGTGCAGCTAAATATGATGATTTAAATTGACGAACCTCAGTTAACGATTTGTTAACAACGATCACATCCGCGCCTTTGATTTCAGTCAGCGATGTAAGATCTGAATGAACAGTCACCGTGCTGCCAGGAGTTCCCTCAATGAAGGCCGCCTCGAATCTCTTACTGTAAGCATATACATTTGCACTTTGATCGACGGCAGGTTCGAAAAAAAATGATCAGAATCAGGCCACTTTAATCATGTCAATACTTGGCGACGAAGAACAAGATGAGGTGTTATCTTCACGTATCATTGAAAATTTTCTAATAGATTTTTTGAACATTCTGATATTTTTGTACATTATGTAACACAAACGTTAGATTTTCTAAAATTGTCGATTCGTTTTTCCGATCATTAAACTAAAAACTTCTAATGTGCTCACGAGTGAATCATTTTATTGCGTTCTGATATTAAATCGGTACTTCGATGTTGTTTGTCGCGATTTTATATCAGCTTGAATTTTCGATTATTTCTGATAAAACAAACTCGATGAAACCGTTTATGTTTGCACATATTTCAATCATTTTTCATGTTTAAATTTTTAACAGCTGGGAATACAGACTGAAATATCTTTTTTAATGGACACACAGTGCAAACACGAACTTATTTCGTTCAAAAACCAAAGAAAATCAAATGTTGTCGTAGATATGCTCTTGTTGCGGAGAACCGTGGCATGTTTTGAAATTGCTTTTTTAGCGCGTCTAGTTTCAACGATGAAAATTGGACCATTGCTATTATTATAAATATACTTACGCGCCATTGGTGCACTTGGTGATGATGGCCACCTTCAAGTTTCTTGCTGGTTTGATCACATCGGTGACAGAGCTAACAATTTGGCGTTGTACCGAGAACGACATCTTCTGAACGAATAAAACAAAATTGCCGACGCGCCGCTCGTGCACCATGCCACGCCCCCCCCCCAATTATCAACTGTCCCATCTCTCGGCGTCTCTTTTACATTTTGCGAGACTGAGAATGGCCAGGAAAAATACGCGCGCACACAAGAATGATTGTAGCGAAGATGTCGCTGATCACAATCTACAAGGAAAAATATTAGATTTATGCAAAGGAAAATTTACACAAAATAAGAATTACAATGTAAAACTTCAACAATATAACTAAAGCTATAACATTTAAATTAGAGAGATCGAAGCGGGATCAATGGGACCTTTTGGCGAGGGTTGTGGTGCTTGTTGCTGTTGTTGAGGTGCTGCCGATGGCGCATGAAATGTGTTGCGAGTAAGACTTGCCGGCGTGGTTAAACTTCTGTCACGCAAATCTCCACGTTCAATTGGCTTTTGGAAGTCAGTTGTAGTTCGACGTTGCGGAATATCATCAGGAACTTGAACTCTAAAACCAAAAAATCAGTCTTTCTTTTCTCAAACATTCCGACTTTTTCATGAGTTCGTCGAATCTAAGTCGCGCTGTGTCTACTCCACAGACTGGCGACGGCAAAGGAGTAGTGTCACTGAAAAATCGAATGATTTATTACTTTTCGAATAGACATTGATAGCAATATCAATCACTTCTGTAGAAATTAAAATGATGGCTAAATGTTACTTCAGATACTTGTGTACATTAAAGAATTATGAAATATTTTAACCGGCGTCGCATGTTGACTGAAAATTGGCTAAATTCGAAAAAAACAATGGTAGTGATTTTAACGCAAAACTAAAAGTGTAAATGTATGGGGCTAAGGTTAAAGGCGCACACCGCGCATCAGATGAAAAAGAATGTCGTTTAGTTATTATAATTTAAAAATAACCCACAATAATTTTTTAAAGTTTTCCAACTCTTAATCACTTACGTAACACGTTTCTTCTTTGTAATTGGTTGTGCATTGAGTCGCGGTGAATCATCAATAACGCTAACTGTTGCTCTTCTTCCGCCACCACTGCCGCCTACTGGGGCTGGAGAGAGTGTCGGCGCAGGTGCACTATTTTGTTGTTGAAGTAGTTGCTGTTGCTGATTGTGGGTCTTCTCTTGAACCTTTTCGCTCCTAAATTAAACAAATCAAATATTTAAATTGAATATTAATAATACTTGAACAACAACGGATCAACATTGAATACATCGTTTAGTTCAGCAGGAACGAGCTTCGTTCGTTCCCAGCGAGTTTCCGGTAATTTTAAGAATTCAAAAATTTTTTCCAGAATGAGTCGAAAAATGAATTTCTGAGTAACTCCAAGCCGGAATAGAACGTTAGCAGGTAATAGAAGGTCTTCGTTTCCATTTCCGACGACAACAAGCCCCGTTGGATCTATAAGTGATTTTATTGAGACATGCCTAAAAGCGCATTTACTTACTAATCATCGAACATTGCAAGTCTTTCATTGCAACATCATTGTGATCAGGGTCATCTGAACCCACGACGAACAATGTTGGACAATACGTCAGATTGATTTCATCGTCAGCATGACCACGTCGAAAACCATCACATAACACCTGGAAGCCTAGCGCAATGATTGCCGAAATTCCGTGTACGTGATTAGCAGCAAGTAATGCAGTATACGACGACCAATTCCATCCAACTAACACAATTCGCACATTTGGATACTTCTTGGCAATTTGTGCTACCTTTAATAAATTAAATATGAATTGGAACCTGTATTAAAAAATTTAGAATAATTTACAAACCTTGACAATAACTGAGTTCAGAAGAAAATCAGTGAGCCATTCAATCTCATTGACTGATTGCGAATCATTTTCCTGAATTTTGATCAGCGTTGATTCATGATGCCCAACGTGCCGGAGCCATCTTAAAGTGAAAATTTTAAAAATTACAACAAAATTCATTCAGTACCTGAATATACTTTCTTGGGCTCGACGTCTCGTCTTCGGTTCCCCGACGGACACCGACGGGGAAATAAGCAGAAAAACCGTATCAGACATTGATTCCATCTATAAATAATAACGCTATATTGTCGTGGACGAATGAATTTAAAAAATTTGAATTGCGCGGGCTGCCGCGATCGATTAGTTTAAGAGAAAAGGGATCATCCTCTAAAAGCGTAAAAACATATCTTTGAAACTATATTGTCGACGTCAAAATATAAAAATAAGTCGAAATATTCCGCGACATCGGTGAAAAATTTACTGTTGACTGAATATACCAGAATGCACGCCAACTAATATGAAATGTAAATCGTCTCTCGTAATTCTTGATACATCGAGACAAATTGTCACACTGTCAATTTTTCATTAACATTTTTTTCTTCGATAATAAACATATTGGTATGAAGCTTACGTCAATTGTGTCATCAATATCATCAGTTTCAGGATCGATTGCTTTTTTCTTGATTAATTCCTTGATTAGACTAGTTATTTCACTCCATGGCGGATATTCACTTTCTGTCGATTTCACCAAAGTTGTAACGTGCGAACCAAACTATAAATAAGTTATATGTACACCAGCAATCGCTTATGAAAATCCTAACCATTCCTTTGGAATATCGTAAAAGCGACAGGTATGCAGCCAAGTATGTAGCAGGAAGATTTTCGACGAAGAATCGATGAACCCAAGTAACAGCACTTTGTGTGGGTATGTCACATGCACAAAGGATGTCTTTGAGCTTGTGGGCATTTGCAAAAGTACTTGTATACAGGGAAGATTCTCTGAAATCGTATTAGTAATAAAACGTTATCTTGTTTAAATAGGTGTTTGGACAGTGTTAAAACTTCTTCCAAAACATACATGTTGTACTTTCTCGCTGGCGCCGCATTCTCTAGAATGAATTGCTGCTTAACAAGGTATAAGGCGTCATCGAAGACCCTTCGCACTTGTTCTGGTTGCTCAGCAGCTCTGTAATTTCAGATATATTGTTGGTATTCAAATATAACGTTGTACCGAATAATTACAAAATCAAGGTTTTCCTCCATTCCAGGAGGCGCCTGTGGACGTGCGAGTAATTCCTCGATACGATTCGCCAAATCAATAGCTTCGCCGTGCATCTTTCGCACAATTTTTCGATAGATCAGAAAATCTTCGTTATTTGTCAAATCAGAAGGACTACCAATGTCAATGTCTTCCTCATCAGCCAGCGTAACTTCAACATTTTCCACGGGCCTAAAAACAAGTTATTTCTTTCTGCAATATAGACGGCAAAACTTGTAATCTGTTGCGAATTCCGCATAAAAATACTCGGATGGTCTGTGATTATGCACTGCCTTTTTCGATTTATCGTAAAGACGAATTCCACATTCAGGTCGATTCATAATATGCTTTTTATTCATATAAGATTCAATTGTCATCTAAATAATTATGAAATGTTATTATATAAATATATTTTTAAACCAACCTTTTTCTTCTTTTTAGATTCTGTGTGTACGCGAGTTTTTTCGCTTTGAATTGCTTTCATAATTTCATCGGTATTCACTTTCGACAAAAACTCTCTCGCCAACTGTTGTTCCCGTTCAGTACCTTGATCCGATATTTCAGCTTCGTACTCTGGATCTGCAGAGCTCTCTTTCGACCGTTTTATTGGTATGTACATGTAATCAGCATCCTTTTTCGGCGCTTGACGACTTCTTCGTCCTTTTTCTTCCGGTGTATCGATTTCGATACGAACCCTTAATTTATCATCTCGTTGCGTCCGACTCTCAGCCATCGCCTTTCGATGGATTTCAGATCGGCGAGCAGCGCACATTGCTGTGTGTTGTTTCTTCTGGCGCGGTGTCATAATATCCGAATGCTTCTTTACACCGTCTCCACACACTTCATACAGTATCGCATCCATAACACAGTTGACAATTTGTGCACAATTCACAACTTTTCCATCTCGTTCAAAGTTTGGAATATAGGGTTTAATGGAAGGAACATAGTTTCGGAGTACACCATGTCTTAATGGATTTTCCGGAGGCTTCTGTAATTTAGGTCGTTCATTTTTGACAAACGCAAAACTATTTACAAATCTACCTTTTTCTCTCTGACTGGCGTAATATCTTTAACATTCACTTCAATTTTTACTTTTGTGTGTGGTTTTTCGGAAGTTTCGCCACCTGTCACCGGCACATCAACGCTTTTCCCCTAAAAACCAATTTTATAATAATATCCTGTTGGTTCTTCAACTTTAATGCTCCCCAAAACTCGTCCAATACTCGGATCTACATCGAAATTTCCGGAATAAAGCCTGTTCGGTTTATGAGCTCGAGTCGAAGATCGTACTAAATCATAAGAATACATTTATGAAACGTATTAGAGAAAGAAAAAAACCTGGTTCAATTCTGATATTAATACTTGGACGTGACTTAGGCGGCGTCTTCGCAGATAACTTCGGCTCCTCGTTGGGCGCTGGAACAGAATATCTTTGTTCCTCAGAACCACCCGAAATTCGCGTTTTGTTAGCTTCAGTTGAATCCTTATTCTCAATTTTAACAGTAGGGTCAGATATCGCATCCGCTTCTTTTTTGCTTTCTGTGGAAGCATTAGAACTGGTTGTTGTTTCAGCTGTCTGAGCAGTAGAAGATAGGAAAGCTTCCTCGGCAACTTCTACTGAATCATTCAGCGTCACGTTTTTTTCTTCAATGATCTCAGTAGTTGACGTCGATTCCGGTTCTTTAAAAAATTGAACAAGGTAACTCCAAATACTTTTTTCAAATTAAATACCTCTCTGCTCTTTTTCCACTATTTCCTTTTGTTTTGCGACTTCATTAGTTTCTGATTTTCCATCTTTTTTCGGGAGCGATCGTCGATTTTTAATACGTGTTTCTTCTTGCTCGAGCTTTTGTTTGATGGCAAACGCTGTATTGAGAATCGATGACGCCGTCGACTTCTTTTCTATCGAACTTCTTGGGCGGACTGCTTTTCGAGCTTTTTCATTTTCAACAGCTTCCGTTTTCTTTTCCACTTCAATTTTGTTAGATTTACTACGGCGGGTTTGTCGCGCGTCTGGCTTTGTGGTTGTTTCAGTTTCATTCTCAGTCTCATTCGTCACTTGCGCTGAAGGCGATGGATCTTCTTGAATAAGAGGTTCCTCGAATGCAACGGACTTTCTCTTCGAAGGAATCTTCTTCGCAACTGATGACTCACTTCCGAGATTTTCGTTCTCCTGAGTGTCGTTAGAGGCAAGAGCAGCAGTTTTTCTAAAAAAAATTAAAAACTTTAAAATAAAAACAGAATAAGTGTACAATTCATAGCTAAGGAAAATTCAAAAATTGATGGAACCCTTTAAAATCATCTCAAACAGCAGGTAACTTGCGGAAAATCCCTACTTTCAACCTTTTTAAATTTATTTAATTCACAATTAACGCGCCCCTTCCCTAAATTTGTCTATCAGGTCTAGAAAAATGAAAGAAATCTATAATTAGTTCTAACAATTACCATACTTTATCGATAATCGTTTTCCAGCTTTGACAACTTCCATATTATCTGATTTTTTTTCTCCAACCGACTTTCTATTTTTTGCCATCTTTTCAATCGCTTTCTCCACTTTTGTGTGCTTTGGCTCAGATTCTTCAGGAACTTTGCTAAAAAAAATAAATAACGAATAAATAAAATTTTAATTCTTGAATTCACTTGACAATTGAACTTTTGCCTCTTTTGCGCTTCGAAGATTTCGTTAAATCTTCATTTTGTTCTTCTACGACGGTTTTTGCAATATCAGCAGGTCTGTAAGTTTTAATAAAGCCGAAAAAAATGTAATTTTACTTTATATAAACGCTCAGTGAAAAATAGTGGGGTTTTGAAAAGAATTACCCCAGCATTTATTTTCAAGGAATTGTTTATCATACATTCAATATTTCAACCCAATTTCATAAAGTTATTTTTTTCACTTATGAATTAAATTCCTTGCTTTTTTTTTAAATCTACAACGTACCTTCGAACACAAAATAACGCGCGCGTTTTCATATTTAAAAAAAGTAGAACACGGTTAATCGCCAGACACAACGGAAATTGTGCCGAGTCTCACGCTCTCTGGCGCAATGACCGCCATTTTCGCGGCCAGCACGCGGAATTTAATCCAAACGCGCTTATTCTATTCGCCTTTTAATTTTTTAAATTAAATTTCTAATAAAAAATCTAATTTAAATCTAAATACCGTTGTTTACACATTATAAAACATTTAAATGTTTTAATAGATTGATTTCTAATTCCAGGATTTAACTTTTAATGAAAAAAATTAATGATCACACGAAACCATGATATTTTTTGATTATCAAAGTGCTTTTGTGCAAATAATAATAAAAAAAATAAAAACATACTCATCACTTTTTGGACTTCTCGCAGGATTTGTATTTTCTTCGACGCTACTCGATTTTTGGCCTGATTCCGGATTTGCCGACGAACTCGGCCCATCGGAGTGAGAATGCCCAATTTCGGCATCAGATTTCTTCTCTTCCTCGGAATTCTGAAATATCGAGTTTTTAGATGGATGTACAACAAAAATTTCTTTGCTTCTCATATTAATTAATTTATTGAATTTAAATTGGATTCGTACAATAACCGTAAAACAGTAGTCATGGTGAAACTGGGCGCTAAATTACATTTAATGAAACATTCTCTCAAAAATGTGCTGTCTAGGCAAAACAAGTGTTATTGTTAACTGTAGAATTCATTAACTTTTCATTTTTGAAATTTTGAGATCGTTTTGGATAAAGATAATCTAAAATAAAATTCACACGTTGATGGTTATATTTTTCGCTTAAAATATTTTAACCGTATATTAATTAATCCAATTTTTCTCGACAAGTGATGAAAGAAAAGCTTGATTAGTTTGGAAAGTTGGAAGTGTTAAAGCGGAAGAATTTGCTGTTAGGTATATTTTCCACTAATTTAGGGCATAAACATATTTACAGGGAAACGACTGCTGGGGGCACGGTTGCGAATTGAGCGTGATATCGATGTGGATGCCTGCGAATCTTTCTTGGGACTCCCTGACTTTTTGATCACGGCTTTAATTGGTTTTGAAGGAGCTGAAATGATTGATTTTTATCGAATCTTCAAATATATTAAACATACTTTTATTTGTTTTCTTTTCCAATTCATCTAGAGTATTTTGAATTTTATCTGTTCTTGCTTTCAAGTCTTTCGTAATTTCTGGCCGCAAAACATATTCTTCAAAACTTTTTTCGATGGCTCTGATCTTCCCAATGGTTTCACGAATTTCCACACACTTCACGTTAGTTAAAACTTTCTCATCGCGCAAAAATTTCTTTTTTGGTGGTGGTGTGAAGAAATCAGGTGAATAACGTCGAAGTGCTTTGGCTCGAGACGATCTCTTTCCCGGTTCACTTTCCACAGAAACAGGAGTTGTTACAGAATTATTTGGTATTTCTGGTGTTTTCTCTGATCTGTAAATTTGGTTTTAAAATGTTATGAGAATTTTTTTCTAACTCTTTTTTGGGGATTGACTTGCGGTTTGGTGTAGCGGCGACATTTGACTTTCGTTGGGACTGATTATCTGGATGAGATTTTGCCATTTTTCTCAGCCGTTGCTTATTGCGGGAAGAAGATCCCAAAGAAGCGGGCGAAGTCAAATCAAGGCTGACATCCAATACATCCATATGTCGAGGACTGAAAAAAACTGAATAGCGAAAAAAAAAATCAAAAACCAATGTGTTATTTAGTCAAATCAAATGATTCAAAATTTGTAACAAAACTCATAAAACGAAACGCCTAATTGGCAATTTTTCGAAAGTAAAAATCGTGATTTAGAGATTGAGTGAATTATTGAGAAGTATGTAAATGATACAAACACTTCTTTTGAGAATACTATTGCGCAAAATTAATCTTGTAAAAAAAATAAAAAATATGACATTTTTCGTAATTATTTGGAAAGAGACAATATGATTATATTATGGGCTTATTTAGCGCCAAGCGAAACATTCGATTAATAATTTTTAGCTTCAAATTTGACAAATTTTATGAGGTTGATTTTGATAAAAATGAAAAATTCTACAATTTTGCAAACACTGGATACATTCATTATAAATATTCAAAGCGATAAATGCAAAAAATATCCCAATCGTTTTAAATTTTGAAAAATTCGAAATTTCAAACAAAGAAAATCTATCTGTTTTTAAAAATTGTACATCATTTTCCAACTAGTAGATTGTTGAAACGTGAAAAATGATTAGATGATTAACAAACAAAGAAAAAACAACAACGACGCTCAAAAATTTGAATCATTTGATTTGAAAATTTATGACGTATTTACAGTGAAAGCGCCAATCAACATTGTTGGCGCATTTGTCGATGAAGTGTTTCTTTTTTGACTTTCAATTATTGTTGCAATAAAAAAATTTCCTAAATATTTATATTAGTAACCTATTCATCAAATGTAACTTTTTTTTACAAAAATAGTTAAAATTCACATTAAATGTGCAATTTTTTGTAACCCTGCACTGGAGAAATATTTTATTTTTTATTACATGAATATGTTCCCATTATTATTTATAATATTATGCTTTTATGAAGAAATGTACTGAAATAATATTTACAGAATTATGCCTGTTCCAGCTCCTTTTGAAGGGCAAAAAAACAAGGCTCATAATGGTATGTGGAATTCTTAAATGTTATAACTTCTTGAAGCTAATATTTCAGTTCATAAAACTGGAGGTAAAGCTAAGAAAGCTAAAGAAAAAGTTAAAGTAAAAGGAAATAATGTGAAAGGATTTACTTTTCATTCCGCTGTGGCGGCAGGAAAGGCAATTAGAAGGTATAACCCGAAAATTAATTTTTTACGTGCGTTATTTAGAGCTGCCGACCTTAATGAACGTAAAAAACATATTTTGATGATGGATAGAAAGCCGCTGGAGCCTCCACCGATTATCGTAGCCATTGTAGGTCCCAGCAAAGTTGGGAAGACTACACTTCTTCGAGGATTAGTCAAGTTTTATCTTCGCGATGGTTTCGGAGAAATTAAAGGTCCAATTACAATTGTTACGGGAAAGAAGCGTCGAATTCAGTTTATTGAAGTCAAAAATGATATTAATCACATGATTGATATTGCTAAAATTGCCGATTTGGTATCAGAATATAAGAAGAATTTCTAATATATTGTAATCAATTTAGGTTTTGTTGATGGTAGATGCTTCCTACGGTTTTGAAATGGAAACTTTCGAATTTCTTAATATTTGCCAAGTTCACGGAATGCCTCGTATTATGGGCGTACTCAATCACTTGGATCTGCTAGATGGAATTTCACGTGTTAATAAAACGAAAAAGATTCTGAAACATCGCTTCTGGACTGAATTGTACCAAGGGGCCAAACTGTTCTACATGACGGGAATGGTTCACGGACAGTATAAATATAACGAGATTCATAATCTAACTCGCTTTATCTCGGTAATGAAATTCCGCCCAATGGTTTGGAAAGATGCTCATCCATATGTGCTTTGCGATCGGTTCGAAGACATCACAAATGCAGAGGTGAACAGATTTCTATTCATATTTCTAAATTCCTATCGCAAAAAAACGAGCAAGCTGTGTAGATTTACAGGGAGTTCGCAGGTTATCCGTAGTGAGTCCCGAACTCCCACTGTTAAAAAATCATTGTAATCATTGAAATCATTGTATTGTCCGCAAACACAAGAGGTGCTCATTTTTTTGCAATAGTATTAAATAGTGTAAATTGTTTATTCAACAAATAATTTCAAGACGTTGCGACTTGATCCTCTCGTTGATCGTCATATTGCCATGTATGGATGGGTTCACGGAGCTCATCTCAAAAATCACTCGTCTGTTCACGTTCCGGGCGTAGGAGACATGCGAATTAGTAATGTAAGTTATTAAAAAGGATTTAAATATATTAGTTATTTCTTATAATCGGCGTTGCATGGCTCCGGAATTTGGCAAAAACCGCACCATTTTTTAGCCATTTAGCCTATTTTCCTTAGTCACACATTGTCGAAAATAATGTTTTATGATCAGCTAATTTCGGCAGTCATTCTTTTGCCCCAAGCCGCGATCGTCGCCCAAGGGGACAGACTTTGTGCGACTCGCCCAGAATTGACCAGTTACTACCCGGGCCAAATCGAAAATAATAACAGAAAATTTTGTAAATTGGAAATTTCGAAATTTGTCAATCAACGTTTTCTATTTACATTTGTAAAAAATAACGAGACCCTTTGTGAAATTTCACTTTCAATAAGCGTTTATTAATTTTCTAATTAAAGTAAGTCTGTTTCTTTCTTATTTCTTCCGATTGTGAATTTTCAAAGTGAATTTTAAGGTATCCAGCTTGTCCGATCCTTGTCCACTTCCTGAAGAGATAAAGCGGCGATCTTTGAACGAAAAAGAGAAGAAAGTGTATGCTCCTTTTTCCGGACTTGGTGGTGTTATTTATGACAAGGATGCCATTTATATTGAGTCAAAAAACGCTCATAATTTCAATGTACGATTAAAATATTACAAATTATTACAGTGCGCTCAAAAAGTTCAAGACACCCCTTCCCATTTTTAGGGTTATTTTGGAAACCAAGAAGAAGAAATGGCGATAATGAATCAGAATTGTTTCAATTTTCTAAAAGAAATGCATAAATTCATCTATGTTTTGAAATCTCGATCGTTTTTATCGCAGTCTTGAGAGACTAACCTCATTTAAGTTATTATTACATCACCCAAAATTAGGGTTACTGATCGATTGCCGTTAATAGATTTTAGGTAACTTATGTTTTCCGAAATAACCCCAAAAACAAGTTATGTTTAGAACTATTTGATCGCAGTGTAGTATATTGTTTTAAATATTTCATTTACAGCGAAAACGTGATCAACTTGTTGAAGCTTTAGAAGGAATTAAAGCGGGAATTGATGACAAACTTAAAAAATCGAGTGTGCAACTTCTTGAAGATTCCGTCACTTTGGAAGTTGGCGAAGAAGATGAAACTATGAGTTCACAAGATGAAGATGAGCAAGACGAAGAAGAGATGGAGGATGAAGATGAATTGATGGAAGAAGTTGACGATGATTTCGACGAAAAGATGGACACTGAAGAGAATGAATGGTCTAACCTTGCTTCTAAAGCGATTGAGCAGTATCGCGGCGCCAAAAATAGTCGAGTTAACTGGATGAAGCTGGTTTACGGTGGAGAAGATACATCTCGCCCTAAAGAAGAAAATTCTTCTATTGATGATCTTTTTGTGGTCCGAAAAGAAAAGAAAAAAGATGTTGTTGATGAAGAGGATGGATTTTTCTATGCCGAATTACCCTCTGCTTGTGCCAATACCATTAATTGGAACGTAGAAGAGGTACGTTGATTTTTAATTTTCGATATAAATCGAAAACAATACTACATAAAGAAAACGCGATTTTAGACGCGAAACTCGATTTCTGATTGTTTCGTGACTGGAAATTGGGACGAGGACGAACAGGAAGAAAACAAATTGAAAGGTTTTAAAGAAAAAACGACCATAAAATGATTTAATCTTAATTTAGAAAAACTCGGATCCGATACGGAAATGGAATCAGACGATGATGTCGACGACGAGGCTGGAAGCTCCGATGAAGAAAATGGAGATAGCGATGAAAAGGGTGAGATATCTTATTTATATTACTTTGCAAAAATGAGCACCTTTGAACCTATTTTTTTGATGCGGTAATTTAAATTTCGATTTAAGCAGTGCGCATCCGGGTTCCGTACCACGAATAAGCTGCGAATCAAACACACTGTAAATAGGCACAAAGTGTTAATTTTTTGCTAATGTCATATTTTATAACGGAAAATGGCTACATAGTTAAAAATGCTTAATATTTAAAACTGAATTTTTTGTTTTATTACCATACCAAAAAACGGTCACAACTTTATGTATGTATGTAGTATATGCATGTTGTAATATCTATAAGTAACATTTAAGCAAATTATGTATGAAATTCCTCAAATATCCGTTTCCCCGTTAGGAAATCACTAAATGTCCCGTAATATTTGAGTTAAAATCCTAATATATAAGGGCCCGTTTTCAAACAGACAAACATTCATTAAACTGTTTTGATTTTTATATATTTCGGAATAGTTTTAAAAATATCGTTCAGAAGAAACGGAAGAGGAGAAAACGAAAAAGCAACAGCGAATCGAGGAAAAGATTAAATTGAAACAGAAATTTAATGACGATTATGACGAAACTTGCAAGTTTTATAACAAAGCTAAGGTAAAAATTGCTTACCTATAAATTTTTTTCTATATCGGCCTTTTTAGACGGAAATGCTGGAACAAGCTGATTTGAATCGACAAGTTTTCGAAGGAATGGATGAAGAAGAAAGAGAAAGAATTGAAGGTATCAGTTTTATATTTTTTTAGTCCTTTTTTATTCCGTGATTTCGAAGGTTTCCGAGCTGGCCGATATGTTCGTATTGAAATCGAGGGAGTTCCTTGTGAATTTGTGAACAATTTTGATCCAACTGCTCCTTATATTATTGGAGGACTTCTTGCTGGAGAGCAGAATATGGGAATCGTCCAGGCCAGAATCAAAAGACATCGATGGTTCGAAAGAACACTGAAATCCAGAGATCCTCTCATTATCAGTTGTGGCTGGAGGCGGTTTCAGACTGTTGCAATTTATTCTGTTCAGGTTAAAAGAATAAACTTATAAAACTGTGTCAATGAGAGTTAATACTTCAGGATCATAACATGCGACTTCGTTTCTTGAAATATACTCCGGAACACATGCATTGTCATGTTTCCTTCTTTGGTCCAATTTGCGCTCAGAACACAGGAATTGTTGCTATTCAATCAGTCGCCGACAGAACTGTAATTTTTCTGTTCATTGTTTAAAGGTTTTACATGTCTTTTTCAGCCTGGTTATCGGATAGTCGCTACTGGAGGCGTTCTCGATCTTGATAAATCGACACAAGTTGTGAAGAAACTGAAGCTAATTGGAACACCCGACAAAATTTTCAAGAAAACTGCATTTGTCAAGGTAATGTGTTTATATAATATTTTTAATATGGAACAAGGGCTGTTAAGGGAATGTTCAATTCACCTCTAGAAGTTGCCAAGTTTGAAGGGGCGACGATCCGAACCGTTGCCGGAATTCGTGGGCAAATCAAAAAGGCCGTTAAATCTCCTCCCGGTGCTTTTCGAGCAACATTCGAAGACAAAATTTTAATGAGAGATATCGTTTTTCTTCGTACTTGGGTTACTGTGCAAATTCCTCGTTTCTATACACCAATTTCGGACCATCTACAATCAGCAGGAGAACCGTGGGTCGGAATGAGAACAGTTGGAAAACTACGGCATGAGCTTGGAATGGGAGTTCCGGTTAAGAAAGACTCGGAATACAAGGTGTGATTCTAAAAATTTTTCAATATTATTTGTATGTTTTCAGCCAATCGAAAGACCGGAATTCGAATCTGCGCCTATTCACGTTCCACCAAAATTGCAGAAGAGCTTGCCATTCAAGCTTAAACCAACATATACTGAACGGGAAGAGAAAGTAAGTCATTTCAGACGATGCAATTTTTATTAAAACGTTGAAATTTTAGGAGAAGGATGCACTTATTTCGAAGCACACTGCAGTTGTTTTGGAACCAGAAGAAGCAAAACGTGAAAGATTTATGGATATGGTCAAAACGCTTCACAAGTAACTTCAATACGACCTAAACTTTAAGCAAGTTTTGCTTTCAGAGTTGATGTTCAAAGATTAGAAAAAGAAAGACAAACGTTCAAAGAGAAAAAAGCGAAAGAGGTACGAAAATTAGTAATTTGATTTAGAACGGACTTTTTTCAGGATGCCGAGTTTGAAGCAAAACGAGAGAAGAATATTAAATCGAGGAAAAAGGCGATTAGTAGATCGTTGTCGAAAAAGGAACAGGCAAAACTACGAAAAGCTTTGGGTGCATCAGCAAGTAGCAGTTAGTGAGAAATGTTATCGTTTTTGTTTTTTTTTTGTTATTGTTTGTTGTTACATTTCATTTTGGTTCTGTTGTTTTTATAAACATTCTTTATAAAACGGTAATTTTACTCATGATTCAGAGGCTATTTACCCATGTTTATTTTGAATATATTTTTTATGAGTATATCATCGAGAGTAGATTGTGAGAATGATTGGACTTGAGTCATGGTTTGCCAATTTCACACAATTCTCGAGTAGTTGGAATTCTCCGAAAACTTTAGCTGATATTCCGAGGCCTCACATCGAATATGCGATTTATTCGATATTCAAGGGTGCCGAATTCACGAGTATTTTAGGTAATTTTTTTGTTACTTTTTTTCACCCTTTCAATTCGAAAAGTTTAGGAGGTATTATTGCACATCCATTATATAGAATGTACTTGACAAGAAAATTGAATCCTGAGAAAAGGACTCCAAACTCTGATAAAATCATTCGCGCTGCTTGTAGAAAACTACAGGTTTATACCGTCTTCAAAAAGATTAATATTTCTATGAAAATTTTTAGATAAGTTTTCTATTAAATATGTTTTTTTAATTCAGGGTCGTTTTCTTCTGTTCGGACTGTTCACGGCACCTTTGCTTAGTCGTCTCGAAACCATTCAATTGGGACGAACCGATATGGAAATGAAGAACATTTGCTATGCGATTCGGAGAAATTCTGAGGGATTAACCATGGTTAAAAATAATTTTGAAATAGAAAGTGTGATTTTCATAAATTTAGGATAGATGTGCTTTACTTTGCGGGTTAATTGGGTGGTACTGGAAGAGGTTTCAAGGAATGGTTGATGGAATCAATGTTGGAATTGCTTATGCCCTTGTTCACATTAATGTAGGCCCTTGTTCACATTTATTTTTTCAATAACGGATTCTTGTTATTTTAGCTCATCGCTCCAAAAACATCACCAATGCTTAAAGATAGTGTTCCAATCGACAAACAATACGAAAATGTGGAAGAAGCCGAGAGCAACAAAACACTACTAACGAAGTTCATTTCAGAGCAAGAAAAAGATTTCAAATAAATGTTTTCAATTAACTTAAAGTAGGAAATTATGATATATAATAAATAGGTTTATAATAGCTCTTTTTCTGCTTCAATGTCCGGGTTTTAAACCGTATTCTATACTTCAGTATTTTTCGAATGGTTGGTTTATTTTTTCTTTTGTTTAATTTTTTGTTCATTTTTGAATGCATTTCGGGTTTCGCGCTCGCTCATTATTCCATCAAACTAGGCGACCTTTATTGGCACTGCTGGCCATCTGTCTCATTGTGGTTTTTCGCAAACGATTCCCTTTTCATTTCCAATGTTCTCTTGTAGGTTTTTCATTTCAAAATATGCCTTTCTGCTCATAGTTCGCTGTGGTTATTAAGATTAGAGAGATTATCCGAAAGATTCGTTTTCCTCGAATACATATTTTAAAAAATTTAAAAATTAGACGTAGGAAAAACTAATAAAGTTTCTAACCACACCAATAATATTTTAAGATTATTTATATGTTCACATGGTAATCAAAACTTACCCAGAAAACTCAGGAGAACCAGAAAAAATAATGAAGACTATATATTCGTTTTTGAAAAATAAAAACCCAATTATTATCTCAATCATATCGGTAACCCATCTCATCTCGTTATGATTTATTTATCAAAATACAGCGATAACAAAGTGTCATTACTGATCAGTATAATCATATAAATACTACCACGAATGCCAGTAATATGTATCAGCAATAATAATAATAATAAGACGGAATTGAATGCTTTATCGCATTTGTCTTCCCCCCGCATAGCGTTTTACTAGTGAATGAAGATTAACACGAAACTACAACGGCTATTCTCTGCTTCCTCGCGCTTTGCTTTTTCACTCCGTCATTGTCTATTTCGATGTTGTCGGCATTCACTGTAGTTGCCAGAATCATATTTTGTTTCTTGAAACAAACGTAGTCTGCTCATTTTTTGCTTGTCTTTATACATGCTTCTCTCTGACATATAATGGTTGCAAACTCGAGAAAAACAAATGGCGTCGGAATTCAATTCTCGAGGGTCTCTCTTATATTCATTATGATCCAATATAGACATTCATAAAGTTTCTACTCTTATAATATTTGTAAATACTTGAAAACATTAAATTGAGTTTTCCAAAGTATTTGCAACTATTAAAAAGTTAAATAAAAAAGGTGTTTGTTGAAAATACGTTTTTCTCTTTATTTTTTTTCTCTTTTATTCTTTCTGTTACGATTCACATCATTTTGGAACGTACAACATTAATCGCTCGCACGTTTGTTGTCGTCAAATAGAACGAATAAAAAACACAAACGTTTTTAGTCACTCAATACATTTCTCAATAGACGCAGTCATATTCTTTACAATTCGACTACGACACGTCAGGAGCCCATTTATGGACAATTTGCCTTTTTAGCGATAGAAAACGTAGATATTTACAAAATATATTATTATGCAAATGTTCAATTTGTGTAAAGGAAATGACGATATACTAAGAACTTCATTTTAAAAGCTCATCACGATAATACCCTTCGAGATCTATTTCATTCATAAATATTTTCGTGTTTGCGCGAAGAATGTTAATTTAAGATGAATTCCTTTCTAATGGGCCTCTCCTAGTTGTAACATCTATATATTTATTATTTTGTTATTCACTTCCAGCCGACAAAGGAACGACATTTCGCGAACAAAAACTACGCTGTGAAGACGATTAATTAGGCTGGGCATAATATAAATTTAAAACAATTTCGGTTTATTGTTCGAAGTATTGGAAAAACGAAAAATGCACAACCCTAATCAGCATAATCGCACTAATAGGCTTTCGGAGCGGACGTTGAGCTGCTTTTGCCCAAAGGAAGTTGGTCCCAAATCTATTATGCACATGCTAAATCTCCAAGTTTCATTCATCGTTTGTTTATTTCTTTTGTGTAATTGCCACTCTTACTCTTGGTGTTCACAAATATGAGTCATACTGTTCATGATATCCATATTCAATGTTGTAATTCGAAACTTGATGCCAGTCATTTCTAATTGCTCATTTATCCCATTTCTCCTCCTAATGATACGACCAAAATACATTTTTCCATATGGAAATTGAATCAATGCGTCCTAGCGTCACCATGGAAATAACTTGAAAATTGTTAGTTGCGAATTTCGAAATGGGCCAGCAATTCCGGCGATGCGCGATTCACATAATAAATGGCATATTGGCTTTTATTAGTTTGGACGTAATTATTGTTTAGCTTTGCAAAGGATTTGCTTTTAGAAAGAGTATTTAACGTTCATGGTACATTTATTTAATCAAGCTGGTGGCTAACTTATGGAAAAAAGCAATGTGTATAATTTTTCACGAAAGTATGTTTTCTAAATTCATAAATAATATAGTTACAACAATAGAAGTAATTGAAGTGATCCCATTGTGCTCATGAATATTGAATAAAGGCATAGCCTTGTTTTTCAGATTTCTTTCGCCAGAAAGCGTAGTTGTATTATAGAATGACCACGTTCTCTGAGCCAGAGTTGGGTCTTGTTGAGTTTTAAAATGTATCACCTCCTCATCGCGTAGGAAGATAAAGCACGGGTCACCACAGTTTTCAAGCTACAGTTTTTCCGTTTGAATGATATTTTAGTTGATGTGATTCATATTCCACGGTGGCAGCTCCGAACACTGAAAGGGTGCTCAGTATACTAATAATAATAGCGACCTGGTACACTTTCGGTGTGCGGTTTATTGGGCACTTGATGTCCATCGCGACGACCGGTGAGGCACACATACACACACACATATAGCGCGTCGCGTCGTCTCGACCTCCATGGCCTCATCCCGTGCGTCTTTATTCACACATTTCTCCAGACTCGTTGTCGACATCGAAGATGTCGGCTGCAGGACCTTATTGTTATTATTAATTAATAGATAATTCATACCAATTGGTGACTGCTTCATTTTTGATATGAAGTATTTTTTCGCTTCCGTCGCAGCATTTTCGATGACAAAATTTTCAATAATAGTTGGCTGAAATTTTCAGTTCGTTTGCGCCTATGCTAGAAATTTTCTTTTGTACCAAAAATAAAATATTCTTCGCAAAATCCTAAATATTCTCTAAAATTGTCATTTGTGAAATAAATATCGACTACGATAACTTGGACACAAGAAGGAAAATGTGTCCTTTGGAAAGCATTGCTTAAATTTTCATTAGCATACGAAAACTGTTCTAATAAATTGATGTTGTTTGTTTTTTTATTGCAGAAATGCAATTACAATTTAATAAGACATATGCACTAGAAAGATATTCATCTATAGATTAGAATAGAGTATTCGTTTTTCAATCTTGAGATCACGAATGCTCTTCACGAATTCTCCGCTCGTCTTCCGCTGCGGCTTTACATCGCGAAATTGCGTTTTCTGTGTAATCGTCATTCGTCCGATTTTCATCGTTATTTGTTTCGCTGAAAATTTTCGTCTTTTTTAGGCCATGGTCGAAGAAAAAGGTTTGTGTCATGGTGAGAGCAGTCCCAGTCCACCGGCATATTCAAATGAGGCAATTAGTGATGACGATGTTTACGGAGAACTTATTCTATTAGGGTAAGTATTCATATTTTAACATTGCCGATTTTAAGCAGGGAGTTGCTTCTATTTAGTCTGTTTCTGAAATTTTTATTCTCATTTTTCTAATTGGGTCCAGAAAAATATTATTGAAACGAAAATTCTACATTATTTGGTTTCGGAGAAAAACTGTCGCGATGTAAACAACATATGCATTTTCTTGGCCGAAAATGCATAACTCCCAAATTATTTCGTTTATTTTCTATATTCATGGGGATTTTTTTCCACTAGAAACTGGATATTCAAAATATTCAATCGCGTGAAAATCACGCGGCCGGACTGAAATTTTTGCCGACTCGTCCGCCTCTTTTATTACGTTAAGTGGTATACTCCGTAAAATGGGAGGTGAGGCGGTCGAAGCGGAAAACGAAAATTTAGATTTGCGGGCCTAAGTATGTATAAATTAGGGTTAAATGCGCACAAAAAAATAGGTGAGACTGAATTTTTGGCTCTTAGTGTATGCGTATGCGTTTTATGCGCTCTGTTTCAACCAAAAAGGGGCAGAAAATACCCTGTCAAATGGGAATCATATACGAACATTGCTCATACTAATTGTATACGATGAAAACGCAATCGTATTTTGAAGAGCGCTATAGTCGCGTGCAATTACAAAACATTTGCCAGAGTTGACACACAACAAGTTTGCGCAAGGATTTTAGCCTTATTGCGCATGGGAATGTTTTTGTATGGAAAAATGTTTTATGCATGCTTTCCTTCAATAATTTGTATTATTTGAAGTTTCAATGGTCAAGTGGAAAATAAGGCTACTTCAAAGAGATACCTAACAAAGATGACACTTCGTAGAAGAGATTTCGCCAATGGGATTAAGAAAAGCGAAGTGCATACAGTGAGCGGTAATGTGATGGACAGTAAAGTAAGTATATTAATAAATAATTATTCTCGGCGACGCAAAACTGTGGAAAGTTGGCTAAATGCAAAAAAAGAAAACACTTTTGGCAGTCTTGGCGCATAACAAAACTTGTTCATCCGAGGCCCGTCCGAGGTTTACGGGCTAAGCAAAAAAATATATGTATATATATGCGTATGACACGCACCAAGACCTTTATCTCAATTTTTGGCATATAACCAATTTTCCGAAGTCGACAGCGAGGTCGACAATAAATTTATTTATTTATTTATTATTTGTAGCTTGTCAAAGATAAAGACAGACATACTGTAGCATTTCAATGCGATTCAAGCAAGTCAGTAGTAATTGAGTACTGCCACGACCCAACGAAGGATATGTTTCAAGTATATTATATCTAGTTTTCTCTAAAAACAAAGAATATCATGAAGATCGGACGGGCCTCGGATGAACAAATCGATTTCACCGTTATAGACACTTGGATGTTTGTGAATGATACATCAGGACATATTTCAATGCCATCCCGACCAAATGTAGATATAATTGAACGCGGAGATCGCACATCAACAATTAGTCGATTCGCCTGCCGAATTCTTATTGATCGCGAGAATTGTAATAAAGCCTACTTGTATGCCGCCGGATTCGATTCCACGAAAAATATTTTCATTAACGTAAGTTTTTTTTTGTGAAACTCAATATATAATATCAACTAATGTTTTAATTTCAGCAAAAAGCCTTAAAATGGACTAAATCGAATGGAGAAGTTGACGGTCTTACAACAAATGGAGTTCTTATACTTCATCCAAGCAAAGACGTAACTTCTAAATGCATTTAGCTATGAAATTGATGTTATTAGGATTTGAATGAGGAAAATCCCGATCAATCAATGTACAAATGGAGAGAAGTGTCGATTAATGGGGATGTTTATGAGCCAAGAGTAACCAGGAGCAGCTCAACGCGGGGTGTTTTCGTGCCTGAATGGACCAATATGTTGCAAGATGGGACACTTATTGATCTTTGTGGAGCAACTATATTATGGAGAACTGCTGATGGATTGGAAAGATCACCAAAGTTAAAAGAACTTGAAATGGCTTTAGATCGACTCAACGCAGGTTTTCTATTACTAATTTTACGTCAGTTTTTAATGCAATTTTAGGGAAACCACAGTGCCCTGTCAACCTAAACACATTGGTAATACCTAAAAAACGGAGCAGTCGCGGGTTGAGTCGTCGACAACCATATGTAGACATGAATTTTTGTTAAAAATTTCTTAAATTAAAGAGTTTAGGTTTATTTGAAATGTGGTCATGTGCAGGGAAAACATGACTGGGGAGTCCATCCAACTTCTGGGGGGCAACGCGCCGGAAAATGCCCAATTTGTCTACTGGAAAGTGAAAGAATCATTCAGGTGCCAATGTTTTTTTTTAAATTTTTTCTCAATGTTGTAACTAACAAAAAGTTCTCTACTTTGGCATCGACTAGAATTTTATTTTGATAAAAAAACAACACTGCTTAAAAATAAGACAAAAATTAAGAATATGAAGTGTACAAAAACTGTAGATGTGAAAATGTACGACAAATTATTGTTGGTGTCAGTTGAGTGGCGATTTCGCCGCTCGAATTGCGCTCATTTATGGTCTCTAGACGTCCCGAGACCCGTATTTGTCATTCCTGATCCCATATAATAAATTATTTTTATAGCTGACTATGGGAATGGAACCCTCATTTCATTTGGATTCGGGAATGCTTGACCATGCTTTCAATCCATGTGGTCACATCGCTAGCAAACAAACTGTATTGTAAGTTGATTTCAACAAATTGTTCATCCCGTCATTCATGAACTTACAACATTTTACTAATAAGTGTTATCGAATTAAATTGAATAAGTTTAGGTATTGGTCCCGCATTGCATTACCTCAAGGAACTTGTCGTTATGACCCTGTTTGTCCGTTTTGTTATCAGCTCCTCGCCGCCGAAAAACCTTATGTTCGGCTAATTTTTCAAGATAATTGTTTCGACGAGGACCACAAATAAAATTAACCACACTAACCATATCATATAATGATACCTACTAACACGCATTCCGCTTCTTATTTTGATTATATTGATTTCATTCAGACATAAATTTTCATGTTATATTTGAAGAATATTTCCATTACTAGCCGGTATGATCAAATCGAAGTCTGTATATAAATGTCTATGATTTTCTTTCAGAACAATTTTTGTCAACTTTCAATTTCTTATCTTCGAAACTTTTGTTCATTGTAGCTTTACTAATCCAACCTCTTACCGTCATTCTTGTGCAAACTTTGTGGAATAATAAACGAATATCCCTTGATTTATTGACTCCGATAAAAGTTAAATTGTTTCTAATATTTCGTCTTGGAAAAAACTGAAGATTTAATTTGAAAAAAAAAGTTCTTGGGGTTTTCAGTTAGTGACTATAGATATAATACTTAATTTGGCGGTAAAAGAATTTATGAAAATCAAATGCTTTTGGAAATATTGTTTTCCGGCCAATGATTACTCAGGCAAATGAAAAAAAATATTTTGAGACAATTCTAAAATCTTATGAGGTTCGTTGAGAGGCTAACGTGTCTCTATAATATTTTAGATTTGTCTCAATAAACTTTAGGAAATCTCATAAGATTTTAGAATTTATCAATAAGTTTCAATGAATATTGTGAGACTTTAAAGTGTATCAATAAGTTTTAGATTTGTCTCAATAAACTTCAAAGTTTATCAATAAGTTTTAGATTTGTCTCAATAAACTTTAAAGTTTATCAATAAGTTTTAGATTTGTCTCAATAAACTTTAGAATATATCAATAAATTTTAGATTGTTCTCAATAAACTCTGTCCAATATTATGTAATATCATACGTTATCGAGCAATTTTCACACAAATAGAATGTAATAACATCCATAATAATTGAATATGTATGAACATTTCATTTATTACAATATTAATGCGAAATGAATATATTTATAATAAAAATCAGAAAAAAAATAAATGAATCAATTTATTCTTTTCGCATTTTCTCCTTTTTCTGCGAATGACGCACAACGTTGCTATAAGGAATTCGTAGCATATATTGAAAGAAAATGTTGAACTTACAAATTTTGATGATTGAATTTGTTGTTTTTCGATTAATTTCATGAGTTCTTTGCGATAAAATGACTTCTTAATTAAATCCGGATTCGCGTTGAAACGCATTTTCAATGAAGTCACAATCTCGTGATATAGTTTATAACTGAAAATTGCCAGTTTTAAAAAATAACTGAATGAGTCTAACTTTCTCAAAATACTATATCCAATCCCGTTTGTCTGTTCCGAGCACATGTTTCTCTTGATAACGTGATAAATGTGCTCATGCGCTTGCGTGCTTATTGCCGACAGCTGACCATGACATTACTGTACAAATGGTATATAAGTTGCTGAAACAATAAATACAGTAATCATTAGTATTATTTCTTATATCAACGACAATAGCATGATGCTACAACGTTCAATAACTCTTAAAATTGCAAAAAAACGACTTACGTGCACTTTTGAACCAGAAAACAATTGAGGCGCCCCATCTCAAATTAGAATTTCTAATAATTTGCAAATACCTGCGATCTGAAATAAAAATTTTCTATTATGTACATAGCTAACGATCCCATATTACTTTGTTTGGTAATGTTGTATTTGTAACTAAGCGAGTCGGTGACACCATCCATCGGTAGCAGGCATGTATAAGCAACACAACAGCTGAACCTAACGGAGGGATGGTTCCGATCATGGCGTTAGAAACAATTTTCACTTCAAAAATCTTCAAAGGATGATAATTGCAAGTGGTAAATTAACTTACACTAGCTTTTTCGGACCTATTAATGTCATTGAATTTTCCTGATAGCGACTTTACCGAAGATGGCAGTCTCGCTTTCACATCAATAGCTTCGCATCGAAAAATATTTATTTCGTTTTTAACGAAGACTTCTAAAAGACAATCTTCAATTTTTAAATGCTGAAAAAGGAGAGACATAATTGAAGTACCTTTTATTATACGTGTTCCCTCGTGAAAAAGGTGGAAAATATCCATGGCCGTGATCCACATGGGCACCTGCTCATTGAATTTGCTGTATTTACCTCGTTCCTTAAATCTATCGGCCAATGTTTCTGGAATGTTTGTTCCACACTTTTCCCGATCTTCTAAAATATCGAAATCATTAGAAACTGAAGTATAATTGTAATTAATTGTAATAATTGTGCGTATTTTTAAAATTCATGAACCTGTTCATGCAATGACATGTTTAGACACAACTGTTTCAAATTCAGCATGTAAAACAATGCAGATTTAAGGTAGTGTTAAACATTTATTATAAAAACTTGCATTTCATGAATACGTCCATCAGTGAAGTGAAGAAACTATTACAAAAAGCTAAAAAAAACGGAAGGAACATCAAAAACATAAATTATTGATTGGAATTTAGAAGATCTTAAAAAGAGACGCCGCAAATTGCGTCAGTGGAAGTCATAAGGGCCCTATTCAAATTTTAAAGTCTCACAATATATTGAGATACTTTACACTTTCTCAAAAGATTTAACTTTCTCAAAAGATTTAATTTACAAATTCCAAATTTTTAAAATTTATTGATTCTCAATAAGTTTTAGAAAGTATCAATAGACTTTAGAATTTCTCAAAATATTTTAGAGTTTATCACTGAATATTTGATTCTCAAAATATTTTATTTGATTTGCCTGATTAAATCGTGCCGTAGAAACATTGGGAAAACGCGAGATTCGGTGAAACGACGATAAAAACAAATTTCTCCGTATCTCATAGTCACGCACTCTCTTAAATACCGTTTTTTCATCGGCATTCGCCGCGTTTCACCGAAATCTAAACGATTTATTGAGCCGTTTATTAAATAGTTTTTATAAAAACGGTGTCGGATCACTAATTGATTGATAAATCTCAATACAAATCAAATCAGTTTCTGCGTACCTTCCCTTTCGCTCTTTGCGTCATTTTATTAAATTTGATAAAGACGTTGTTGTCTAGTGAAAACGAGAAAAAAGATAAAAAGTGCAGTTCGCAAATGACCGTGGCCGCGAAAATTCTTCCCGTGTTTACGCGACCACCTTATTATTTTTGGTTTCATACATTTTTATTTAGCTTTTTTTAACCATGAACGTGCATCAAGCATTGGAAGAATTAATGCTATCACAATGCGGTGTCTGCGCTATTATGGTAACAGATCATGACGGAGGAGTTGTTTTGACTGTTGGTAAGATTTCTATAATTAGTCGAAATTATGAAATTGTTTTAGGAGAGATTCCGCGCCATAAGAATGGTACGATTGCTGGTCATTTGAATTCGGTTTCGCAAGGTCGAAAAATTTTGCTTGGTACTTATTTTTTCGATTTAATTTACTACATAATCGATTAATGGGTTTTAGGAAAACTGGGTATGGCGTATTACTTGTTCGAATCATCGCAGTTGGTTGTGCATACAATCGGAAAATATTACTTCTTCATTTATGCAACAGAGAATGTAAGTTTAATATTTATACTCAATTAATAATAATTTTTTGAAATTGACGTTTCAAACTTTGCTATAATTCAATCCTTTTTATATCGGTTGTAAATTTTTTTAAACACATTTATATGAAACAAAAGTGAAGAAGGAAGCTTTGTAATTTTCTCATTTTACAGTCGTGCACTGGTGGTTTGATAGATATGCGCGAGAAACTGCTTCCAGTGACGAAGACACTTCAAAAAGTCTGTCCTGCCATTGACGGTATCGCTGAAGATATCCTTATAAATTAACTAAATGTGATGTAAATAATTTAATTTATCTCTTTTGTAATATAAAATGTTTAAAAGTTTTGCCATCGTTTTCACGTTTCTCTCAATAGTCTTGGATAGAATAAATAATGAATAGAATCACATGCAGCGAATTTTGTGTATTCGGTTTTATCCAACCATATATTTTTGTACTTTGCATTCATTTTGTGTGCGTGACAATTATTTTATTTCGATTTTTTAAAGGAAATACTCGTCTCATTCGATTTATCATTTTTTATTGACCAGTGAGAATGCTGAATCGAAATTGGGGAGCGTTCCTCTTCAGACAAGTACTCTTACGGATTTCTGATTAATCTCGAAATAGATGTTTCAGATAATATTTATACGTAACCTACGGCATCATTTTACCCGGTTTAGGACTAAAACGTACGATTTTCGTAAAAATTTGAAATAACGAGGAAAATAGTATTTATTTTTCTTTATATTTATTAAAAATCAAAAGAAGACTAATGAATTACTACGAAAAATGTTAAATTGGTTATTTCATTTTTCATTCAAAAATACCAATTATATTATTTCGATCATTAATTTAATTTTCAGTCATGAAATCTTTTAACGTAAACAATTTTTAGATTACAATACTCTTCAAATTATGTTCGAAATGATCGAAAAATCTTCTGGACTTTCGCCTCTGTAGCCGGATTTTCATTCCAAAAACATGGTAATTATTTTTTTAACATTCGTTCTCAAATATTGTCGGCATAAATATATACTGGTTAATTGCGAGAGAGAGAGAGAGAGAGAGAAGCCGCATCCCCGAAATTTGAAATCCAAAGAAATGTGCGTGTGTTTTTTGAAAAATTTGTTACTACTTGAATTGTACAATACCCGTTTGTAGTAGCTATAAAATGCGTTTCAGGAATCAGCGATGAACGGATTAAAGAATGCGAGGATTGCGAATATGAATTTAGTAAGGAGTAAGGTGTGTGATATCTACTTATTGAAATAATTTAGAGAATTGCAAAAAACCAGATTGTGGATGGGAATTGTTGTACGAAGAACCCGACATGCTTGCTTTTCGAAGGTACGATTAGCAAACAAATGTCTTATTTGAATTTTATTATTTAGACGAATTGATGGACCTTATGAAATGTACGAATACAAATGTGTTGGAACTTATCGCGATATTAGTCCTCGAACATTTCTCGATGCACAAAATGATATCAATTACCGAAAAGAATGGGACGAAAACATCCTAAGCATAGAAGTTGTTCGAGAAGAAGATGAGAACGAGCTCATCCGTTGGGTCTCGAAGTTTCCTTATCCATTGTATCCGCGAGAATATGTCTATGTTCGACGCACTTGGGTTTCGGATGATGAAAAGTATGCGGTGATTGATAGTGAAGCAGTTCCGCCAGAAGTAAGCTAGTTTTAGTTCCTATTATTACAATGTATGGCTAATTCGACATGGAAATCGTACAATTGCCCCAGTTTCTAAAAAAATATGTCCCCATTTTGAAATTATTCAAAATTCTGTAAAAAAATTTGTAAGATGAAATATAATACTTAATTTCAAATAGTTAGGCATAAATCGACCCTCAAGAACATTTAAAATTGTATTCAGAACGTTATTAACAAAATAGCCCTATTTGTCAGGTTCACATTCGAACTACTGAACCGATTTTGTTTAATGGGCCCATAATTTAGAAAAATTGTCCTTATTTGTCATTTTGGCTTCAACTAGCGTTTAACCCCAGGTCCTATTTGAAATTTGCCATAATTTCAAGGTTTTCGCCAGCACATCAAAGTACAATGTCCGTGTTAGTTCGTATTCGTCAAGAATGTCTATTCGGGCTCACAAGGATTGGGAATCGCATGGAGTTGGTGGGTTCTAGTTTCATTTATGATTATTTAGATTCTATGGAAACATGTTTTATTTCAAAATTGTTTTGAATATTTTGAATCATCGAATGCCCGTAGGATATTTGTGAGCGAGGTCCTCGAATTATTGTGATCTCTGGCCAACAACAAATAATTTTCATGAAAACTAAACTTTTTGGCCAGTAATAACAATATGCGAAACTATCTATCGAATCAATAAAAAACAATGACTTTTAGACTACATTCTGACCTACGCCGACAATCCGGAAGCCAATATTCCACGATACGTCTATAATTGGATGGTTAACAAAGGAGGGCCCTACTTCTTGCGGCAAGTTCATAAAGCCGCTCGAGAAATAGAAGCATCCGGACGACAAGTTCGATCGGCTACAGAAAAGGCGGTAATTGGTAAGAACCGAAGATTGGAGGAGCGAAAACGAATACTCGCTGAACGACAAATAACCGAAAATACAATACGCGAGGAAAATTCGAAAGAGGACATCCGGGTTGGTTTGTTACTTATACTTGGTGCTGCGGTTTATCCATTTTTATATTCAGAGACGGGTCAAGCCCAGGAATACGAATAATGGATTTGGTCTACATGAACAACACGCATGACCTCTTTTGTGATTATGTGTTTTAATGGTAATCGTTTATTAGATAAATATCAATATTGCATTTCCCATTTTATCGCCCGTGTTTAGTTTTTTATTCGCTTTTTGTTGGCACTATTCTTTTCTGCGAAAAGATTTAAATGTGTGTAAATTGGTAGATTGTGCTAGAATGAATATTGACTCGTGTTTCAACTGTTTCTTTGTTTTCAACACACGATTATGATGTTTAATAATTGATCTCAATAGTAAGAGTTATCATAATCAGCGAGGGGTCTCAGCACGATTCGTTTGTCGTCGGCCATCCAGTTACGAGCAAGTTTACCAAAAAGGATTCCGCTTCGACGTGGTCGGTCGAATGAGGAACTGATCCGCGTTACTGAAAATTTTTCACTGTTTTATTTATTATATAAGACATTAAAAACATCCACAATTTTTTGATTGTACCAAATGTTCGCAAAAAATAGTTTTTGAATATCATATATCTGATTTACGAAGAATTATTTTCGTTAGGATTATCGTAAAGCACTTCTATTTAACCCCGAACAAATTGCGATTTATCATTAAATTTTTGGAACTATGATCTGTCATCCTCTATTTTATCCCTTTTTCAAATAATTGAAGAGCAGCTTCAGCATCATCACCCTATTTTAAAATTCGACAGCGTAGTTCATTCATCAATGAACTAAACGTTTAATTATTCATTCATCGTCAATTAAAAATGGCAATTACTCACATTTGATTATCAAACATTTTATTTATTCCGAAATCTTCTTTTTCTTAAGTTTAGAGCTCTTGTATTCTTCTCAAAAATGTATTTTATTCCGATGACGTCAAAAATTTTTGATGGCCCTTGACAAGTTCTTACTTCTTACTATATTGATGCGCATCGCAGAATAATAAATTGAGATCCAACTTTTTAGGGGAAATAATAGAACGGGTTTATAGTTTTTAATATTTAAAATTCGAATGATCAAAAGTCGAATTTTATTTTATTACTACTAGTATTTTCTTCTAGTCAAAAAAGACAAGCCTACACTTTATTCATTTCATTTAGTCTAGCCAATTTCTTCAAAATGATTCTACTCATACTACTTGGATGTGCGCTGGAGAAAACACCTAATTGCTCTCAATGAGGTCACCCGACAACGAAAATGAAATGAAAACGTGTGACGACTAACCAGAGAGCAAAATTATTCATTTCCGTTTCGTTTCGATCCACGATACAGATATGCAGTAAAATGTCAACTAGTGGGTGTTGAGGCACTCGTTATCGCCGGAAATACTCGATTTTTTGTGTGAGGATAGCACAAGCTCTTTCAGAAAAAAAACAACACGCATAAAAAGAGGATTGCGAACTATTTTCAGGTACAGTAATCATATTTGAAAATGTATTTTCAGAATGTTTGCGCTATTTTTTTTGTTACGAAAAAAAAAACAGAAAACAAATTTACAAAAAAATTCACTAAAACAGTTATTGATGCGAAATAAATGTCTAAATTTGATATTGAAATTGACATACTGAATATCAATGTGAGTAATGTAACGAAAATCTTTGAATAAACCAATAAAGTAAAGCTGTAGAAGTACGTCATTTTCATAAGCATTTATCTACCGAAAGGAAACACCAAACGCAAGGATCATTGGCAAAGTTATTATTACCGTAAGAGGTTCAGTGATATAAATTTCAAGAAATCTTATTGTTAGATTGATATATGTTCTTAGTTATCTCAAAAATATTTGTTAATGATTGAATTGTGAACTTATTGAGGACAAAATACCTGGTATAAAAAATGCAGAAGCGGCAAGTTGTAGAATCGTTAATACGATAAATGTTAAGTAACAGAAGCGCATGCCTGAATGAGTTGGAAGTGGGATGTCGTGTCTAGTGGGTGGGCTCTCTTATTGCCTTTTTTGAGAGTAGAGAGTGGACATACGAGGCGAAGAGTGGCAGAATGGGGGGCGGGGTCAACCACTATAAACTATGCAATTTGGCCACTAACCGAATGCCAAATTCGGGAAAATTTGAGATTTAAAATGAATGGTGGGAAATGACACGTATGTATATTGGTAAATGAGATAAATTTTTGTTTCGAAGTGATGCGTGTTTATATACAACCAGAAGCTCGAAGTAAGCTACGCTGTCTTTTTCTTCTGTCACTTGTACAATTCAGCATCTTATCTAATTATCTCTCACAAAATGAATATAGATTTACGGTCAGGTAAATTTACGCATTGACTGAGTATTAAATGCACACACACGAAAATACAAAGAACGTAAACAATTTTCTTAGCGTTGCGACACATGGCATATTAGTAATATTTTTTTTAATTTTGTTCAGTCGTTTGACGCTGAGAATATATTTGTTTAAGAGAAAAAATCAACAAAAAATGTATCACGAAGAATAATCGGTGTTGATACGTTCCGCGATCACTTTATTAATCGGACGGAACGGCTGCCGGAAGTTGACGCAATAATTCATTTTATGATCATTTCCGTGACGGAAATTTGTGAAACAAAGCGACCAGATACGTTTAAGTTTGTAGTGTTGAAAGAGTATTGAGAGAGTAACTTTTGGGAATAGCTATTGAGAGAATTTATGGTTGATTCTAATTTTCTATGCTTATCATATTTGATAATCTGATCCAGCATGAAATTCATTGAAAACTACTCAAGATTTTGTATGGGACCATCTTTGAATTTGGTGGCCAGACGATGACGCCAAACATTTTTATCACAACTAATGCCCGCTGAATTCGTCCATCCTTTCCAATAATACTTTCCAAAAAAATTTAATCTTGTAAAATCCTTGTCTTCCAGTTCGTTTTTCTTTTTTCATAATTTTAATAGTTTGACTACTCATTGAGCACAGAAAATGCACAGTGTGGATTAATTTTTAGTCGAAAAAAAAAACCAAATATTAATATAATTATATTTCATCTAAATGGCTTCTAAGTTTTCCTTGTTAATGTCACGCAGATTATCTGGACATTCATTTCGATACGAGAAATAATTGAATGAAGCTGAATTGTTTCGAATTCCTCGGAATTGGTACTTGAAAGTGCTCGAAGAATGAATGAAGAAGAACTAAACGAGTTGTACTAATTTCATTCCGCCCATTTTCGAATTGTTTTTATACACAACATCTCTTCGAAGTCCAGCTCATCCAGTTTATATATTTGGTTTTCGGCTTAAGAAGATTTTAAAAATATGACGACTAAAAATTGACAATATAATGAGCAAAGATTATTAATAAATCGGTGCTGCTGTGCTACAGATGAAAAAAGTCAAAAAGATGAAGAAGAATATTTAATTTTATTTTTTGAAAAAGTGGTTAAACGAAAAAATACAAATGTGGTACAAGGCCCGTTTTTTATCCAAAATCTGCACCATTCATCGTCTGCTAGTACAATGACAGTGAAGGAAACTATAGACAATGAAATATTCATTTCTCGCTTCCCTCGTTTTCGATGTTTCTTTTTTTATACTTAATTTCGGGTTAGAGTCTCATCAAAATTTTATGGCAGCGGCAGCACTGACGAATTTTGATACTTTCTTTTTGAGTTCAACTAAAAATTTACTGAAAATTTTTCAAACAAATTGTCAACATATACCGATATCAATCTCTTCAAACAACTGATTGAGTTATTGCTAAGGAACTAACAAAATAAAAAAAGAAAGAAAAAAATGGTAAACAATTTTAGCTGCTCCACTAAAAATATTGGGGTTAGTGAGAATTTTTAGGCATTTTCGGATTCGTCCAGTTTCTCGGATTTTTATAAAATTTCATTGTGCAATTCTCAAGAATGTAAACTATTTGAAGAATCCTGACAATGAAAAAAAAACGGTTGATAATCGTAAAACGCGATGTCTCTGATGGTTATTCATTCATTCGAATACAAATCCGTCCAGTCATAAAAGATTCAATATTTGAATTACCAACGTGACATATTTGCAGTTCTTCATTGCGTATGGATGGAAACTCAAACACTGAAAACGAATTCGATATTGAGCAACCTTCGAACAAAACAACTTTAAGAATTTGGGGCTCGCACTTACCTCACATTTCGAACCTCACATTCTCACGGATTCCACTACTTTCCACCGAGCCTGCTATTTACAATAATATTTTAGTTTTTTGTAATCGTTTTTGTTTTTTTTTTCTCATTTGTATGATCATTCAAGTCACGAATTTAATTTGCAACGAAGCTCATTTCGAGAAAATTCGTTCTGTCGAATGTCGAATTTTGTGTAAGAATATATGTACATACATATGTACGTACTGAAATGTATAAGATGTCGAACCTCAAACATTCATCAAAAATTTTGTAAGCTTATCAGTTAATGAAGTATTGCGACTGAAATAGACTATAGTCAGTCAATAAATTTAAAGAAATTGAAAATCGATTTATCATGAAAAAATATTTACAAATTACAACTTTTCCAATGCAAACATGTAAAAATGAACATTAAAATTTTTTAATTTTGTAAAAAAAAATGCATTTTATGATTGAGCCCATCAATGAGAATTCTTTAATGCAACAATTGAAATCAAATTTCTCAAATTGAATAAAAGTTAAAAACTGTTTGTACTTAAGTGAAAGCCGCCAAAAATTTGGCCGAGTTGTTTGATCATAAAGTCATAAACTGCTACCTGAATTCTGTCACAAAAACGCCGGAATGAAGGTGTGCTTTGCACCACACTTTATCAACTTTTTTCATTATCAAGAGACCAAAATTCCATATATAAAATGAGTCGTGGGGTCTCAAAAAATTGCATTGAAAAATTTCAAAATGCATCTCACAACCACCTCATTTCTTTTCATTTTTTTGACAAATTCCCTGCCGGAATATGTGGATTCTTATAAAGTTTTCGTATTCAATCCAGCATTTGGGGCAAGCCATTCGAATTTTCTTGGCAAAATATCCGATATTCTCGTTGATGCCGGACACGATGTTGTAAGTTTTTCGAATGAAAGGCAGTCTCAATCATTTGATTACTCTACAGACAATGTTCATACCTGTATTTATGCACGAAAAGAAACATTTAGTTGGAACAAAGAAAGTGAAGAAGATTATTCAATTAGATCAAGATCCGAGGTTTATTATTCAAAGAATCATACAAATATTCAGAAAAATTCAGAATATACGAACTTCAGAAAGAATCACACTCGGATGAAATAATGAAAAAGCAAATTTGGAATATGTCTTCAGACATGACTACATTCATCCCTGTTCGTCTAACTTTTATTTTTCTAATAATCATCCAACAATGATTTCCAGATGTTAGCTAACTTCAACAAGGCATTTGGCTACAATTGTGAATGTAGGAGATCTGTTTAATTTCTCATGAATAACATATGTATAATACTTAAATTATTTCAGATTTGTTTAAGCAAACTGAATTAATTGAACGCCTTCGCAATGAGAAATTCGACCTTGCAATCACAGAATCATTGTTTATTTGCCCGTTTGGTAGACATTGATCATCACCATTAAATCAATTGATATGTTTTATAGCTATTCTTGATCATATTGGAGTTAAAAATGTTATCAACGCCGATTCAATTCTCGAAATGGATTCAGTGAAATATGCCTTAGGGGAACCAGCTCTTCCAAGTATTTATCCAGGTTTCTCAGGTTTTTCGAAGTTTTAATATCGAAACTGGATGATTTCAGGAGTATTTTCAACGGAAAGGGACTCGATGTCTTTTTTGGGAAGAACTAAAAATACCGCTTCTCTATTTTTTTCTTATGGTTTTACTATTTCTCGATATTTCGCCGAGCTTAATGCCATCAAGGATTTGTATCCGAATGGAAAAAGTTGGCAAGAATTGATTAGTGGAATCGCGTTCAATATGATCAATTCGAATCAATATCTCGATTATCCAAGTGCGGTTCTTCCGAAAACCTTATATATTGGAGGAATGCAAGTGAACACTAAACGAGAAGGAAAAGCTAAACTTAGCAAGGTTATTTCAGAACTTGTTTCGATTATTTGAAAACGACACGTTTTTAGGAATGGGATCAGATTTTGAGTCAACGGAAAAATAATGTGCTCGTGTCATTCGGATCGAACGCATATTCGTGTTATATGCCTGATAGCTTCAAGTTTTTCGAAAAATTTCAAAAAATTCAATAATGCATGTTTTATTATCAGAAAAGCATTTCTTGATGTGTTCGCCTCAATGTCTGATACAACTTTTATTTGGAAATATGAAATTGAAAATGCAACAATTGCTGATCACTTACCGAATGTCGTGCTAACCACATGGATGCCTCAGAATGATCTGCTAGGTTTGTTCTCAACACTAGAACCAATCGATTTAGAAAATATTTTTAAGCTGACGAACGCCTGACAATTTTTGTGACACACGGCGGATTGGGAAGTACTATTGAACTTGCATATCAAGGAACTAAAGCTGTCGTGGTATTGCACAAAATGTTGTAAGCAACAACTGACAATCGGATTACAGATCCCATTGATGGCTGATCAGCCGAGAAATGCTCACATGTTGAGCCGACACGGTGGAGCAATTCAACTCGACAAAACTCTTTTGGGAAATTCCACAGCTATTCGAGAAGCGATTATGACTGTTATGAGCGATCCAAAATACGAACAAAATGCGAAGAGATTAGCAAATATTTTGGCGAATCAGCCAATTCAACCAAAGGAAACCGTATTAAAACATTGCGATTTCGCTGTTCAATTCGGACCATTGGAATCTTTGAACTCGGCTGGTCGAAATCTTAATTTTTTCGTCTATCACTCGATTGATTTAATTATTGCATTTTTCACAATTCTCTCTATTATCCTCTATGTTATTTATCGAATATTCAAACTCTTTATTTCATTTTTCACCAAAAAATGTTGCTCTACTCCCAAAAAATCTAAAAGCGATTAGTTTTGTGTCAAATGTTTTCTATGCAGATTATCCGAAAATTTGAAAAAAAAACTGGTCAAAAATGGTCCGTTCGAGACCATTGCGACCCCCGCACCCAATAGACGCCGGATTCCGACTATGCACTGTACATTTGAACGAGATAAGATTTTTCCATATAAGCTCAATTTTTTTCTCTCATCTGACGACTTTTCATTAGATTTAATAAAACAATATTCAATTATTATAATGATATGAATAAAATTTTAGTTACCAAATAAAAAAATCGCAAAAATCTTTAAGGAAAAGTCACGTTAAGGAAGAACTCTTTTTTCTTGAACCGGTAGAAAAGCAGGAAATGATTAAATATCAACTTTTCTCAGTAAAAAGTTGCCTCCAGGCGGGATTGAACCGCCGACCTTCTGTTTACGAGACAGACGCTCAGCCACTGAGCTATAGAGGCGGACGAAAGACGAAATACAAAAGACAAACATGTTTCTGCCTTCAATTGTAAAGAATCGACACCGTTCAAACATCAAATATCACAAAAGCAACAACGTTTGAAAGTAATATTGTAGAAATGATGGCGTCATGACAATAATGGAGGTAACGCAACCATCGTTTCAATCTTATCACCGCTGTCTCGTTGATTAGTTCATTGCCAATTATGAGTTTCTCGCTACGGCTGTTGTTCGCATTATGTTCTTTACTTTTCGTGAATTTTGCCAATTCGTATAAATTTCTTGTGTATTCGCCATCGATTAGCAAATCTCATTTATTATCGACTGGTAGAATTGCTGATGAGCTCAAAAAGGCTGGACACGATGTTGTGAGTACTCAAACAAATTATTGAAATATTGAAATATCGCAGACTTTGCTGGAAATCGATTATTTGCAAATTTCGGATCACACGAAGAGTGCGAAATTGGTCGAGAAACGAGTAATTCGAAATTTCAACAATTCTGCGAGATTCGTTGATGTTCTTCAAAGCTATTCGAAATATGTTCTGGAGCCGGATGATATGATCCGAGATTTGAAGGGACTCTACGCCTATCAAACAGTTAGCAACGATCTTTGTCGAGGTATCAAACGTTTTAGCAAAAATTACTACCATCGCAAAAAACGAGCACATTTAACATTTTTGCTTCATCAAATTTCGATTTATGGACTTATTCATGAAATGTAATTTTTAACAGAAAAAAAAATAAAATATTACATTAATGTTTTTAAAAAAACTAGTTCATTAAAAAACTATGTTTTTTTCAAACATTTTTTATTTGTACTCATTTTGTGCTTATTTTTTATCGAAGCCGCTCGACTGCGGAAAATTGACTAAAAGATGTATGTAGTATATTGTCGTGGACTGACGAATTTGAGAAATTTGAATTGCGCGGGCTGCACAATATATTTATCAATGATATTGTAGAAGTAATCGAAAGAGATGATTTGCTGAATGAATTAAAATCGGAAAAGTTTGATGCATTTATTGCCGAAACTATTCATATCTGCGGTTTCGGAATCGCGAAAGCAATTGGAATCGAGAGAAGATTTATGGTCTCCAGGTGAGTTTTCCATTTTGAATTTCACGGTCAAACTGCAATAATATGTAGTTCAGTCGAATTGTAGGCGTCAAGCAACGATGTCGAGGAGGGGCTTTTAGCTTTATAAAATCAGTGTAAATTACGTACAGTCGTAGACGGACAAATTTGAGAAATTTGAATGATCCAACACGTTTACCATTTTTGATTTTAATGAATTTCGAAGGGTTGTCGAAACCGCTTATACATATGAATAAAAACGTTTAAAAAATTTCAAATTTGTTGGAGAAAAACCGATCGAAAAATTTTTCAAATTTACCGTTTATTTCAATTTTCTGATATTTTTAATCTCAAATGTTGGTAAATCGAGACGAAAAACTTCCTCTCTTTATTTATTTGACAACACCGTATGGAGGGTATGATTGGGAGAATATGTTTCAATAAAATTCATTTAGTAGCTGTGGTGTGTTAAAATTTTAAAAAAAATGAAAGATATTCAAAGCAAAGTTTCTTTTCAGTTGTCCATTCTATGGCGGAATGTATGATATGATCGGTCTTCCGATTCCAACGTCTACCGTCCCCTTATACGGTCGAATGAGTGAGCAGCCGACATACATGCAAAGAGCTCAAAATCTTGTTTGGAATGTTTTAAATGTGGTTGTTTTTCGTTCAATTCACAGTCAATTGACAACCATATTCCGCGAAAAATTTGGGTGGGTTCATTCATTTTTTCATTATTAAAAATTTTGTGTTTTAGTCCAGAATTTACCGATATCACTAAAGTCGTTCGAGATATTGATATGGTGTTTATTTCGACTGACGAAATCATTGACTATGCTGCACCAATTCTTCCATATATGGTGTTTATTGGTGGACTTGGTGTTGAGGATGATCATACTCGTATGGATGACGTACGAAATTATTTCCATATAATTGAAATATTCAATTGATTCCAGAAAACAGCGGCCGAAATGAAAAAGGGAAAAAACGGGGTGATTTTATTCTCTATGGGAACTATAGCAAACACTTCAAAGCTTCCTGAAGAAGTGATGAAGTCATTTATGGAAATTGTCAAAAAGTTCTCCGATTTTCATTTCATTATTCGCGCTGACAAATATGATACGGTATTCAAATTTGTGCAACTAGATTTTATGGTAAAACTCAAACATTCTAGGTGACTAAACATTTCGCAAAAGGAATTGATAATGTTTATATCTCTGATTGGATTCCACAGCCTGAAATTATTGGTAATTTTTGTTATTAATAAAAAAATATAATCAATTTTTCAGCGCATCCAAGACTTCGAGCTTTCATAACTCATGCTGGATATAATGGAATTATCGAATCGGCTCGCTCGGGTGTTCCATTGATCACAATTCCTTTTATGTTTGATCAGCCATTGTAAGTTGAAAATAATTTTAAATTTAATAAATTTTCGAATTTAAGAAACGCGAATGCAGTTGAAAAAAAGGTTGGGGTATTCTTCGAAGCAAACATCAATTATTGCATGATCCGAAGGCAATCGAACAGGCGATTGAACATATTTTATCAAACCCATCGCACGTTTTTTTCTTTTAATTTCAATATAATTCTAACTATATTTAGGTATAAAAAAGGAGCCGAAAGAATGAAGAATTTGATTCTCACTAAACCAATGAACTCACGTGATCGTTTTATTAAAACCATTGAATGGGTAAGTAGAAAAATTGATTTTTTTTTTAAATTTTTTTTAGTTGAAAAAAATGCCCATAATTATCAGCTTATCAGCGGTTTGACGTGAAAACTCTGATTTTTTATTTCTTGATTTTTTGAATTTCGATACCAATCATTTCGTTTATTATCACCATATTCATTTTTTCATAAAAATCTATTTAAGGTAATCAAGAACAACGGAATTCCTGAACTATTGACTGATGGACGTAAGTTGGGATTGATCGAATTTTACAATTTGGATATTCTTGTGCCATTCGTGATATTCCCTGGCTTCCTTTTGATTATCACGTTCTTCAAGCTGCAATGGCAAACTTGTTTCGTTGCCTACAAAAAAGATGAAAAAGTGAAATTCGAATGACTTTATTTGTCACATTTCGTGAAATACATTCGATTTCTTATTTCCCGTTATTTGTTTAATACGCGATGCATCATCCGAACTCAGCGACATTCTTTTACATTGCCTAATCGAGATAACATATTTTATAAATTTTCTGGAAATTAAAATCATTTTATAATGTTTGTGTTTTCTTTTCGAAACCCACCTCCGAAATGGAATAACGAAATAAATCGAAAGTATTGGATCAAGCATTGTTGGAAGGATTACAAGGAATGAATTGAGATACTCGAGAAGAGCAAGATTTGCTGATGGATATTTTGAGAAGAGAAAGAATTCGGCAAAAAGTGGGATGAAGCAGATCGGAGGCAGAAGGGTTTGCACCATTAGACCCTGCAATAATCAATTGGAAAATTGAAATGTTCTTGGATTCTTACCTTTATCATACTCTTCGCATTCTGAACCCTCGACGCACTGTATTCCTCATATTCTTTCAGTAATGTGCAGATTTTTCTGAAATTTTTATTAGACGTATGAGGTGTCTAACGATCGGAAATTGTTCTTCTAACCCAATCGAGAGTGGGATAATTTAGGAGCTGACAAGAAACTATATGCTAGTCTAAAATTAGATGTCTATGTATTTGGCACTCTTTGATCATGTGGAGTGCTATGAGAATATTAGCGTTAGATTTAAATATATCTGGGGGGGGGCACATTGTTGTGTATGAAGGGATTATTGGATTAGACCAAGTCGTATGACATCGGGAATACCAACTATAAAAATTTTTGATATAATAGATATATTTGAAAAAATGAAATAATTATTTTCTAATTTATAAATACCTTCTGTAAATGAATGCTGCAATTGGGTTCAAAACCAGTACACATGGGAAAATGATTGTCATCATCTTAACAGACCACGAATTCAATTCGGAAAATCCAAATATAGAGTTCTCATCGATCATGTAATCTGGATGAAACTTTCGAGTTTCTTCTAGAATTATATCCTGATTTGACGGATTTATAAATTGACAAATCTAGAAATCAAATTATTGCAATTTATTTGCCAAAAAAAACTCACTGCGCAAAAAACTGCTGGCAAATGAATGATAATCATGTTTCGATATAATTGAAACCGATTAATTGATTTGTGAGATAATATTGTATAGCGATAGTAAAATACATGCACCAAAGCGAACAGATTTGCAGTCGACGAAGCCTGAGAATATCGCATCATTTCCATTCTTTTTTTTTAATGAATCTTACGTCTCGAAGAAGATGGACAATAAAACATGATTTTCTACCAATATTGGTGCACATGCCATTGCAAATGAATGCTACAGTAGTCACATTTGGTACCATCCTAATGCGGGTTTTTATTAGTTTCAAATATCATCAGATGCCAAACCTGCACTGTGTAAGAAATCCGGAAATCAATGTGATCAATTGTGTGGTGCAAATGTGGACCAGATAAAGACGTAGATTCACTAGTAATTTTGCTTGGTTTTTGAATATAAGGAACAATAAAGTAGTTTGAAGTATGATGACCAACCCAGTGTATACTGGGTAGAATATTGCAGTTAGTTTTTGAATTTGATAATCCTGCATTGGGAGTCTGCAAAATAAAATCTATGCAATATTTATAAGATAATCGAAGAATAAAATGTATCGCCATTATTTTCATGTGAAAATGTTTTTAAATGCGATGGATACAAAATACATTCAAAGAAGTGATTTGGCGGGTGTTTGAAGGATTAGAATTGAATAACAAGATTGATATTTGAATATTGGGGATGAGCTTGAAACAATGCATTTTCAATTTTTAGCACAAAGATCATTCTTCAATTAAAACACGATATTTTTTGTAGTTTCCCATCGTGAACTAATTCTTTGAGATCTAAGACGAATCAGAATTGTGAATAATCACACAATTTTGACAATCTGGATAGGATTCAAGGATTTACTCAAAAAATTGTGATGACACCTGAAAAAATGAAGATTTTGAGAGAAAAAAATTATTGCTCCGCGAGTTTCGGATAATCGAGAAACGAGGCCAATTGTTCATTTTCGTCGACTTTGCGGGCAAATGAGAATATTCTTTTCAGTGACGGCATTCAAAACGAAATGCTTAAATAAATAGTGAAATTTAAAACTTCCTTTCGTGGAAAGTTTTTTTTATGAAAAAAACGCTGGAAAAAACATTTGACTTCGACATAGAATCATTGATTTCCTCGGCCGGCCGCCCCTTTGTCACCTGCAAACGCTTTGCTCCGACAGAGAAACATTTGATTGTTAAATTAAGGAAAAAACGGATTTAATTCAAAAAAGGGAACAAAATGAATAGTAAACAAAACATAAACTGGAAAATGAGACACCCATATAATGAAGAAAAACATAGTTTTTTTAAAGGATTTTAGTATTTCGAATCTTCCTCTTAAAAACAAAATAGAATTGGTTGTGGACCTATTCGTCCGATAAAAAATGAAAAAATTTTGCAGTCTAAAAATTGAAAATTTAATTTTGATTATTTTTTTTTTGTATTTCTTGAACAGGCTCGTAGCTTTTCCTGTTATAGAGAATTTCAAGCAGCAGTTTTTGAGTTTTTCTCTAGAAATTCTCATAATATGCTTTGAAATGTTTCGTTTTTCTATGTAGACAATGAATGCAACTAATCCGTGATTACTAACAATATCTGATGAAACCAAAATCATCATCATCATATTTTCATTTTTTTTGCGATTTCCATTTTCGGTTATCATTTGTACAATTAAGAAAAGAATTGCCAGTTTATTGAATTGAGGTGTGCCATTGAATTCGAGAGACGTCAAAGAGCCGCCGACACCAATCAAGTATACTTGGGTGAAGCTGTCTGAATGTGGGGGAGCGAGAGAGAAAATGGTGAAGAGACGCCAAGAAGCGCGGGTCAAAATAATGAGATTGACTCGCAAATTGGAATATTGAAACAACGTGACCGGGAATCATGACATGGCATCAAAATCGAAAATGACAAAGGATGAGGAGGAAAAGAAGAGGAAGAAGAAGAAGAAGGTGATGCGGACAAGGAATACGCTTCGTGATATTACTAACTATGACGGGTAAGTGTTTTTTTTTGGATTTTATTAACACGGGGGTCTATTGGGAATGAATTGCTGGAATTAGGGAACGAAATGAAAACGATTGAATGAAACGAATGGCCCTCTGTGAAACATTTATTCACAGGGGGGTTATCTAGTAGTTTCTTTCTTTAAAACCCGTTAAAAACTCTAAAAATCCTGAATCACCACATTCAGTTTTTCTTAAAAATCTGCACCACAAAATATAATCATTGAAGAGAATATTTTCAAACATACGAAAATCTTTCAGAAAACCTACTCAGACTTCATTGGATTGTTCTATTCGACCAAGGACTGTCATTATAAATGGTAAGATAATGAGAAATTGACAAGAAATTAAACAACACAAATCTGAAAAATATTGAATTTAACGAAACAATTTATAATTGAACATTCTAGGAGTTCCTGTGATCCGTCCTGCATATGGCTACGGTCTTAAAGCAAAAGGAAATCGAAGAATTGAAATCGAAAAAAGGAAAATGTTGAAAGAGGAGGCTAAAAGGAAAAAACAAAAAGAAAAAGAATTGAAGAAACGACTAAAAATTGAAGAAAAAACTCGAAAAACTGAAGAGAAACAGGATCGAATTTTGGAAGAAAAACGAAAAAAGGTTGAGCAATTGGAAAATTCTTGAAAAAGATGCGGGAAATTTTCAGACTGAACATGAGAATGCCGTGTATAAAAGTTTTGATTGGATTCTGGCTGAAAATCAATCAATTATTGACGAGGATTTTATGAATCCAATAGGCGATTCAGATGATAGTCTTCTTCCAATCTTCGACAACGATTCGGAATTTGCGGAATTTCGCACCATTTCGCTGAAAAACCTCAAAGAACCATTCACTGATGATCCATGTTTAAATCATGCTAAAATATCAGAAAGCATAGAAACGATTGCTGTCCTATTTTGAAGTGTCTATTTTTGCGGACCTAATTAATAGCATGTGCCTAACTACATAATTAAATCACATCTACTTGATTTCTTTTCATGTAATATATCAATTGTTGGTATAAGAATAAACTTGAAGTTGACATTTGTAGGTTTCCATTTGACCATCTCATGTGTGGCTCCTATTTGAGACATTTGTTGGTCACAATCAGACTGCGATAGCTTTTCCCAAAAAAAAACATTCAACATCGCCATTTGTTTCTTCAGATTTCGTACATTTGTTACCTTTCAACTCGTCAACAAACACTCTCCATCAACGGACATCATCCAATCGAACGTCTCAAGATTCATGAGCTACGCCCCGCCCACATATGTACAACTCAGTGGCATTGGTTCATGATGAGCTGAATTTATATGTTTATTATAATAATTGTTACTAGTTCTTAACATTTTCTCATATAAAATTTCTCAAAATTAAAAAAAATCGGTTCAAGTAATTTCGAACAAATCATAAAAATTAAATATTTATTTTGACAATTGTTAACATTTTTTCATTCGTTTAACACTTATACAGTACTATTTATCAATCAATTCCATCATTAATAAGATGTTATTTTAGTTTTTTAAAAATGTGATTTAGGGTAATCGATCATGAGAAGAAAAACGAAGAAATCAAAAAAGTCGAAAAAGAAGACGACGATCGCTGAGAGACGTCGACTCCAGAAGAATGAGTGAGATATCGAAGAATATTTTACAAAAAAATGGTTGAAATTTTCTTGTTATAGAAGAGAACGGGCGCGAGGATCAATGTTCGACGACTACATTCAAAAAATTCTCGCATTTCTGCCACCAACTTATCCAGTTGAGTATGTGACCAGAGAGGAAGCACTCAAGTAAGTTCGATTATCATTTTTCGATTTCAGTTGGGATTATTTAAATTTTCGAAATTCAGTTTAATTTATTAGATTAAAGTCACCAATGAATACAATATTTCAGGTCGATTCATGGGTATATGATGTGTTTGGTTCCTGACATGGAAGAACGACTTAGTAAAGATAATGGCTACAGAATTCGTCGCTATATTCCTGTTGACGGTAATTTTTCTAAAATTCAAGATAAAACTGCTTAAATTTTTATCAATTATTTAATGTTAATTTATCAATTATTGTGTTTTCGTTTTATTTGTAAAATAAATGACAATCGTCATTCGCTAAGCTTCATTTGTAGAAAAATGATAGTTGTGCTCATGTGCGAATATTTTCAGGTAGAAACAGAAGCGTGTGGGTGCATGCTGGAGATCCGGAGAACAACGAAATTTGGGCAAGACAACATATCATCGAGCAAGAACATCTGAAACGAGAAAAGGCGGAAGCGATGAAGACGGATTCCCAGATCGATGAAGATGCGAAACCGGTGAAAATCGAATAATTTATTCAGCACTTAACAGTTGATAAAAACTTTAATTACATCCGCTTTTTGCGTTCTTTTAAATGCTTCAATTGTCTGTTCCAGACTATAATGAGCCCTCGTTAGTCCCGACAGGTCCAATTTTCCAGAAGAGATCAATTCAATCGCTTTCGGATAGCTGTTGACATATCGGATAATTCCGCGCAGATCGACCTCTCTCGTTGCTGCCTCGATGATTGGGATTTCCACACGATCGGCTCCGAGTCCTACCAACACAATTGCACCACCGCTTCGAGTTGTCTGAATCAATCGATCTAAGCGGTTCGAATTCACAATTATGATTCTACGACGATTAATGCATAGCAAAGTAGTTTTAAATTAAATCCAAAAAAGAATACCAATATTGCGGTTTCAATGCTCGATTGTGCTCCAGTGCATTCAATTGTCACGTGCGGCTGACCATCAAGTTCGGCTACTATCGAATCTCGGGCTTCAAGAGCCGTTTTTCCTCTACAGAACTTATCTCAATATACTTATTGCCTCATTTCTCTAACCGAACATTAATCGTCGCATCTGCTCCCAGCTTTTTGGCAAGCATTAATCGGGTGTCTTCCAAGTCGGTGATAACAACTCTTTCGGCTCCCAAAGCCTTTGCAGTGAGAAGATTCAAAATGCCGATTGGACCCGATCCAAGAACGAGAATCTTCTGTCCTGCTTTCACATTTCCTCGATTACAGGAATGAATAGCAACACTTAACGGCTCTAGTAGAGCCCCGTCTTCAAATGAGATGTTGTCAGGAAGCTTAAAACAAAAATCTTCATCGTGAACCACATATCTAGCAAGGGTTCCGTGAATTGGAGGAGTGGCAAAGAACCTCATTTCTGGACAAAGATTGTATCGGTTATTCTAAAAATGGTGTTTTGTTTCAAAATTTGAAAAACAAAGAACGAGAACATTGCAATGTTCGCAGTTTTTGCATGGCAAACCGGGTTCCATTGCAATTCGATCGCCAATTTTTAAATTTTTGACATTTTCTCCTAGTCCAGCTACAACTCCAGACGTTTCATGGCCAACAATCTACAACAAATTAACTCGAATATATTTATATTGATTTAGTTCTCAAAATACCATCGGCTTTTTGACAATAAAGTTCCCAATAGCTCCATGTGTCCAATAGTGAACATCACTTCCGCATATTCCTACCGTATGAACTCTAACGAGAACCTGATTAGGTCCAGGAACCGGAATTGCAATATTTTCTAAACGGAGATCATTTACTGCATGTAATACAGCAGCAAGATTATCTTGAGATGCCATTTTCTAAAAAAAAACGCACACTATTTAGTATTTGAAATGGTCAACAGAATGCGAAAAGAAGAGAAAAGAAAATGAGAATAATGTGTGCTAAAAGAAACGAACGCAGCGTGTCCCCATTGACCGACCACATGATAGCCGATTCCGCTGTTCTTTACACTATTGATGTTATCATCTCACCGGTCAATCCCGATTATTGTTATTGACGAAAATGTGTACAATAATTAGACCAATATTCCAGCTCCAAAACTTAAAATATTCGTTTAGTTAATGTATGAAAATAAATTTCTGATGGGACCAGGGTTGGTAAATTGAAGCCGGGGCCGAAAGCCGGCCGGCCGGCCCGGCTTTCGGCCGGCTTTCGGCTTTTTTTTGAATTCCCGCTTCGGCCGTGCGGCCGTAAACAACGGAGTCGGGGGCCGAATCGCGGGCCGAAAATTTGACAGCGAAAAAAGCCGGCCGAAAGCCGGCCTGAGGCCGGGCTCAAAATTTAACAACCCTGGATGGGACGATTTAATTATTAGCATGAGGATCTCTGTTGAATTCCGCACTCGTGTTAGAGAACATAGCGATAGCTGCGTCCGAGAAATATTAAGGACCATGGAATGTTGTCGGCACGGCATTTTAAGCAGTGTGAATTCGTATACAGTCCAACGAACCGTATGATATTTGAAAGAATACAAAGTCGTCCAATGTTTTTATTCATAAAATTATGTAAATATCGAAATATTTCGAAAGACGTGGTCCAAATTCAATCTTATTTACGCTTATTACTAGCCACTTCTTTGACCAACATGTATCGCTGTCTTTTGATCATTTTATTCCTCATTTCCAGTGTTACAAATCTTCTAAAAATCACATTTATCGATTAAAATAATTCGAAATTACGATGTGTAGTCTTCATAAATCGAATTGAAAAAGTGTTCCTGAATCGATCTATTCGTCAATTCGATTGCTTTCTTATCATTCAACATTGCCTTTATAATGAAAGCCGCGTACTTAAATTTTTGCATTATTGCACCAAATAAACTATATAAAATAAACTTGCGTAGAGAAAGAAGCCAGTTATGAAAATCCAAAAACACTTAAAAATAATTTTTTTTAATTAAATTTTCTCCAACACTTTTGGTACTATTCAGACTTTGAAGAAATCTCGAAAAGTTGATCAAAACAAAGTTAAATTTTCGTTACTTTTTTATTATTAAAACTTTGGTGTGCGTTTCTTTGGTAAATGAAAACAAATCGAATTCGAAAATAAATTAATCAGTTTCAAAGAATACCAGAATTTCAATCGAATACGATTTCGAAATCAATTTATATTTCATTTTCATCGATTCCAATTGATTTTCATTTACCTGATTGTTTTCTGGGCTACTTACAAGCGAGGTCTTTTTACTGTCCGTCTTAAAATTTTTTCTTTAGAAAATTTCCAAGTTTCGTAACCTACACACCACTGAACCACAACTGCTTGCCAGAGTGGGATGAAAATATAAGCGCGAGATAAGACATCACTTTATTTCATTTCGAATTTCCTCACAATTGTATGCAAAATTCACGTGGGGAGGGCCTAAAACTTTGAAGGTCCATATCTCGATAACTAGAAGTTTGCGCAGGTAGGGACCTAGTTCATTCGATTGGAAATTTTCTAAAGAATCTCTATGTAAAAAATAAAAAAAAAATTTAAGACGGACAGCAAAAAGACCTCCCTTGTTAGACTACTTATTTTCAAAATCTACATAGTACCATGAAAACTTACGTCAAAAACTTCAGCGTAATGAAAAACAGAATCAATAAGCGTAATAACAGTCTGAAATGAGATGAAAAACAATTAAAACCGTTTTCATTCAAATAAACAATAGGTGAATGTGTTCGCCGAGATTTTTCCGTCCAAATACCAAATATACCATATTGGGTAAGAGTTCCGTTCATTTTGAAAAGAAATGATGAAACTATGAAAATCTAACGTGATTCGATTTTCACTTTAGTTTACTTGATTTGAATTTCATTTTGAACTCTGTTTAATAACGTATTTAAAATTTGAGGTTCAAATAAAAGATGACATTATATTGAGAATATACAGTACTGGCCATAATGATGTTCGCCTAGTGTTTTTTGAGCATAACTTGGCTCAAACGCAGCCGATCGGGCTGAAATTTTTACCATATCTTTAAAACGCGTTGAAAATGCGTTTGAATGATATCGCATACTGCAGAAAAGTTTTTTTTTTCGAAAAATCACAAATTTCATAAAAATGCAGAAAATGGAAAAAATGACACAATGTGATTTGAAAGTCTCAGGAACACGAAAACATTACAAATGTGTAGAAAACCGGTTTTAAATTTATCAATACTTTGTTGCGAATCCATTGGAATCAATAACCGCTTGGCATCTGCGAGGCATCGAGTCCAAGAGGGTGCGGATCACTGCATCGGAATGGCACTCCATGCGGCTTCGAGTTGATCGAACTTCTCGTCGGCGATTGATGCTCGGAGCCCTCTAACCATGCGTACTAGTTCTTCCCAGATATGTTCGATCGAATTATGGTCAGAAATCTGTGATGGCCACGCAAGAACATCAACTCGGCGACGTTGGAACCAATTCTTTACATGTCCAGACATGCGCTCAGGGTCGTTGTCTTGCTGGAAAACGAATGCACGTCCGACGTTTGCTAATGCCCAAGGTCTCATTGTGGTTTCCAGGATATCCTTGTACTGGTACCGATCCATGATTCCATTTACACGTCGGAGCGGTCCCATGGCGGTGTCGGAGAAGCAGCTCCAGACCCTGCATGATGCTTCACCGTTCGGAGGTGGTACTTTGGCATGAATCTGGCTCCGATAGGTCGTCGAATCCACTTGATTTCATCACTTCCGAACAAGTCGAACCTCGATTCATCGCTATAAATGTGTTTGACCCATTCACATCGTCCCCAGTTCAGATGATCCTTGCACCATGCCACTCTCGTCTTTTGGTTCTTCTCACTGATCAATGGTTTCTTCACCGGGAGTCTTCCATGAAGTCCATTCTCCAACAAACGACGTCTAATTGTTCTTCTGGATGGAATGGAAGAATTTGGCGTTGCCACAAGCATCTGGATATCTGCTGAAGTCCGTCTAGGATCTTCTCTTGAAGCACGACAGATGTTCCGATCTTGGAGCCTAGTTGTAAGGTCTACCATGTGATTTCTTAACAAAAATGCAGCCCAATAGATTAGAAATAGTCCAGAATGATTAAAAAATCGTACATTTTGTCTTAATCGTTGCAAAACTTTTTGGATTCCTCTTCGGGAGCACAGGAACTGCTGAGCCAGAAGGCTTCTGGACGACCCAGTCTTATGACCATTAACGATGGCTTTTTGAACGTCCGCCGTGAAATTTTTCTTTCCAGAAGGTTGAAAAATTACTAAAAACATGTTTCAGGTCCAAATTTCAAATAAAAAAATTTATGGACAAAGTTTGAAAAAAATGAAAAATTGGTAAAATCGAAAAAAAACAAAAAAAAATTTTAAAAAAATTAATTTTTCAACATGAGGCAGTTTTAATGTTTCCAAGGTTGCGCAACTGTGTTTAGCGTTTACAGTAAAAATTTCAGCCAAATCGGCTGCGTTTGAGCCAAGTTATGCTCAAAAAACACTAGGCGAACATCATTATGGCCAGTACTGTATATTTTAAAAACATTTCAAAAGTTTTTGCTGGTTCATTGTTCAATAAAAATTGTTGATATGAATTAATAAAAATGAGCCTTAATATTTTCTTGCCATTTTTCATAAGGCTTTTTAAAACTTTGGCCAATTCCAAAGTCATCAATACCTTTTAAACTATCATAATACTAATTTTTATTGTGAAAAATTTAAAATATTGTAAATGTAGTAGTCGGCATCCGGCGACTGCTGTACGGTGCTTAACGTGCGCCCTACAGTTTTCGTCATACGCCAATGCTAATGTATTTCGTTATTTTCACGTATAATTTTTAGGACTTCGACTACAGACTCTAGAAATCCCAAAATAATTTATTTGATTTGCCTGAGAATTTCCTCTCACATGTTTCCAAATCTGATTTCATTTTCATGATTTCCCACGCCTTCTGTATTTTGCTAAAACGGCTAAAAATCATATAGTTGATAATCGTTTTGTTTTCGACAATTTTAATTATTCTCATTAAATACCAAAAACAAATCATATTCATAATTCTACTAGATGTCATTATAGTTTCCGTAGACAAATTTGTCAGACTATAACTTTTTTGTTTTGTGATTATCTTTGCTCTTTTCGTTCTCCGGCAACAACATCTCATGGTGATTCGAAGACTTCGTACGGTTTTCGCTAGACATTCACAACCAAATCCCGTCTCATGAGCCGTAGACCACCGACCGCAGCCATTTTTGTCATTTCGAAACGCATCGAGAACTGTTCCAAGTCTTAGAAAACTGTCGATGTAGCTGAATTGCTTCTATAGGAACAGTTCGTGACTTTTCCAAACCGACTGATATATTGGAAATCGTTTTCACAGACCAGAATTTTTTTAAATAATGGCCAGTCGCTTAATCACTATAGAATTCAGGACAACGTGTCGAATTATTCAAGAATAACTGCCGATATTTGTATCGTAACCCACCCGATTTTTCAATAATGTTTTGAACTTCGATCTTCACGATAGACGAAATTACGCTGGTTTTCGCCAAAGGAGAAGTCCAAAATCTGCCAACGAATAAAATTTTTTTCAGGACTGATTCACACCGAATTTCAGCAACAACAAGCAACTCCATGCTTGTGTCATGGAGAAAGAAGAAATTTTCAAAATGTTTTCAAAATCAAAATTTGAAAGTTCAGTTGTGTTTGTAAGTATTTTCGCAATGATTGGTAATAAATTTGTTTGAATTGCTTGATATCTCATGTTTTTATGCAAGAAAATGTTAGCTTCTTTCTTCTTCTGTAGTATCTCGTACAGATTTTTTGAAAAAAAAAACCCAACAAACAGATTTTTATGTTTTTTAAATAACCATT